TTATTTTTGATGGTTTACGACTAAAGGGGGACCACATGGATTTTTTCGGAATTTACCAAAAAAATTTCGAGAAATTCATCACGCACTTCGATCTGGAGCTGAAAGAGCACCAAAAATAGTACCGAAAACCGTTTCTTCCGAAGCCCCGGAGGCCCTGGTTTAATTGCTACGATTTTTTGAAACTTTTATTTTTGATGGTTTACGACTAAAGGGGGGACCACATGGATTTTTTCGGAATTTACCAAAAAAATTTCGAGAAATTCATCACGCACTTCGATCTGGAGCTGAAAGAGCACCAAAAATAGTACCGAAAACCGTTTCTTCCGAAGCCCCGGAGGCCCTGGTTTAATTGCTACGATTTTTTGAAACTTTTGGTTTTGATGGTTTACGACTTAGGGGGGACCACATGGATTTTTTCAGAATTTACCAAAAAAATTTCGAGAAATTCATCACGCACTTCGATCTGGAGCTGAAAGAGCACCAAAAATAGTACCGAAAACCGTTTCTTCCGAAGGCCCGGAGGCCCTGGTTTAATTGCTACGATTTTTTGAAACTTTTATTTTTGATGGTTTACGACTAAAGGGGGGACCACATGGATTTTTTCGGAATTTACCAAAAAAATTTCGAGAAATTCATCACGCACTTCGATCTGGAGCTGAAAGAGCACCAAAAATAGTACCGAAAACCGTTTCTTCCGAAGCCCCGGAGGCCCTGGTTTAATTGCTACGATTTTTTGAAACTTTTATTTTTGATGGTTTACGACTAAAGGGGGGACCACATGGATTTTTTCGGAATTTACCAAAAAAATTTCGAGAAATTCATCACGCACTTCGATCTGGAGCTGAAAGAGCACCAAAAATAGTACCGAAAACCGTTTCTTCCGAAGCCGCGGAGGCCCTGGTTTAATTGCTACGATTTTTTGAAACTTTTGGTTTTGATGGTTTACGACTTAGGGGGGACCACATGGATTTTTTCAGAATTTACCAAAAAAATTTCGAGAAATTCATCACGCACTTCGATCTGGAGCCGAAAGAGCACCAAAAATAGTACCGAAAACCGTTTCTTCCGAAGGCCCGGAGGCCCTGGTTTAATTGCTACGATTTTTTGAAACTTTTATTTTTGATGGTTTACGACTAAAGGGGGGACCACATGGATTTTTTTGCGGAATTTACCAAAGAATTTCGAGAAATTCATCACGCACTTCGATCTGCAGCTGAAAGAGCACCAAAAATAGTACCGAAAACCGTTTCTTCCGAAACCCCGGAGGCCCTGGTTTAATTGCTACGATTTTTTGAAACTTTTGGTTTTGATGGTTGACGACTAAAGGGGGGACCACATGGAGTTTTTCGGAATTTACCAAAAAAATTTCGAGAAATTCATCACGCACTTCGATCTGGAGCTGAAAAAGCACCAAAAATAGTACCGAAAACCGTTTCTTCCGAAGCCCCGGAGGCCCTGGTTTAATTGCTACGATTTTTTGAAACTTTTGGTTTTGATGGTTTACGACTAAAGGGGGGACCACATGGATTTTTTCAGAATTTACCAAAAAAAATTTCGAGAAATTCATCACGCACTTCGATCTGGAGCTGAAAGAGCACCAAAAATAGTACCGAAAACCGTTTCTTCCGAAGCCCCGGAGGCCCTGGTTTAATTGCTACGATTTTTTGAAACTTTTATTTTTGATGGTTTACGACTAAAGGGGGGACCACATGGATTTTTTCGGAATTTACCAAAAAAATTTCGAGAAATTCATCACGCACTTCGATCTGGAGCTGAAAGAGCACCAAAATAGTACCGAAAACCGTTTCTTCCGAAGCCCCGGAGGCCCTGGTTTAATCGCTACGATTTTTTGAAACTTTTGGTTTTGATGGTTTACGACTAAAGGGGGGACCACATGGATTTTTTCGGAATTTACCAAAAAAATTTCGAGAAATTCATCACGCACTTCGATCTGGAGCTGAAAGAGCACCAAAAATAGTACCGAAAACCGTTTCTTCCGAAGCCCCGGAGGCCCTGGTTTAATTGCTACGATTTTTTGAAACTTTTATTTTTGATGGTTTACGACTAAAGGGGGACCACATGGATTTTTCGGAATTTACCAAAAAAATTTCGAGAAATTCATCACGCACTTCGATCTGGAGCTGAAAGAGCACCAAAAAATAGTACCGAAAACCGTTTCTTCCGAAGCCCCGGAGGCCCTGGTTTAATTGCTACGATTTTTTGAAACTTTTATTTTTGATGGTTTACGACTAAAGGGGGGACCACATGGATTTTTTCGGAATTTACCAAAAAAATTTCGAGAAATTCATCACGCACTTCGATCTGGAGCTGAAAGAGCACCAAAAATAGTACCGAAAACCGTTTCTTCCGAAGCCCCGGAGGCCCTGGTTTAATTGCTACGATTTTTTGAAACTTTTATTTTTGATGGTTTACGACTAAAGGGGGGACCACATGGATTTTTCGGAATTTACCAAAAAAATTTCGAGAAATTCATCACGCACTTCGATCTGGAGCTGAAAGAGCACCAAAAATAGTACCGAAAACCGTTTCTTCCGAAGCCCCGGAGGCCCTGGTTTAATTGCTACGATTTTTTGAAACTTTTATTTTTGATGGTTTACGACTAAAGGGGGACCACATGGATTTTTCGGAATTTACCAAAAAATTTCGAGAAATTCATCACGCACTTCGATCTGGAGCTGAAAGAGCACCAAAAATAGTACCGAAAACCGTTTCTTCCGAAGCCCCGGAGGCCCTGGTTTAATCGCTACGATTTTTTGAAACTTTTGGTTTTGATGGTTTACGACTAAGGGGGGACCACATGGACACTATTTTTGGTGCTCTTTCAGCTCCAGATCGAAGTGCGTGATGAATTTCTCGAAATTTTTTTGGTAAATTCTGAAAAAATCCATGTGGTCCCCCCTTTAGTCGTAAACCATCAAAAATAAAAGTTTCAAAAAATCGTAGCAATTAAAACCAGGGCCTCCGGGGCTTCGGAAGAAACGGTTTTCGGTACTATTTTTGGTGCTCTTTCAGCTGCAGATCGAAGTGCGTGATGAATTTCTCGAAATTTTTTGGTAAATTCCGAAAAAATCCATGTGGTCCCCCTTTAGTCGTAAACCATCAAAAATAAAAGTTTCAAAAAATCGTAGCAATTAAACCAGGGCCTCCGGGGCTTCGGAAGAAACGGTTTTCGGTACTATTTTTGGTGCTCTTTCAGCTCCAGATCGAAGTGCGTGATGAATTTCTCGAAATTTTTTTGGTAAATTCCGAAAAATCCATGTGGTCCCCCTTTAGTCGTAAACCATCAAAAATAAAGGTTTCAAAAATCGTAGCAGGTGAACCAGGGCCTTCGGGGCTTCGGAAGAAACGGGTTTGGTACAATTTTGGTGTTCTTTCAGGTGCAGGCATCAAAGCGATCTCGCACGGTCGATTTCTCGCGGAATCGGGCTTGGAAGGCCTTGGCAGGCTCGGACGATGCGGGTGGGAGCAACCTAAACGCTACCAGAAGCCATGTTAAACGAATTTTGCAGGCATTCGCTCTGGACAGATTTTATAGCATTTTTCAACGGCTTTCCAATGGTGTATAAATCATCGCGATCGCAAATTCCTACGCGCCGGAATAGCGTCGAGAATGCGGAAATGCTCCAAATGAGCTGAATTGAGCATTTTAGGTGTTTTAGCTGCTATTGGGCGAAGGAGCGCGATGGGACGGCTAAGCGAGCTAGCACCCCAGAATCAGCGTTTAAGGGGCTTTCGAATGGTATACACATCATCGCGATCCCAAATTCCTACGTTCCGAAACCGCGTGGAGAATGCGGAAATGCTCCAATTGAGCCGAATTGAGCATTTTAGGTGTTTTAGCTGCTATTGCGAGGGCAAGAAACGGCAAGATCTCAAAACAATATGAAAAGTGGTAAAAATGAAAAAGGGTAAAACGAAGCTAAATGTCTCACCGGCATGGGTGCTTCAATTCTGCCAGATAGAATAGCTTTTCTTGAAATTTCGTGTTTCAAACTGAAAGGCCGATTCGGGCAGCCGCAGAGATTTGAGACGAGTGCCAAATTTGGGGAGGGAGAGAGGCGAGGGCCGCTCTTCCCCCGCCCGTCTAAAGGAGCGGTGCGTGCCGGCCGCGTATGCGCGCATTAATCGCAGCCTTTTCAAGATAGTTATATTCAGGGGCGTAGCTGGCCCCAAGTTTCGGGGGGGGGGGGCAGCGACGTTTCGGAGGGGGCAGCGAGAAAATTTTTACGAAATTTAAGCGCCGCAGGCGAAAAATTTTGCTAAAATAGCAGCGCCGCAGGCAAAAAAATTAATAAAAAGTAATAAAAACAGCGCCGCAGGCGAAAAAATTTTCAAGATGAAAAAAATCATAAGGGGGGACCCTTACGTTTTTTCCGGGCCCGCCCGATTTCGGGGGGCCCGCTGCCCCCCCCCCCTCTACGCGCCTGGTTATATTACTAGGTATCAAGAGCAAAGAAGGAACAGCAAAGGATACATTTTACCCTAAATAAAGCGGCACCTATAGTAAAGGTTTTCAAAGTCTGTCATACAATAGGGTATACTTTCGGCATTCGCTAGTTTTTAAGTTTGTGGATATAATTCAGCTCTCGAAAATATACTCTTTTTGAAGTAGATGTTCTTCTAATACTCTCTACTTTTTCTACTCTTTTCGAAGGTCCAATGGACTCTTTAAAATGACCTCCAATTGTATCTTGCCCCACAACTAAATCAATAGCAGAAGCTTCTTGTCGACGCTTGATACCAACCCAGTGATTAGCTGGTTATCTTGCGCAAACAGCGCCGCCAGGTCTCAAACGATATATTATCAAACGATGACGCAGCGCGCCCGTTGCTCAGTTTTATAAAAAATTTGTGTCCTTAAATAAGATTGCAGGCTTTAAATGCGAAACACATTTATTCAGGATCTGAGCATATGATAAATACGTTAACAATCATTATGTACATCAGTTGAAGGAGCAATAGGAATCGAACTTTTTTTAGATTTCAGTCCAAATCTGGCGGACTCCCTGAAGGGGGCGCATCTTGCGAAACGGCAGCTTTTCACCGGCCCAGGAACGGACCAATTGGACCATGAGATTCACAACCTAGAGAAAATCATGTTGAACATATCGAGATTACCTCAATAACAATTTTATCAGCTTCATCGTAGAGCTGAGCGACCGCCAAGCGCTCTTCGGATCGCGAAAGAGTCTCATCTTGGGCGAGACCGTCAATTCTCTAAATATACTTGTGTTCTTAAGTTGAACCGCTTTCTGACCTGAAGCATGGTATCAACGTTATTCAAGACTTCGGCATATTTTTCAGATCTTTTCTTATATTGCTGCTCCAGGTCATCAAAGAAGTTGACCAATTCACTCTGAAAATTTTCTTGCAGGATAATTTTTCTGACCTACTTGAACACTATATTTAACAGCCCAATCGATCAGTTGTTGGCGAAGCTCCATGCGCGGCCGGTTTTGGCTGACCATAATCCTGTTCCATTCTTCAGCCGCTGTGCAATTTAACCTAGGCACAGTGCTAAATTATATTTTATATTTCTAAACCAACTTCTCCACAAATTCAGGAATACTCATTAGCCGGCCGGCACAGTCCTTATTTTTAGGAACAGAAGTTGAAACGAGAGCAGTAGAGGTTGTAACCTCTCGCAGCTTAGCTTCGGTTACTTTGTAAATCGGAGCTAGCGTCACTTCCTAGAAAGAAAAACTAAATTGAAATTGCTAATTAGCCGCTTTACCTCTTTTTTGGCTTCAGCTTCCACATCTGCAGGGGTGGTCTCTGATGGTGGAAACGTAATGTCCACCGGCTCTTCCGAGGCAATATTCAAGAAGCTATCCCATTTCTTATCTTCATAAAACCGCCGGAAAAAGTTGTTAAACCCAAAGGCAGTGGAGAAGATGGATAGCAGGAGAAGATATTTGAGGCTCATTTTAATGTTGCTCTGGTGGTCATTCATATGGGGTGGCTTTTATATTAGAGCCAGCTCCTGAACAAACAAGGTCGTAGTATTGTCCAGAGGGCAATGCGGAGATATAATGGATGACATTGGGATAATAGAGGAAGCAAGCATCGTGTGGACATTCCACAATCCGGAACGGGGTTGTTTCAAGGCATGTGATGCTCTGGAAAACGTAACGTCTAGCTATAGATGTAAGCTAACATCAGGTTTTAATTTTTCTTGGGCGTCTCGAAGTTTCCAAGCGATTAGTCAATCTCAAAACAATGTTAAATTACATTTTTCCGGAATATGACTAATCGAGACATAGTCATCTATCATTCGTCATCCCGGTCCCCCTTAAAAATCACTGTTTCGATTGGCACACGCCAATCATGAAGCTTTTATCGACTTCCCTTTTCCTGGTCGGAGGTAGGTTAAATTATTAGACAAAAAGGCTATTTTAGTTCAATGTACTTTACCGCAAATCTTCCAGTATCGCGTAAGGATTCCCGCCCCAACCAAACGCCGTTGCTTTTTAGGTGGACAACCCTGACCCGCTGAGTATCTGGGCGTTAGGCTGCCTGTAGGTTTTACAGCGCACAACCCACAGTTTATAGCAACCAAACTGATTGGGTCGAGCAAATCATCAGAGCCTACGAGCTTGATGAATGGGCACCGATAATCGCTGATACGATGGAACAATTTGATGAAATGGCATCGCAGTTTTGCAGTGACGACCAGCTGAAACCACACTGTAGGATTCCCCCGCTAAACAGCAAATATATCTTTTCGATGAGCTTATCGCCGAATGTGCCCGGACTAAGGGGAATGAAACTAGTGTTGAATGTGGAAGGAAATACCCTAATGCGAATAAGACCGATGGGTAGGTCAGCAGCGCATATTTTTAGAAGCCACTTTCAGCGAATACGTGGCAGCGTTCACCTGTTTCTACACGGACCTCGGTAATGCGTGCGGCGGTCCCGAGACGATTTACGACATTGTACATATGGATCATAGCCTGGTTGGTCGCAGAGCGCAGACTTGAAATTTTATTTAGCTGGAATATTTCCTGGATTTTGTCTACAATTTTGGCGGCGGTCACGAATGGCTGTGGAAGTTGTCGCGGCGGCAGCAAATTTTGATGGAACTGTATGGCCCAGAACCGGAAGAGGACAAGAAGGCGCTTCATTGATTTATGAGAATCGCCTATATCCGAAATACTGGAATTTCTGAATAAACTTAATTCAATACTTTTTTATTGAAGTACATTTATGGTATGCATAATTGCACATGCAGGAAAGAAACATAACATCTAATCTACATCTAATACTCAAGTTCAATAATTTTTTTCACAGGCGTTTTGCCGATGTCAAAATTCGCAGACATTAGTCAATCTAACCATCCCTAATTAAATTCTCTAGACGCGGTGACTAATAGAAAATATTCAACACGCGCTCTTCATCGTTCCCCTCAAAACCACTTCTTGACTTTCTCAAACGATAATCATGAAGTCGCTGCTGTTATCGACATTCCTCTTCATATTAGGTGAGTATAATTTTATCTACTATAAATGTCTCAGCCGAATGTACCCTTCCACCATTCTTCCAATACAATGTCAGTTTCGGAGATTGACAAGTGAATTTGTAATTTTGAGATGAGCAGCATCGACCCGCTTGGGCCCTGGGAGCAGGCCTGCGTGTGAGTTTTTGATCATATATTTTGAGTCGTGCAGGAACTACACTGAACAAATCGAAAAACATATTAAAAAATACGATTATCATCAATGGGCGCCAGTGATCGCTCGTCTGTTGGAAGGCACCGAAGGGGTGCAAGCTCAATTCTGTCGTGACGAGCAACTAAAACCGGAATGTAACTGAGATGTCCGTAACCGTAAAGTTTGTTTTCCGATGAGGCACTGGTTGAGTGTGGCCGAACCAAAGGGAACGGCACAAATGCTGAATGCGGGGCCAAATATCCTGGCGCTAATGAAAACGAGAAGTAGGTTTATGATAGGCGTGTCGTAATTCCAAGCCTAGGGACTATGTAGCTGCATATACTTGCTTCTACACCGAGCTAGGGAATACTTGCGGTGGTCCAAAGAGTATCTACCGGATTGTGAAGTTGGAAACCGCCGGCGTTGGTCGTTTTTGCTTACCAAATTTTGGCGATTTTAGCTTGAATACGCGGTCGACTTCATTAGGATCCTGGGTGGGCACAATGCCTGGCTATGATCTCGGCTACGGCGTCAAGAAATCTTGATGGAGCTTTATGGCCCAGAGCCGGAAGAGAGCAGAAAAAGTCTTCAGTAATCATTATTTCAATAAAGCGTTTTTGTGCGATTTTAATAAAGCCACTTCGAATTCCCAGTACCTTATGTCAACTCTCAAGGCCCGTTTCCTTTGAGAAAAGGCGTTTTCGTATATCCAACCTAATTGCTGGGACCAGTTGTGATGAAGGTAATGCCCGAGCATGCTAATCGCGATTTACACCTGGGTCTCAGGAGGGGCTGGGGGAAGTGTGTGGACTACTGCGGAAAGCGCGGTATTAGGCGCTGTGCGTATGGAGGGAGGGGGCTAATTACTACAGATTATCCGGCAGCAAAGTTAATGCCGCAAGGCGGGTTGAGGACGTTGGATGCAAACGAAAGGACGGTCCCTCGGAAGCTACAGTGCTGGTAAAAAATATAGCTCCAATTAGTCTTTGTTGGTTAGCTCGGCACCGTTGGTTTGCCGAGATCTTCCACTAATGGCTCGATGCTTCAGAGCTCCAATTTCCCGATCATCCGTTTGAGATTTTTTCTCAATCCCACAATCTGGCACCCCGGATCGGCAACTTACCCGCGTTGGGCCGCCCATTTGCGTATCGATCACATCGGGCACAGTCGGGACAGGGGAGCCCGATCCGCGAGGCTGTGGGGACTATCTTCCAGTGGTTTTCTTTTTGCCCTAAACGCGTGAAATTGATCGGAGCGCCGAAGGGGCTTCTCCTCGCGTGGGCACCCGGGCAAGGAAGGAGGCCGAGGAGGATTGTGCGGGGCTGGACCTGACCGGCGAGTGCGCAGCGCGCTGGGAAGGGTCGGGGCATATGTGTTTTTTCCTTCGGGGTGGCAGAGGCTCAGAACGCAGCAGGTCAAATACCGTGACATTTCTAAATCCCTTTAACAGTGCCTACCTTTTTTGCCCACCCCTGCTTCCTCGGCTTAGGCCCCCCTACTCTCGCCTAGGTGAGCCAGATCTCAAAAGCCCCGCCCCCCCCCCATTTCCCTACCATTGGCTTTTCCCGTTTTGGCAACACCGTCCCCGCGTAGCGGCTTGGACCCCCCGCTAATCCGAAGCTGCCAAAAAATGTAGCCTTTTCGAAATAGGCGCTCATTTCCTCCCCCAGATTACCGGGGTATGGTAGTTAATTAATTTTTTTGAGGCGCCCCTGGGGGTCCCGGGGGAAATGTATGTCACAAGGTGGACTAAAAAGTATGAATGGCGACATTTGGGCTTTAGTTTTTTTTTGAGCCGGTCGCTAGGATGCCGTATTTTTGCGGGCATAGACCAATCTACTAAAAGCTCCAGGGATTAAGTTGCAACCTAAGCTCGGTCGTGATTATTTTCGCGGATGTAGGGATGCTGGGATCAGGGATGAAGCCCTCGGGGCCCATGGTTACATACGTTTGGTCAGAGACCGAGATTTTGAGGCGTATTTTAGAAAGGCCTGCGGGATTTCGGAGATCTGGGCACAAAAATGCGGACTTATTCCAATTAGGGTTTGCTACAGAGAGGGAAATCACCTCTCCTGGGAGCAGATTTCGTCTTGAATCTTATTGGGGCCACAAATATCATAACTTGAGAGTTACTTTAATCATAATTGTTTTGACGCTAGGACGGCAAACAGGTGTTTCCTGCTCATTTCCGGGATATTGCCGAAAGTCAAAGACAAACGGCATATCAAAAATTTTCGTCAAGATTTTTTCACATTTTTTTGGGTCTCAAGGTTTTTATGTCCCCCTTATATATACTCAAATCGGTCCCCCGATCCCTTATGCTCAATCGATGCCTCATGTTTTATTCCAGATGGGCGAGAAAACACAACCCGGCGACACCCCTTACGTAGAGAGGCCAGCTTCAGTTGATGTTATTCAGAGCGGGCCGGATTGTCTCATGTCTCTCCATCTTTCCCGATCACTCGTGATCCGCAGCCTCCTCCTCCCCAACACCCCTCTGGCCAGACTGTCAACGGCCATACAGTTGCCAGCCCACACCTCCCGTATATCATTTCAATTTTTTATCGATTTTTATGGAAGATCGGGGGATTTTTGTGACGTTGCTGTTTTACAGCTGTGGACTTGGGGTTGTACTGACTTCGATGAGGCGCTGTAGAAGATATAAAGGGTAATGTGCAGGTATCGAGCTGGGTTAGCTTTAAGGTACCTGTAGCCACTACTAGCCCTAGGAACTAAGTATTCAAACATATTAAAACATCAGAGGCAAACTTAAAAAACTCCCTAAGTTGAGTGGAGGTTTGTCGCGCAGCAGTGCTGGGAATGCAAAACTTAGTGAGGAGGCTTCTCGCAGGCTCAGCTGTAAAGCACTTTTTACACCAATGACGCCTCAGCCAGATCTCCTAATAATTTAGTTATATGAGCAATTTCTGCCTCAAAAATAAAAACTCAATGAATCTAAAGCCGATTGATTCGATTGAAACCGGCCTCTCTGGTGTCTACACCACCTCGCAGTACCTCAGACTCCTAGGGGTCCTCTCACTTAGACTCTGACTCACCCTTCGGGGATGGGTGGCACCCCGGAAAGTACACAGCCTGCCCCATCGGGTCCATTCCCCGGAAATAAAACAAAACAAAACAAAACATTGAAGGCAGATTTCAGTGATATTCATAGTGATTCATCCCTCGCTCTCCCTCTCTCTCGCTCTTTCCCTCTCTGTCTCTCTCTCTGTCTCTCTCTCTCTCTCTCTCTCTCTCTCTGTCTCTCTCTCTCTGTCTCCTTCTTTCTTTCTCTCTATCTCTCTCTTCCTCTCTCTCTGTTTCTATCTCTCGCGCTGGCTCTCCAACCAGCTCTCACCCTCGTCCTCTCCTTCTGTCTCACCCTCTCCCCCTCACCTTCTCCTTCTCTTTCTCCTTCCCCTTATCCATCTCCACCTCCTCTCCCTCTCCCTCCCCTCTACCTCTCCCTCACTGCACCTTCTCCCACACATCTCTCGCCCCAAAGCGCCCCTGGTATACGGTATCCCCTTTGTTAACAGCGAGACTGAGAAACCCCTGCCTTGCGCCACCCAATAAAAACTGCCCCGTTTTTGTAGGGGCGCCCGGTACGTATGAAAAACTGAAGGCCTCCCAACACGCTCGGGTTGTTTTTCCTGAAATTTATGGTGCCAGGACCGGAAAGAGTCGCAAATTCTCTCCCTTCAAAAGGAGCAGCATCGCTTTGTTGCTGCCAATTTTTTATCTGAGTGAACTTATCTTTAACATTAATTCATTATTTAAGGTACCCGACCCGACCTATCATCTGGAGTATCATCTCAAGCACCCGTTCCGTAGGTTTAACATTCAAAGTATAAAATTGGTTTCCAATATCAGGCCTAAACAATATGGTTATCGTATATCTAGACCCCCACGAACGCTTGCCTGTCTTTAACCCACTCTCCGCGGAATATTTATGAAGCCGCGGTTGTCGGCGATTACCGTATCCTAGCTGTCGTATCTATCATAGATTTAGTCAATAGAATAGAGAATCGTCGGCTATATTTCAATAAATAAATATTATTCCATATCTGCACCGAGGAGATCGTAGTTAGTATGCATATCGTAGTGGTCGAACATTCAAAGCTTATCTCGATAAATTGATGGTATGGGCTTAGAACATGGAGCAACAATTTGAAGACGCCGTAAAGTTAACTTAAGGTCGCACTTTAAATTGTGCACAACATGGCGCGAGGCGGCGCGCGGGCACGCGTCGGGAAAAAGGTATAGATATTGAAGTATCCATTAAGATATCTTTTTATTAGGTGCCTGAATCGCCCTCGACGAGTCCACCTGCACGTCAAAAAGCTGCGGTTAAGGCTTCCCCTCGTACTTCTCCGTCTCCGGCAGATCCAAGTCCGATTCCACAACCACTGGTCCTTAAGCGCCAGAAAAATCAGCAGTATAAGACACAAGATGAACTCAATGTATGTCTCATGCAACCTTCTCATAATTAGAAGCCACTTTAGTCGAATGACTACTACCACAATGCAGCCCAAGCCGCACTCAAAAGTCTGCAAACTTTCACACAGGTATTATATCCGTTCAGTCGATAGAATAGATATTTTTAGATGACGGTTCATGAACAATCCTTCAATTGTGCGGAGGCCAAGGCAGCTTCGGTAAAGACTTCAAATTCAAATTTTCAATTAAGTTAAGCTGGAACGAATGGCCGAGGAGGATGAACGGTCCGTGTTGTATAATCCGGTAGTTATAGGCGAAAACCACTTAACTTAAAATTACAGGAACGGATTCGAGAAGGAAGATTGCGTTATGAAGACGATCCGCTAAATGAAGTGACGATAAAGGTATATTTTCCGCAAAATTAAAATGTTGCTCTTAAGTTGTCATCAATCTCAGCAAGATCGCCACCGCCTTATGAGACTCGATCTTCTGCAAGCAAGAGGCGTACGGTAACCCATTTTCAAGGGCTGTAAAAGTTTTTACAGGATGCGTGGTCAGCCACTGGATGGCATGGGTCTTCCTGTGATTACCGGCCTGAGCCCTTAACATGTCCTCCGAGATGGGTACACATTGATATTTCATCACATAAGTTATTTTTTAATAGAGAGGAGACCAACTGGAAAAGGAGCAAGCGTACTATTCAACACGAAAGAAAATTCAAGCAAGACGGGAGGTTTTGGTAGTTGCATCAAGCATATCACGAAATGTCGTTCAGCGTGACGAGTCGAGCTCGAGGAGGAGACAGCGCGGCAAATCGACGTCTACTAGAAAACGTGGGACGATCGTGCAACCGCAAGAAGACCTGGTATGAGCACTTTAGGTCCTGATAGTTGTTTTTAGAACGAGCTTGCTGTTCTGGAGGATGCGATGGGTTACCACTATGGTATCGCTCTGATCACAGATGCTGATCAAGCAGATGATGCTGGCCCCTCGACACCCCCGCAAACTATGAATCTGGTATTGTCATTTTAAGTATGAATACAATTTTTTTAGCAACCGGTCGAGACGGTAGAGGAGGAGCACGAGCAGGAGCCTCAACCGTCATCGAGCAATGTTCAGGCGACTTCTATTACGAGACTGTCATTATTGCCTGAGATGCCAGCGGCTTCTCCCGTCACCTTGCGACCACCAACGCCTGAAACACAGGAGGCAGTTGCTACTCAGGTACTATAACGCTCACAAAGGCCAACTGATTTTCAGGATCCGGAAAGCGATGATGAAGACGGGGAAGATGGTACTGCTGAAAATCCATTCGTTGTGGATTCTGAGTCTGAGCAAGATGACGAAGATGAGGAGGAGATTGTGGAGCACGAGGTCGATAGAGAATCGGGCGCTGCACCAATAACTGCTCTTGAAGCCCATGCTCGTCTGGTACGATACTTTGTTATTAGCAGACATAAATCAATTCTTCAGCCACATCTACTAAAGAATGATGGTGCTCAGAGCAGCAGGATAGAGCCTGTTCAAATTGACACCGCTTCTGAGTTAGTCATCAAAGAGGTCGAGGGGGACGAGGCAGCAGATGCCTGTGTGAATGAAGAGCAGGAGGTGGACGACGACGACGATGTGATTTTGATCGATTCCGAGGAGGAGCTGGAGGTTGGGGAAGACAAGGAAGGGGTGCCCGATGTGATAAAGCCTGCTCTTCCTTGCGCGATCCACGTAATTTTCAAAACACAACATTGCCCATAATCTTCAGGCTCATCGACAAAGCGTGATTGTGTGCCCGCAAAGGTCGAGCGGAGGAAGTGCACAATCTCCAAGGTCTGCTTCCGACTCCGGTTTCTTGGAGGATGAAGCAGAAAACGTTGCTGGTAATGAGGAAAAAGCCGACGAAGAAGTGCAGGCTCAAAAGTCTGCTTCTCTTGCTTATGTACGGTTAAACACGGTATGAGATCCGAACCATAGACAACGAAGAAAATATCCTTTAGGGGTCTCGAAAAATTCGAAAGAAATGGGTGTCGGTAGATAGACAACTATTGATGGTGGAGTCCGACTCAGAAGTGGAGGAAGATGAGGAATGTGATGAGGATCAGGATTCAGACGTGGTCTTCCTTGACGATGATGATGGCAATGAAACCGAAGAGCCAGAAAATGATGGCGATCAAAATGATAGGGTTGATGCTCTACAGGAAACGGAAATTTTGACGCCTGTTCCTTGCGTTTCTACCATCCTGGTAAAATCACCGCTTTTTAACAAACGAAAAGCATGTTTCAGGACCAGGCTTCTAAAGAAGTTGCAAATAGCTGTAAAGCGATACCAAGCCCTCAAAGCGAAAAGCCCATTGAGTCCGACCTGCTGTTAAAAGTAGATGATGCTTGCAAAGTGGTTGGTTTTTAAAATTAAATAAAAGATCATGGCTTAGCTAACTTGTGAAACAACGCCGCTCCCTGATGAAGGTACTGACAAAACCATGGTTGAAGAAATCCAGGCAAAGGATACTTCCGCTCCTCCTCAACTTACTCCTTTGTCGATCGCACTTGTAAGTCTAATTCTAACAAAACAACGGATGTTGTTGTCCAGGATACCTCTGGCTCAAGCCCCAAGGCGACTAAGCTGCCGGAAACTGACCCAGTAAATTCCGGAGAGGCATCTGATGACGAAGAACTGCTGAAGATTGTTAAAGTAAGCAGATAATGCATATTCATATCGATCTGAAACCTATAGGATCACGTCAGCGCGGACAAGCTTGCCAGGCTTGTGAAATTTTTACAAAAAGAAAAGGATGAAAGCCGAAAGGTGGGTTTGGTTTTTGGAGTAGTTTGTATAAACAATGTTTTTAGAAAATTTCCGAGAGCTCTCCGAAGCTTGATGAATTCTCCGCTCAAGCTCGAGCTGAAGAAAGTTCTGAAAGCCTGGTTTCCAAACCGGAAGCGGAAGCATCTGACGTTCTTCAAACTCCGGAAGCATCAATCGTAGCCCTAGTAAATTAAAACAGATAATTTGAAAAATTTTAGAACGAGGCGATCGAGGAGAAGCCTACAAGCGAGCCAAATGTTTCGTTCGATAAAAACGATGCGGCAAAGATAAGTGAAGGCTTTGGGGATCAATCAATATTGCAAGAACCGGAAGTTCTCGAGCTTAAATCCAAGAAAAAGGTATGTATGCCCTTGGCGAAAGATATGCTAATGTTTAGAAGACCAAAAGCGGTGCCTTGAAAAGGTTGAGGAAGAAGCAGAAGAAGGAGAAGTCAAAATCCAGCAAGAATAAGAAGAAGAACGTTATGACCAAGGTTATGCGGGGTAGTCATTAATTTTCTCATTTCGGTAATTTCGCATAGAATCCCGTAAAGTCATCGAGTCGTTGATCGAGTCAGTGGAGAAAGACGAAAACCGTAAGCTCCCAGCACCCGAACCATTGCCAACCCTGGCAGAAAAAGAGAAGAGTCTCGAGTCTCCAGAACCTGATCAAGGTATTAAGTATGCATGCTACTAATGCTAATACTCCATTTCCAGATTTAGCTCATGGTGAAGAGAACACGGGAACCCAAGCGAACGTAAACGAAGAAGGTAAAAACATCTTCTTTTCTTTAATTTTGCATAGAATTGCGTAAAGTCATCGAGTCGTTGATCGAGTCGGTGGCGAAAGAGGAAAAGCGTAAGCTCCCAGCAGCCGAACGATTGCCAATCTCAGCAGAAAACGATGAAAGTCTCACGCCTGAAGAAGCTGAAAAAGGTATGTAATTAATATGCTACGGATGCTAGTACCCTATGTTAGATGAAACTCTCTGTGTGGAGAACACGGAAACACAAACTGGAGTAAACGAAGCAGGTAAAAACAACTGCTTTTGTCTAATTAGCATAGAATTTCGTAAAGTCATCGACTCATTGATCGAGTCGGTCGAAAAAGAGCAAAACCGGAAGTTGACGCCCGAACCATTGCCAAACTTGGCAGAAGAAGAGGAGAGTCTCGAGTCTCCAGAACCTGATCAAGGTATGCCATTAAGTCTGCTACTAATACTAATACCGTATTTCTAGCTGAATCTCTTTGTGAGGCGAACGTCGAAACACAAGCTGATGCAAACGAAGAAGGTCAATCCATCTTTTTTTTTGTTTAATTTTGCATAGAACCGCGCAAAGTTATCGAATCATTGATCGAGTCGGTGGAAAAAGAGGAATATCGTAAGCTGCTGGCACCCAAACCACTGCCAATCCTGACCGAAAAGGATGACGGTCTTAAGTCTCCAGCACTTGAACAAGGTTTGTCAAGGAATGCGACGAACTCTAATACCCTATTTTAAGCTGAAGCTCTTTGTCTAGCCGACGCGGATGCACAAGCTCAAACTATTTTAGAAGGTAAAAACATTTCATTTTGTTTAACTTTTCCTAGAATCGCGCATGGTCATCGAGTCATTGATCGACTCAGTGGACAAAAAAGAAAATTCAAAGCTGCTAACACTGGAACCATCACAAATCTTGGCCGAAAGAGAGGAGAATCCCAAGTCTCCAGAACCCGAGCAAGGTATGTAATTACTGCTAGTGCTAATTCCCTATTTCTAGCTGCAGCTCTTTGTGAGGCGAACGCGGAAAGGCAAGCCGAAGCAAACGAACAAGGTAAAAACACCTTCTCTTGTTTAATTTTGCACAGAATCGCGCACAGTCATCGAATCATTGATCCGGGCGGTGGAGAAAGAGGAAGACCGTAAGGGTATATGCTGATAATGCCGATTTACAGAATGGCGATCTTACAAAATGCCGATTTACAGAATGCCGATTTACAGAATGCCGATTTTACATATTTTGGGTTTTGATTTCCCCCCAAACCCCAAAAACGGCCCTGACACCCAGGCCGTTAGTAACTTTGCACAGGAATGGTAGGGTAAGCTAGCAGAGATCATTTACGGAAACTGCCATCATCACCGGCAGGCTAGCATTGACACTTTGCGAAAGCTGATCCTTGGGCTATCTGGCAGAGATCATTGAGGAAAGGCAAGAGACAAGTGCTAGTAACCCAAGGGTGGACCATTGGTAACGTCGAACTAAGGTTTCTATGAAAAAAAGAAAAAATAAAGCTAAGCTTCAGATCTGACGGTTTCGCCATGGCCAAGTCGGATAATGTTTTTATGGGGATCCGGTTTGTGTTTTTGATGTAAAACCCAAATATGTAAAATCGGCATTTTGTAAAATCGGCATTCTGTAAACCCAAATATGTAAAATCGGCATTCTGTAAATCGGCATTCTGTCAAACGACACTATGTAGAAAAATCGATCGAAAGCTACTAGCACGATACTAATAATTAATGATCCAGAACCTTTTGAAGTACGCGAGACGCCAAGCAAATCTATGCAGCGAGACGAAAATTCTGAGCCGCCCCTGGCAATTTTGATTCTGGCAACGCCAACAAGTGGCATCAAGAAGAATGAAGGCCTGAACTCACGAACCTCTGCGTCGGGTAAGGAATTACAATGCGCGAGAGGGAGAGAGAGAGAGAGGGAGAGAGAGAGAAGACGTTAGCAATGAATTCCTTGTGCTAGAAATCTACTATATATAAATTTCTAATGTCCGTCCGTTCGCGCGACCGGGAATTCAGCAAATCCGGCATTCAAATTCCAAATTCAAATTTTTTTTTTCGGGGGGGGGGGGAGGGCCAGCGCTGAACCGCCGCGTAGCGGGGGTCAGTGCTGGTTTACATATAAACGGTTTTCAGGAGCCCCGGAAGTGCCCGAGTCGTCATCTATCTCCAGAGCAAAAGACGAAAGCCTGAAATCAGCCCCTCGGCCCGAATCGCCAGGAAGCGTAAACGAAAAGGAAGGCGACCAGCCGGTGACGGTAGCTGCTGCGTCAGGTAGGTAATTAGGAGTTTAGTACGTGGGCTTGCATATAATAAACATCATAAGATTAGAAACACGTATGCCTCAGTTTTGACAAATTTTCTTTTAAAGGACCGCCTGGAAGCTCTCAATCATCGGCCAAGTCGACACAAGGAGACGAAAATATCTATTCACCAGCATCGGAACCAGGTATGAATCTAGTATGAATTCCGTCAGACTCTAAAATCTGATTTCAGCTGTGGTTTCAACCGTCGGTAACGGAGTACCGGATACCACGAAGCAAGGAAAACCGGTGGAAAAAGCTGGTGAAAAAGGTATCAAATCGAAAACTACCGTTCCAGCGGTATATTTTAGCTTTGAAATCCGGTGCATCTACACCTACTCAAGCCGATACAGCAGACGACCGGCTGATTGATTGTATTTACATAAAGACGCCAACATCTTACAAAATTGCAGATCGCAAATTGCCGATCACGGCCTTAACAAAAGAGTTGAAAGCCGTACCTCTCGGGAAGGAGATTAAGGCAGCTAAAGGTTTGCTTTAATAGGCCATATTCATTAAGTTTAAGTATATTTAGGAACACCAGGTGCACCACTTCGGGTTAGGCCACCACACAGGGAAAAGAAGGTGAAGCGTGCGCATAGTGGTAACGATAATTTTTGCTAGTTTTGAGCCCATTTTTACTCTAGGCGCAAAAGTAGCTACAACTCGGGAGCCAAACGAAAAGCGGCTAAAACAACTGGAACCGGAAATGACTGGCAAAGACACAGAGAAAGGTGGGCTTAAAAATAAATGATAGCTCCGGTTTTTCAGATTGTTACCAAGTCTCGAGCAGCAATCCGCATCAAGACAATGACACCAAAGACTTTTCTATTTCTTCCCTTTTGGATCAAGAGTTCGATGTTTTAGACCGATATCTACGCGGATTAGAAGGTATAAGAAATCAATCGCAACTGAAACTGCTCGTTACAGAGTCTCGCCCATCGTCACCGGTTCAAGGCGAAGTCGAACGCCCAGATCCCTTAAATCACCGTATTTTTTTGAAACTAATTTGGTTTTATTTTCAATACCGTAGCGGGGAGGATTTTTAGGCGCAAACTCTAAGGAGTTCGACCCGGTGGCGCCGGCGGCTTGGTTCGAAGAATGGGTGGATACACAAGATGGTAGTTTTCTCTATTTCATAGCAAACATTTATCGATCTTTCAGAACGCGACGGTGCACAGGCCGCCGAGATTCCTGCCAGCCTGAGAAAAAATGAGACTCAAACTGGTACGCAAGTTTCACTAATTTAGAAAGGGCATGACTCTCGATGTTTTGAACTCGAATAAAAAAATAATCATAGTAAGTTTTAGGCGATATGCCGTGGCCGGTTTCTCCCTGCATCAGCAGAGTTGGAGCTCCCGAGCCTGTCAGAATTGCTGAATCTCCAGACGATTTCGGAAGTTTCTACTACGACGATGTTGAAGCGAGTATGCAAATTTTGCAAAATCAGATAAAGTCATTCTGCAGTACCGGATGCTGATGCTCTCGCCGTGATTGTCGCCAGCCCTTGCAAAAATGCGACGCAAATTGGTATGCAAATTCTAACGCTGTAAGCATGGATTAAAATTCTAGGATAGACATGAAACCAAAATAATAGCAACAATTTGTAGATGATATCGCAATAGCCTTTACGCCGGAGCCGAATTCTCCCTACTTCAACAGAATTGATGCTCCTGAGCTTGTCGGAGCTGCTGAATCTCTAGACGATTTCTATCATTTAGACTACGACGATGTTGGAGAGGGTATGCCAACTTTGCAAAATAAGGTAAAGTCATTTCGCAGTACCGGATGCTGCGGCTGTCGCCAAGTTTGTCGCCAGCCTTCGCGAAAAGAGGCCGGCGACTGTCTCTGGTATGTTAATTCCCCCGCTTTAAACAGGGTCTAAGAGACTCGATTTTGCGCTTGTTAGAAAATGGTGATAAAAATTTTTAGGTGACGCTGCGACAAGGGAGCTGCAGAAACCGACTTCTCCTAAAATCAGCAGAGTTGAATCTCCCCAGCCTGGAAGGGCTGCTGAATCTCCAGACGATCTTGGCCATGGTGATCATGTCGATGTCGAGACTGGTATGCAAATTTTACAGTATCTAAATACAATATGTTCGTTTCCAGGTGATGACGTAAAGGAGATGCAGCAACCTGACACTCCCTGCAGCAGCAGAGCTAAGCATCCAAAGTCTCGAAAGCCCGCCGAAGCCCGAGCCCCATCGCCTATTCCCATCCCCAGACCACGAACTCCTGAAGGACCTCCAGCCGCTGTGGTACAGACAACCGGAGATCAAACTTCGGAAGCTTCAAAATGCAAACCTGATCGCTTCGACATGATCAAAGCTAGAGCGACCAGGCGAAAGCCGGCTGAACGCTTCGGACAACCAGCCTCCCATAAGGAGCTGAGGAAAGCGCTGAGGAGTCCGAAACGGCCTCACCATTCCGGCTATAAGTTGGATAAGAAACACGAGCCTGGCGCGAAGAAGCGTCGCAAAAATAAGGACGATCCGGAGTATCAGCCGAGGGTCCGGTTTTAATGTGTATCTTCAGCTAAATTTTATGGGTCTTTTTCAAATGTGATTTGTTTTCGGTTGTATCGATTATATCTGAAATCCGGTATGAATTAAATTTCGATTTTCAGGTTTTGTTTCTTTTGCCATTACTTAGTTTATTATTTATGTTTTAGGCTTTTTTCGATTTGTGTTTTATGTGGTTTTGATTCTAGCATTGATTCTAGTGATTCTTAGAGCTTTTCGTGTATTTATTCTCCCGGTTGTGGCATTTTCGCTTAATTTCTACCGGTTACTCTCTACACCACCTCCCTACGACCACCTCTCAAAAACCCTCACTTTTTAAATAAATTCATGCATTTGAAATACAATTTATTGGCTTGATGTGGAAATGCAATGGTTGCGGGAGGGAGGGGTATTTCGGTTTTGTTTTTGTCTATATAATCAAGGGAAAAAACATACGTAAATAGTAGCCGAGTGGAATGTTCGGGGGAGAGTCACCGGCAAATAAGGAACACAAGCGGTGATTGGAGAGGGAGATATTTATAGAAGAAAAAAAGCAAAATTTATAGAAACAATAACCTGTGAATTTTGTGGAATGGAGGGATGTGGAAATGTAATTATTTCGATTTTTTAGTTAAAAAATTAAACATTTCAGAAATACCGTATTCATCGACTGGTTTAGCGGACTAGGGGGGTATACTAATTATAAAGTGAGTCAGGGCAGGATGTAGTTTGTATTCAATCGCCTAAGGAAAAATTTGAATTTTTTTAACTCCCTGCCCCGACCCACCCAAAGTTTCACACCTTCACAAACTTATCTCCGCAGAAACGATCTACCTACAAAAGCACTTTCTGCTTCAACACTGAAGATCTAATCGCGGCCGCGAGTTCGAGGGATAATTGGGGGGTGAGGGACAACAGCTTTGGGCGAAAACCTTTACACCTCGTCGAATGCGACAGATAGGCTGAGGGAAATCGAAGACCTTGAAACGTGTGTGTTTTGGTGCGCTTTTGCAGGGAATTTGCAGGGAATTTGGTAAGCTGGACTGGAGGATATTAACGCTACAATATCATATTATGGAGCACGAGAGCTGCAAGCGAGATCCACTGATCCACTAGGACCAAAGAATCGGGAAGTAACGTCAATTGGGTAGGGAGCTGTCTGTGGAACTTTGGTGCGATACAGCTCCACCATCAGCTGATGCTCTTCCGGTGGCGAGAAGCTGCTCCCGAAGGGATAGGGCCTCGTTTTTCGCCACGCAGAATCGATTGAAATACACACCTAAAAAAGAGTGGTTGGCCTCAGACCGATCCATCAATGACAATTCAAGGCCGGCGACAGGTATTCGCGCTAGTTTTCTCTCACTCTCTCCAAGCATGAACTTACGCGCTCTTCGTCTGGCCGCCTCGAGTTTTGTTCGAAGGCCGTCTCCAGAACTCTCGGCTTCACGTAGACGACACTTCATATGCTCCAAGTCTTCCCGTTCTTTGGCCAGCATCTCCCGTTGCGTTTTAAAGTGCTCGTTCGCCATATCGACAAGACGGATGATTTTCCCCATGACGAATGTGCCGTCTTCAACAGATACTGTAAGAAAGGAAAGATGGAAGGAGCTTTGAATTGAAAAAAGATGATAAAGTCATGCTTACCTGATTGATTTGTTGAATTTGTGGATGAGACTGCTGAGGACCCGCCGGAACCGGCAGATCCGGAAGAGCCGCCACGCTCGGACATTGGACCCTCCTAAGTTACAGTAGTCTAACGAAAAGCTAGGGCTACAAACCTCATCTTTTCGCATGTTTTCCAGGGAATCATTGTCCGAGGTGGTATCGCTGTTATTTTGCTGTTCAGATTTTGACAGGTTTAGTGGGGCAGAATCCGGGGGTGGTTGTTCTTCGGGGCTTCCGCTTTCTACGTCCACCTCTTCGGCACTGAAATTGAAGCTTAGAACGCTGCTTTTCTTTAAAAAGTGAATTTTTGATGCTATCAGGCAAAACCGTAGTCAAATTAGTGGAATTTGATGTTCTGGGAATTGCAACAGTTTGTTTTTACAGTTTGAATCGGCGTTAAAACGTAGGTAGAAATTTGCGCAAAACTTTCCAGCATCTAAAACGTTACAAATCCTATTTTAATATCTTTTTTGCCGCTCCCTACTACACAAACATTTGCCCATTTCAGTCAGCCGCATTCCCCCCACGCTCTCCCCCCTCAATTCACACCAAGAGAACATCGAATTCGATGTTATCTGAGGAGAAGGAAGGGCGGCGAATGCTCGTCCCCCCCCCCACCGACCGGCCACCTTCCCCCTTAAAATGCGCTAAGCCGGGAAATGTGACAAATGGGCTGCACGGTGGCTACCGTAGTCAATTATTTTTTGCCGTTCGGCGCAGCGCGAGATTGAGATCAGCATGTTGCGATTGCGAGCAATTCGGTGCAATGGGAGATAGTTTTCTTAAGATATATCTTGGAAAGAATTACCGTATCATTTGGGGTTCAGAGCAATGTTGGTGTTGAGCAGTGGCGGCGGCCAGCATTTGTTGGACGAGGAGATGGTGCGAGAATGAGGGCAGGAATTGGCCCAATATCATTCCTTGGTTCGTTTGAGGGTTTACGACTTCGAGAGGGCCTGAAATTTGCAGAATATTGGAGTGCCTGTTTTGAAAAGGTTTAAAAAAGCAATTGAAAAACAAATGGTACCAGAGAAAATGGAGGAATTTGGGATTTTCTTAACTTACCTTCTTGCCGAACCTGTTTGCTGGTCCATTCTTCCATAGCTGCTAGCCTTTTTGCTGGTCTTCCGGGCCTAAAATATAATAATTTGCATGCGGTAATGGCAACAGTACCTGCTAGTGCAGTCATCATATAGTTTGTCGAAATCATTAGATGAAATAAGTTTGCAACGATTGACTCCTGGTTGAATGGCGCCGAGGGAGCGAAGCGCGCGAACCTGAAAGTTATGGGTTGAAATCCCTCCACAAAAGCTCAATCTTTAGCCTTTTAAGTTCCCTACTTACCTGCTCTACATTACATACTAGCGGCGATATCTCTAGACGTTTCAATTTTGTATACACCGTATGCAGCCCGCCGACGAGGTTTTTTAGGAATAACTCGTAGGCCTAAACATTACAAAGTTTCGAAAATTAACTTTGTTAAAACCTGAGGTAGACAAATCATATCAATTCCTTTAATCTCAAAACACGCCAATTTCTGGAGACGATATTCAATTACCTAAAAACTGATCAAAAACCAAGAAATTAGCTTTTACTTTAGCTGTAGGGGTCTCTCCATTAGATTCATACATTGGAAAATCAAAGTTCCCGCTGTTAGAGTCGGTGGATGAAGCGGAGGAATTCACTAAAAACAAGTTAGTATTATTTTTAAATTTCACTTTTATCTTGTAGATCACTATTCGGGGTGGAGGAGGGACGAATCGAGAAAAGGGAGGCGAGCGGATGCGGTAGCAGCGGAAGACCGAGCCCGAACGCGCTGCCAGGTTCCAGCATCTGAAATCGGGAATTCATCTGGTTCTAGGAGAACTTCAAGAGGGGGAGAAATGACAGTAAAGGGGCCAGTCGGCCATGCTTCACTCTTATATATACACAATGAGAAGATTCCAATTGTTGACGTCAAGATTTGTATATATTAATAACAGTTACCTCGTAAATACCTCTTAAGTTGATGGGCTTCGAGAAAGTTCGCGGGCATACGAGCTTATTGGAGCTAGCCAGTGGGGTACTATGGCCCCAGGGACAGAGAGACAATCGCTTAAGTGCCCGCCCGTAGGTATCTTCGTTTTGATGACGGAGAAGTCATCGCCCCGGCCCGATTTCATAAGCCGACTTGGCACGCGCCAACCGTTTATTTATAAATCATTCAGGTATCCTGTTGAGGTGAGGCTGTTTACCAATAATATGCGCGCATCACAGATTAAGCTCCTGCGCGAGGAGTGGATGCAGTAAAAAGTGGGTAAAAGTACAGCAAGCAACGTGGATGGATACTGTAGGTTAAGTGAGTGATGCTTGGGAGGGTCTCAGGCTGACAATATTTACGGGCTTTTCAAATGGCAGGAAAATATAGTTTCTAAATTAAAATCACTAATACCCACTTTAAAAAAATTTTAAAATGTAGGTAGAGGTACCGTAAGCAGGGTGCGGTAAGGCTTTACTTTACCTCCTCCCCAGAGCCGAAGGGTACGTTTTCGGTCTTTTAGCTTATTTTGTCGGGATTTTTGCAATGCCATTCGATAGAGCATGGAAAAATCTCGATAGAGTTTTAACTTGAGCCTAAAATAAGATAAAATAAAAAAGTTGTAGCCAAAACCTTCCGGCTGGGCCGGGGGGGGGAGTAAAGTGTAGCCTAAAAGCGGGGTACTATAATGAGGGGTACTGTAACTTGAAGAAACGGAACCCTTTTGAAGTCCCACGCTTATATTATTCACCCAACTTTCGACACACCGGGATATATCCCTAATTTCCAGGTCAAAATCACTTATTCCCAACTACCATTCCCCCTCCTTTTTACGTCACCAATCCAAGCCCCCGCCCGTCCGATCCGGATTTGTTTTCGAAAGCCCAGTTTCATACCTATCCCCGTCCCCCCACATCTCCGCTAATTTCAATTTCTGTATCCGACGTACTTTGGCATCGCCTTGGAATGACTTATGAAATCCGGGTGTGAAAACGGGGTGTTAAGGGGTTTTTTGGGGCCAAATCGGGGTTGGAGATAATCACTCGTGTTTGGAGACGGCCGATCCGAGATTAGCGGATTTGATGGTGGGGGTGAGCCGGAGATCTGGGGATTGGAGGCGCGTGCCGAAAATCTGGGAGAAATTGTGCGAAAATTGGGGAGTTTATAGCTATTTAAATTGCTGTAGGACTACTTAAAATTGATAATTAGTACCAAATCCAGATCTGCATTAAACTGGGAAAGTTTTTGCATGTTTTGGCGTTTTTAAAGGGTTGTGTTTGATATGAATTTTGCTTAAAATAAATTTAGCGTCAAGTTGAATCACTGTAGAATTTTTTAAAAGCTGCAATTAAATTGAAAATGGTATTTCTTTAGCAAATTTCGAGAGTTTTGCGCGTTTTCAGCAATTTGGAACTTTTAGGCGGGAAATCCACCCAACGTCAACTAAAAGCATGACCTACGTAAATTAATAATTCCCAGATCCCTTCCCAATTCCACCTCACACCAAATGAATTTCCTCCGAACCCCCAGCACGCTGACGGTGGATCCAAAATACGACGCGGTCACCAAGCTGGCCCACAACGACGTGGGCGGCACTTTCAAAATATGGCCCTCCCAGCGGCGCGCCACTTGTCGATGACGTCCGAGGTATTCTTGTGGTGGGCTTGGCGGACGGTCGGTAATCCCAGAATCCTTAGGTAATGCCTTCATCTCAGCATTGTGAGGGGACAGTGACAAACATGTCCGGAAGATTTGCACACTTCACCCCTCCATCCCTACCTTCGCATTGAAATTAGCCCGGGGTGGGGTGGATGGAAAAACGGGGCTGGAATCTGGATGTTTTGAGAGATCGATCGGATTTAATGATGATTTTGGAGGTATTTGTAGATAGATACGGTAGCTCTTGAAGGTTCTTTAGAACAGGATTAAAAGGGTCTAGGAATGCTAATTTACATACGAAAAATTGAAAATCTGAGACTTTTTGCTTCTTAGCACCTCTAACGCAAACCATTTGATTTTATGGTAATTTTGAAGGTCACTGAACCTATTAAGTAATACAGTTCTTAAGGGTTGCTTCAAAAACTCCTTTAGAAGCTATATAGCTGGTTAACCGCAAAAAAATTTTCCACTTCTTAGCCCCTTTAAAGCCACGTATAATTCATGACAATAGGTTTTTCTGACTAAAAATTCAAATTTAGCTATGACCGACCGTCGGGGGTCGCTTTGACGCTTGCGTGTGCGTCGCGGATCGCACCGATAAAACCTAGAATTACGTTTTCTCAAGTTTTTGATGACGAAACACAATTTGTTTTTCCAATACCTGACGTCCCTTGCTTCAAAACATGGCCTCCACCCCCAAACATTTATCAGCACCCCCAAAGACCCATCGAAAAATGTGGCACACCCAGCGACACTAAATTCCGATGCGAGGCCAAAAGGCGCCCTTATCACCTCTATATTGGATGCCTGCGACCCGGTCGCGAACAACCTCCGATTGACTAATCTTCAACGCTACTTCTGGAAGCTTTCCGGTGTGTTGCCAATCTCTTAGGGGCACAACTTCTCCACTCCATGTTGGGATGGGATTCGCGGGGGAGGGCTGGGAGGGAAGAAGAAGAGGAAGAAAATCCGCGAGATCAGTGGGAGAATTATGGAAGCAATCCGGCGACACGAGTTGGAAGGTGGTGACAATGAAAAATCGTGGAATTGTGGAAGGAGAAGCTGGGGGGAATATTGAAAAAACGTATAAACATGAATGGGTTCAAGGTATTTGAATAATCATGCCAAATCTACTTGGATATGTCATAAAGTGAGAAATAAGAAAGTACCTAGAAAAAAAATCGCAAAATTCAAATATTGGCAGTTATTTGGAGTGCAAGGTAGTCAAAAAACTAATGAAAATTTAGTCGATTACTTTAATTTAAAATGTTTAAATAGTCGTTAGGGATTCACTTTAAACGACTTAAAAGATCAAGCAAAAAAAGCAAAAAATAACCCTCAAAAACAAGTTTTTGCGGCGTTATTTGGTGTGTAATGTAGCGAAAATCACGGTAAATTCTACATCCAAAGGTAAGGATCGTTTTTAAAGACTAATTAACTTAAAAATTAGTAAAAACAAGCTATTAACTTTTAGATTGAAATTGTTATTCTCAAAAAATAGACAAACACCCTCAAGTCATGCCAATAACACCAGCATACCCAAAAAACGACACTCTCCACCACCACATCACCCAGAAGCAACTCACTCGACGGCGACGTTACATCCAGCAAAGCGGCCGGTTAGCGGCCAGACGAACAAAACTGACAGTGAACCCTGTCTAGCTGGCGTTTTGAGGATGAAGTGGGAATGAGCCGCCTTGTTGAGGACGGGCGCGGGCAAGGGGTGGGTAATCCTGGAGGAGCGTCTTCACGAATTGTCACCCAGCCCCTCATTCCTGGTCACCACCACCAGGCCTTCATCGCCAAATTATTACCACCAGGGGGGGGGGACTGCTTTAATGAAACAAGGGGACTGGCAAGCGGGGTTGATCCACAGGGGGATGTCTAATCCGAGACGTTGTCGCCTACCTAGATGGTAGGTGCCCTCAAAAACCGATAATTAAGTGCGACTAGGGGAGATGGTAGATGGGGTGGATTTGTGGGTGCTGCAGGTGTCATGAAGGAGGTCAGACGGTAGGAAAGAGAGGTATGCTTGGCTTGCCCTAGGGAGGTAAGCAGAAAGAAAAGACAAATTGCGCACTAATAGCAGTACGAAAAAGTTAGTTAGGACAGATGAAGCTCGAAATGCCTTTCTCTGAGACTTTTGAGTCCCAGCTCCAAATCGTACGCTCCAACCTTTGCTCCCCCACTGCCTTATCCTAACCATCGAACTTCCGCTCCTCGGCTTCACCCTACCAGAACCAGCTCGACAAGGTCACAAGAAAAGATTTAGCAGCTTAAAAGAGTTACCTCAGAATCAAGCAATAGTTTTTAATACGCAAACAATAAGTGAAACATTGCGAAACCGAGGCTTTGCTTCAAAGTCTCCTGCTGCCACTATCAAACTTCAGCAATAGAATTACCCCAGAAATTGCGGCCACCCCAACCCCGAAAAGAGCGCTGAAAATTTGAACGCTGCTGATGATACGGTATGAAAGATTGCCAAACACCTGTCCGAAAATCATCTGTCCGAAAAACACCTGTCCGAAAAACATCTGTCCGAAAAATCACCCGTCCGAAAAAACATGTGTCCGAAAAAACACTTTTCCAAAAATCGTCTATCCGAAAAATCATATGTCCGAAAACTCGCCTGTCCGAAAAACACTAGTCCGAAAAACTAATGTACTAAACAGCCAATCAAAACCCTTTTCGAATGATTTAGCCAGTTCCTAAAGGTTCGAGGTGTAACTGCGACCAGATAGCCCCACGCCAAGTTTCATCGGCCGTATTTTAGGGAACGCCTGCCCGAGCTCATTGAGTCACTCTCCAAAAATTTATGATACTGTAGCGGTTCGTATCCCTGGAAACAACCCTCCCATTTTCTCAAAAATCCGGTTTGAAGAGATTACCCGAAGGTCTTGGGAAGTTTCAGCTGTACTTCGATTTCATGGTCCGAAATTTACTTTTCGGACAGTAGATTTTCGGATGGATGATTTTCGGACAGGCGATTTTTCGGACAGGCGACTTTTCGGACAGATGTTTTTTCGGGCAGACGATTTTTCGGACAGGCGTTTTTTCGGACAGTTGTTTTTCGGACAGATGTTTTTCGGACAGGTGTTTTTCGGACAGGTGATCGCCACCCGGTATGAAATGAGGATGGAAAAGGAACATCGGGTGTTCGAGGCACGAGCGATAGAGAGAGAGAGAGAGAGAGAGAGAGCACCGATGTGTGTGAATGGAATAGGTGAAAAAGACAGACGGAGAGGGGGGCGAAGGAGAACTCGCGAATCGGCAGTAGATCGGATCACGATACGGGGGCCAGCACACCCGAAAAGGTGTTGAGGACGAATTGTCGAAGCAGACGGTCATTAGGTGTCGAGGGGAAATCTTTTGTTGGTTGTTTCAAGATACGGGGGCCTACCCTCCGAGTTTTTGGAGTTTCTGTTATTTTAGAGGGTGTGAAAAGAGTAGAAATTTGAGGGTCAAGTGTAACACGAATTTATGTGGTAAACTTAAGGCTAAGCTTATACCTAAGCCCAAACCTATAGCTAAGCTTAAGCCTAAGCCTAAGTCTAAGCCTAATCCTGAACCTATGCCTAATCCTAAGCATAAGCCTAACCTTAGTCTAAGCCTAGCCTTAGTCTAAGCTTAAACCCAAGGCTAAGTCCAAAAAACCATCTGTTTACAAATACCAAGCATCCTCCAATCATTGGCAAAAATCCTTGCACTCAATTCCTCTTACCAAACGAATTAATTGTTATCACAATCACTCCAAAAGTAAAGCCACCTCCCCTCCGGGAAGCCGAACACAAAATATGAGCCCCCAAATTTCGAGATCATTCCCACCCGACGCCGGCTGGGTGGGGAACATTGGAATTATTCCACAACTCGTGGAGCAGGAAAAAGGAGTTCCCTCAACCGATTATCGTGAGAACCGTCAAAGTATTTGAAAGCTGTTCGGAAGGGGGGCACGATCATTGGTTCTGTAAATTCAAAAGGCTGTTTGTACTTTAGAATCGGGTTAACTTTAACGACAAAGTGAACGTTTAGAGGTAAAAAGTAGAGATCTGATGCAGCCAAGTAGATCGATAACGGGATAATATGCAGATTGGGGGCGTAAATCGTAAAAACTAAGGATTCGCTTGCTTCCAATTAATTTTTGAAGTTTAAGTGTTGCATCCAAATAATCCAGTTATAAAAACACGAAAAACGGATGGAAAGGCACGAAAACGCAAAATTCACGAAATTTAGTTCCTTCAAGGGTAATTTTTCTTAAAAATAAACTGTGTATCCAAGTTGTCCTAGTATTCCGAAATCCAGCAAAATCCGTAGCACCTCTACCCCAAACCGATCCTGATCTACCGGGAAATACAGTCAACATCACCAAATTTCAATTAGGAGATTTTATTGCCGAATCACAGGCCCCATCCCCAGCTGCCTCTCTCGCATTCGCGGGTCGCTTATCAGCCTGTTGAATTTAGCATAAGGCAACGCCGAATGCATTCCTATCTGAAAGCTGAAGGAGAGGCAGGCTGCAAAAAACACTCACAACCCCTTCCTTTCCAAACACCAAGGCCCTGTTATTTGTAAATAAGAGTAATATCGGTACAAAATAGATACATAATTTTCCCAAAATTGTGGCAACCGGAAGTGTTTCAGTTGTGAGGAGAGGTGACTGAAGCTTCTCGCCTGCTGCCTGTGTCGGGAGGGCCATTCCATCAGAATGGCCATATTTACAGTACAACACCATTCGGAATAACGATTCGTGGATGCTCCCCGGGCTTTTGAAGAGCCTATTTGTTGAATTCACATTAACACGGAATGGGAGACTCGATACATACGCATATACACATCCGATGTAGCCGTAAAGCTTCAGGGATAGGAGAGAGAGCAAGAGCGAGAGAGAGATGGGGAGAGAGAGAGAGCGAGAGAGAGCGAGTGAGAGCTAGTGAGAGCGATTAAGAAAGACCGCGAGGTTGAAAACTCTTTTGATTTTAATTTTATTATTAATTTATTTTTAAACAACTCTAAGAAAATGAAAATAAGTATAGTATATTTAGGAGGGTTTTAGTGTTGCAAAGTGGAACGGGAGTGGACCGAGAAAAACAATAAACTATTGGCGGGGCGTTCAGTTGGATTGTTGCGATTTTTGTGAGGGGATGGGCATTAAATAATCTGAAATAGGTATCGAAAGATTATTGGTAGCTTACAGATGATTTATATCGTGCATTACAGACTCAATTTAAACGTTCCGACCACTGAAGGTTGATGTTACTGTGTCTTTAAAACAGACTGGTGTAACTCTTTTCCCCGCTTTTCCGCTTTTCCCAATCCCTTCAACAACCCCATCAACCCTATTTTCAGGTATCCCCCACCATTAACCAGTTGCCCCCAAAACCCATCAGGAAGTCTGGCCCATCTCATGCTCCCCCTTCCCCCCTCCTTACTGCGTGAAGCCCCCATATTTCATGGGTGATTGCGAGCGTCAATGATGGATCATGGCAAAGGCGTGACCCTCACCAATCACCCCAAAGCTTTGGGTCTCCTTTCTTCAGCTCGAGCTCCCCCCTTTTCCACAATCCACATCCTTTATGACCCATGGCCATGTCCCCAAGTGCTGGGCCCCAGTTTCGAGGGCCAGTCTCAAACACTCGCTCCACTCCTACCACCACCACCACCACCACCACCACTTCGACCTCACCCATGCCGCCCTCATGCTCCCGGAAAAGTTTTATTGCTGGAGGTGGGTTTTTTGTGAGCTACAAAGTCGTAAAAGTTCGGGTCACGCATTATATGCTTCGAAATCAAGTTATTGCTAAAATTCGATTTTTGAGCGTGATTATAGCTAATAAACTGATATTTACGTAAATTAAAGGACTTATAAGAGGCCAGTTGGTTTTGTAAGTTTTGAAGTAAGTTTTGTTGTAAAGTAATGGTTCTGGTAGTACGCTGACTTTCTAGAAGCTTGGAAAATGCTAATATTCAGTTTTTTAGCTTTGTTATAAAAAGGAAAAGATTCATAGATGGAAATATAAGATGTTCAATTTAAAAAGTTAGTCTTAAAGCTTTTAAATTCCGGTTTAAATGAGATTGTTTAGTTTTCCTTAAATCAGGTGAAAAGCCAAATTCCGCAAACTTTGAATCTTTTGAATCATTTTGAATCCGCAAAAAATATCAGCAAGTTTTAATACCAAAAATATCGAAATTTTACTCTCTAAGAAGGCTAAACCAGCGATTTTCCAAAACCATCTAATCCAAGAATAGGTCAGAAACCAGTTATCGAAGCTAATAAGCCTACATTACATTTTTCAATTTTTCGTGGCTTAAAACCGATATTCCACCGCCCTCCTCCCCTCATAGTCGTTGTTGCAAGACGGAACTACCCCCCTCCTAGCGGCTGTAATCCCTGAAATTCGCGTGGAGACCTGGAAGGATCGGGTGGTCGGTTGGGCAACTGTGGGGGCACCCCGCGAGGTCTAGGTCGCCCTCAGGGCTCGTATTTTTTGCGGCTTTTCCCTGGCCGCGTAGACAACAAGCCACGGCTCACCACCACCACCATCCACCGCTCAATGCCGCTCAAACACATGTTATCGATCTCTTTCTCATCCTAACACCTCTCGTATTAGCTATTTTATTGGGGGTCTTTGATCTGTTAATTTTTTGTTACTTTATACTATAGGTTTTGAGATTTTCTAATGACGCAAAACCTTTAATGCTCATTAGATACTATTTTTATATTAAGAGGTCGAAAATATTAATTATATTTTTTAATTTAAATTCAACATTCAAATTCCAGCTGCTATGGACGATGAGCAGCTCCGAACACTATTTGCATCCTTAACAGAATTAGCACAACAAGGCCCAATTCCAGGTAAAAATAAAGTTTTTAATTTCCGACAATAATTTGCATATCAATTTTAATTAATCTATTCAACTTTTTAGTCCAAGCCTACTCGATGGTAGTAAGAAATACCTCTCCCGAATCATTAGCTGAGCAGCTTCATCAAAGGTAAAAAATTTAATAATTTGAGTATAAATTTTTTAGATGGCTCGCCGATTCCAAATTCTCTCCTATAGCTGCTGATATCATTTTACACATTTATAATGTAATTTCAATTCGGTTTTTCGATATTGATTCAGCTTGATCGTGGGGACTTCGGGTTGGCTTCCTGTTGCCTTGCTTTATTGTTGAATGATTACCGTAATCGTTTGGCCGTGAGGAGCTCGAGTCGGCTGATGTTTCGGAATTCTGTTAGGGCGTTGTTTGGGTAATATCGTCGTAGCCTTTTTTAGTTTGCATAATTTATAGTCTCTATCCAATCTACCTCAAAATGGACGAATGCGTGTCGAAATGCTTTGTGAAGCCGATGTTCAACTGTTTGGATATGTTGCTGGATAATAATCCGGATCGGGAGGATACAAAGGTAAATTTTGCATTATTTAAATTTGCATGTAAATTATACGTAGGCTAATTATGTTTTTTAGACAATGGGAATGTTGCTAGCTGAAAATGGAAAAACCCTGCATCATTTAAATCAATATTTAGTAGATCAGTTAATCCTTAAGGTAAGGATTTTTCTTCGAAATGCTAATTTCCTTAATTCAGATTCTAAAGTTTACAAAATTTTTAGGTTCGTGAACATATGTGTAGTGATGAGGACCATATTAACATGGAAATTCGTCGGATATTCTTACACGTAAGCCTTCATAGCACCTACGAAACTTGCATCCAGCTCTTGGACCTGTGGGCATTTGGCTGGAATGAACTGGCAATCCCCGACTGTCTAATCGCCGATTATGTAGCCCCCACCACCCCGAAAGCTCTTCCTGTCGTCAGGTGAGCTTGATGATAAACCTGAGATTTTAAAAATTTGTATACGGCTTTTCAATAATTTTAGAAAACAAACAATCCCCATTGTGCACGGCTCTGATAAAAGCCATTTGCAGCCAGTGAGGTGAACACCACGCGCAACCCCCCCGCACTTCTTTGTTTCTTAAACTGTCTATCCAAACGTTTTTCAGTATTTCCCTTTCGTATGCAAATTAGGGTGAAAAATGAAGAGTTTATTTCAGGAAGGACGACATCCAGAAGCAGGAATTCGGCAGTAAAGAAAGTATTGTGTGATTGTAGAATATTCTAATTTTTCGTTGGCCTGTAAAATATGTAAATTACGGATAAATGCGACCAAAATGAGACACATTTAGTGAATGCAATTTGCATAAAAGTCACATTAAATTACACAATCCTTAATGTCAAGAACATAAGCTTGATCAAAGTTTAAGCCTAAGCCTAAGCCTAAACTAAGCCTAAGCCTAAGCTAAGCCTAAGCCAACACAAACCCACTTTTTGATGCAGATCTCCCACCCCAGTTACTCGAATCCCCGACAGGAAACGCCTATCGACACCCGGTTAGAGTAACTGAAATTGCAAATAACGGCCCTATAGGACGAGATAAGCCATTCCCGGGGGCCCCCCGGTCGACACCCATGAAGTCGAAGGGATGGGAAATAAATGCATAAGTACCGGTGATAAGGGCCCTTGAAAGGTCCTGTTAATGAATTTCGGATGACGCGAGTGACTTTGCTTTTTTGGGGTGGGAGGTTCCCCGGCTGTTTGTCGTTCGACGCCTCCACAAAATTTGTTTATCTAGCATCCGGAAACACGTTTCGATCTCCTTGATTCCTGCTCCATTTTTAGGGTAGATGGGCCTAAACGTTTTTCTGCTCTGTCTAGCTGTAGGTTTTTTGGGGCGAGGTGAGTTGTACGTCCCTTTAGGACCCAAAAAATTGATTACAGCAGCAGCACAAGGATGCCGAGCAGGTCAGGGCCCGGTCGAGCCTTGTAACGATGTGCTGATTGTCATGGATTTTAGCTATAACGTTAATAAAAACGACAACAAGGCATTCCTATTGACGGTAGAGTAGCGTAGCGTAACGTAGTGTAAGGTACCTTTTAGCAATACAATTTCACGCGCGACAAGCTTCTCCCAGCCTATGATTTGAATGAACATCGATATGGCGTTGCTATTGGTGGATTTGGATTTGGTAATTATGCAAAGGTATGTAAATTTAATAGCTCTTAATGTACGATTTAGCTTGGTATCGAAGCCCCATTGTTGATGTTCTTCACGCGACGAGACCCGGAGCATATTTGCGATGATATCGATCAGATCAAAACAGGCTTCATCATGAATCCGGACTTTTCCTTTGGCTATTTGGCACTCCCGCAGTATGTATGCTAATTCAAAATTATGCCGCTTTTCTAGGGTCCTGAATTGGATTGTATATTATTCGGACAAGGACGGGAACCAGTACTCCACAATTGTACTCTTTACAGCGTCTACGTAAGCTGGATTCGAGCTTAGGATTTGAATTTGATTTTAGAAACCAAGATGAAATCGATGCGGGTGGAGAATATTATCGAGACGTGATGGGAAGAACTGGCGGGAGGTAGAGATCTTAAAAAAAGCAATAAAAAAAATTTTAGCTACCATATGATCATCATTGCTGTTAATAACCCTTCAATGAGTTTCCGAGCTTGGGGAGGCGTGGCTACGGTATTTTGAAAATTACAGGAAGTTTGAATTTTATTTTTAGGTCTATCGCACAAATAATTTTATGGATTGGAACTCGACGGAGGTTGGGTTGTGCGTTGCCTCGACGGGTTGCGCTGCGAATTGTAATTTTTTTTGTCTATAATGCTTCAAAAATTGTATTAAGGTCACTTGGACGTGACGACAGTTAATCCCGGAGGTTATACCGATAAATTTTATACAGCTGGAACCACAGCACGCCCTTTGCCGACGATTCCGGTACGTTATGAGAATCATTTAGCTATGGAACCTGATTAAGACCAAATTTCATAAATCTATGCAAACTTCTGACGGCTTTGAGCATTGTAAGCTCCAAAACCTTCCTCTTAACCCTTCCCATAATTTTCAAAGCTTTTTTGCCGACGATTCACCTCATTTTGACAAAATTGTGGAAAAATTCGGGCCCTGTATGCTAATTACAGACGCTTAGAAGCTAGTTTTAGCCCGGTTTTCCTCAAAACCATGATTTCCTAACACCCTAAGAACTCTAAAATCTGCTCTTGGATGTTTTACTGATTTTCCCAAGCCATTTCCGGTTTTTGGCGTGAAGCTGACAAATCCCGAGCTCCTGGCGCTATCGCGTTTTAATTAAAAATTGACTCAGCGCCTAAAATCAGCACCTGAGAACTGTGATGTTAATCGAAAATCTATGTTAATTCCAGCCCGCCACCCAAGCACCGACAACTGCCGCACCTACGACCACTACTACCACCACAACTACACCAGCTCCCGTCATTACGACCCAAAGAGGCGCAACTACAGCAGCTGCAGGTGTAACTACCACTACTCCGCCTAGCACTGCCGCTCCGACAACGACTTCAACAAGCACAACGACTACTACAACCACAACTACAACTACTACTACTACTCCACTAATGACAACACCTGGTGGAGGGTAATTTTAGCTTTATTTTAATCTATCAATGATTCAAATTAGTGGTCCACCGTACGACCCAGCAGCCTATGGATGTGGCTGTGATCATTACAAGATTTGGTTAGATATCATTTTTGTGGTGGACTCCACGAATGCCATGACGCAACCTGGATTGTCATCGGTTTGTAAAAAAAAACACCAAAACATTCATATTCATTATGTTAATTAAGCTCTCCGACTATATCCAATCTGCGCTATGGGGAATGACGATTGGGCAGGGATTTGGCCAGATTTCTAGAGCGGGTAACTTTCAGAAACTTTAATAACTCAAGAACTTAATTTAGGCCTGATCACCTACGCAAAAACAGCAACAGTAGATCATCAGCTGACCGCCTTCCAGTCGTCGACCGATATGTTGATGAACTGGAAGCCAACGTACCACGGATTAGGCGAAACGAACCTTTGGGCGTATGTAAAATTTGCACTATTTTGGAGGTTCGTTTTTCAGGGGTCTAGAAATGGCGAACCAGGAATTCCAACGGGCTGGAGCAACTCGAAACAATACCAAGAAAGTGATCGTGGTTGCTGCTAGCACCTATTTGTAATTTTTTTACATTCTAAAAAGCGTTCTCTTTAGACCCGGTGGACAAAACGACCCCACGCAACTGGCATGTCAGCTAAAGTTGAATGGAATTAAGATCATTACCATTGGTAGGAGATATCCTTTCAATTTAAATTTAATTTTAGAATACGTCCAAACCCACGGAACTACCGTACCAATCCTCGAAAAGATTGCATCTCCCAATTATAACCTATCGAATAGTAATGAGCTGCTCCATACTTTGCAATTGAAGAATTTGTTCTGTGAAGGTAACTTTTAACAATGCTAATTGATTATGCTAATTTTTTCTTTAAGCAAATTGCTTCTGCCAAACGAACTATTTTCCATACCAGAAGGACATCTGGGATGCGCCGCAAGGTGGTTGCTACCTGCCAGTCACGATTCCGTCGGCTTACACCTTGGCTAGACGGTGAGAGGGATTGAATTTTTCTGTCACCACACCTTTAAAATTATTAAGATCGCTAAAAACCATGTTTTAGGTATTGTCACAATCGTGGTGGGATTATGCCGGTTCTAGATACCCCGGACAAAGCCGTGTATTTAGCCGGCCGTAAGTAAAAAGTGCCGTTTCCGATGTTTGCTTAATCTTAGAGCATGTCAAAAAGCAACCAATGTGGACCGGGTTGACCTACCAGAATCCGTATTACCTTTGGGATGACGGGAGTGCGGTATGCAAATTCGATTCCGCAAAATATTCCTCAATTTTTAGCTTGGTTCCTATCATCCATGGGGACCAGGAGCAAACGTCTCGGCCGGAAATTGCGTCAGCTTCACCAATTCCCAGGGTTTCCAGGTCCCATGGTAAGATTTTGAAACTTAAATCGATTAGAATATGATTTAAATTATGTGGTTCTTAGTGAAACCTATTTTTATGTACCGTAAATCATCCTTTGTAGGATGAACGACCAGTGCATGGACGACTGCCTCTACACCTGTCAAAAACCAACGTGTTCGAGTGTGCATTTTTGCCCGGAGCCGATCTCGCAGTCGTGGTTTTCGGCTCGGGAGCGGCTGTTGGCGCAGGATGCCTGCACGGGACTTTAATATATCGGGAAATAAAGGATTATGGGTTGTTTTGTTAATGCAAAGGCAGTTAATACCAAAGATTACTTTAGCTCACAGAAGTTAAATTTAACCAAAAACACACACATAACTTTAAGCTGACTTTGAAGCCAATATGAAGAGCTCGATTTAAGCTTTGTAAATCGGATTAACTATTTTTAACTTGATTTGACAATCGATAAAACGCGTTTAACAAATCCTGGGTTACTGTAGGTTTTCTGGATGTAAAATCGCCTCAAAGCTCATTATTGTATATAGGATCTTTCGCTGTTTTTCAATAAAGTTGTATGGATTTGTATAAATCTTGTAAATAAGAAGTAAGAATAGCTTTTAATCCATATTCAGAAACAATGACCGACCTTCTAAAAAGCCAGTTCGTCTTCGCTCGTTAACTTTTTCTCGAATTCCGAACAACCGTATTTTCACGTTTCTCACCCCATCCTCCCGCTCCCAATTTAACCCAATTTAAATTTCAAAGCGGCTCTCTTAATTTGTGCGTTTAGCTGGGGAGAGAGCCGGCCTCGGCTGCCCCACCCGAAATCGATGGCCGGGCCAAATTGCACGGTCTTGAGAGCACCTCAAAAACAGCGCCATGTGACTGAAGACAGCCTCTCAGTCCCTCTTCTTTTGCGATTGGCCCCCCAAAACACTACGCCCAGCGTCTCTGTACACTCTAGAAGGCTATCCCAATCTATTAGGTGATGTATATAGGCGTGGTAGTTAGCTTGGGGCTGTTGTTTATAGTATAATAACGTTAAAAATAGTCAAGCAGTAGTTCCTAGAAAATTTTAATAGGTTTGAAAATTATAATTAAGATTTGGAGTCAATAAGGGCTTTCATTAGGATTCTTGGTTTATTTAGCCTTATATTAAATCCATTTGATATCTGATTAGCAATTTCTTAAGATTTAACTTTTAAAACCATAGAATCTCGCAAAATTTTCTAAATCCCAATAAACAACTGACTAAAGACGAAATTTGCCGCTTTCCTAGACATTTCCCGATTGCCAAATTTGTAGCCCACGCGATCCCTAGAATGATCCACAAATTGGGGCTTTCCCAGCCATGAAAATGGCCCCAGAAAAAAAAGGAGGTGCGTCTCGGACGTCCGTTCTTTCCGATGAATGATTCAGCTCGACAATTACCTTGCCGAAAAGCCGGGGCGGGGATGCGGGGGTTGTTATTTTCGATGTACTGGGGTGATTCAGAGGGATCGTTAATTTGGAAACCTTACAGAAATGAAATATCAAGTCTTCAACTATAAGAATCATATTTATTTAGTGTTCTAAATGATTTTTGATTTTCTAAAATTTTTTAAAATTTTGGATATAAATTTTAATTAAAGTTTCTATGGAGCTCTGCCATTTTTTTCGCTTTTCCCCCTTAGAACCCCTGGAAATGGAGCTTTTAAAATCATCTAAATTGTGATTGTTTAAAACCTTTTCCAGTCAATTTGAAGTTTAAGTTTTTGAATTCTCAAAAGTGTTGGATACGACTTTTTGAAAGTTAAACTTTCCCATTCAGCTCTGCTACTTTTTCTACCCTTCCGCCCCCTTCCAAAACCCCGCGGAAAAATGATGCCACCAACCCCTAATCACCCCAAAATCAGCGATTCAAGCCCCGAACCACGGCCAAAAGAGCAGCCCCTCACACCCTATTTTAGGGCGTATAGAAATCGATGTGCGACAATGGCCTATGGGGGCGGCGACCCCTGAGACGGGCCCGTTGGGAAAACGGGCCAGGGCCCACGGCCACGAACGTTTTGCCCCCTTTCTCTCTCGTTTAGGCCCTGTTTGCCTGTTTGGCTCATCAACAAATGTCACATTGAGGGGGGAGGGCCCGGGGGCCAATAGGGTTTTTTTTCGTCTTCTTTTGGGGTCGGGGGTTCCGAGTAACTCCCCATTCTATGTGATGCCATAGTTGAATGGGAGGATTAAGTTGACATTGTGATGTGGGGATGTATTTTGGGGTTTCGGGTTCAAGTTTTTCGGCTTAGAAATTGGGAAATTTCGATTAAAATGAAGAATTTAAATTTATACAAAAGCTTTGAACACTCGAAACCTAAAAGATTGAGTACAGGTTAAATTATTAAAATTTAAAATTATATAAATAACCACTTTATGAATAATACTGCGCTAAATTTTTAAAATTGATAATCTCACAAGTTCAATTTTTTTCCTTTCTGATTGAATTTTGATTTTTATCCCTGTAGACCTACAATTTTATTAAATCGAAAATTAAAGATTTAAAAATAATTCAAAATCTTGCATTTTGCAGTGGTCCATTTAGTTTTTTTTTAATTTCTCGTTTTTAAATTAAACTTAATAGTTTGTTTAGAGCCTAAACCCCTTAACATTCGCAATTCCCGCTCCCTCCGCCCTTTTTGTCCCCCCACCCCATCTAAACCCATTTTTTTCTGCCGCCCGTCGTTCTGCTTCAAATTCTTCTCCTAACCGACCATAAATTAGCATCTCCTCGCCCTTTCGTGCCCTCTGGGCCCAGTCCCCGCCCTTCCCCCCCCCCCCGCTCTGAAATGGCTGGCATATAGCCATCGAAGTGAGCGGGGGAGGGGCCCGCGGCCGAAAATGAGTTTCCCTCCCACTTTTTCGGGCAGCAAGGCAAAAGTTTCTGCGATGCGTCATCTGCAGATGACAACGTTCCACAGATGTCCTTCCTTTCAAATACACGCTAAAAGCTGTTCCTCTGATTTCATCATAAAAAAGCTGCCGTATGCCCAGATCTGAGAGTTTTGAAGGCCTAAAATTGTTTTGTTTTACCATGGCCAGATTGGCCATAGATTATGGCTTTGTACGACCTTGCCGTCCCATTTTTCGACGCTTGATGCTTGTCCAGACTTGTTTCTTAAATTGATAGGGCGAAATAAGGGCCCATGTACTTTTGTCAGATCGTATGTTCAAAACATCGCCTTCCCATCGCTCTGTTTTCCTTAGCTTTCGGGTCGCTCTATCTCTCTCTCTCTCTCTCTCTCTCTCTCTCTCTCTCTCCCTCCCTCTCCTCTCTCTCTCTTACCTAGATCGCCCTCCTGCCCATTCTAATCCAACAATTCCAGATGTTACGATGGTGGCTGATCCTTTTGGTCGGGTCTACATTAATTCCCCCAGCTCTTCTGAAGCGGGGAGGTGGAGGTGGATTCGGGAGGGGCAGCTCCGGCTCCAGGATGGGTGAGCAAGACCAGCAAGACCTTAATTTTTAATTATTCATAAAACCTAAAAAAGTTCAAACGACCCCTTATCTCCACTCCCGCGTTAATAGCCCACTTCCGGGGAGTGAAATCGAATCACTTTTCACATTTTTTGTTTTCGTTGTCGGGCCTCGGGCGGCTAAAATGGCAACCGGAACCCGGTGGGAGATTCTATGTGGAGATGGGATTGGACGTGGGGCGGGGTTGAGGGGGGGCTGCAGAATTTATGGACATACCCGATTTTCGGCATGCATAGGTTTGGGGTGCAGCCCTGAGCGTGGTTAGCGAAAATATAGAAGAAACCAGGAACTGGGGAAGTGCTAAAATCGGAATATAGTTCAAGAAAAAGTAAACATCGCGAAAAGCCAAAAAAATTTGAATTAGCATCAAAAATTTGCAAAAAACAGGGACTTCGTATGGGAAGTTTGCATTTTGCTTAGAATTAGCGAATATGCAATTTTCGAATAATGACCAAAAATTCAGAATTTTCCTTCGCAAAATAAATAAAAGGATCCTCTAAATTGATCAAATTCGGAATTATGCAATATTAATTACAGATATACAAAGCTTTATAAAATTTAGGTCCCCAAAATATGCAAATTACCTTTCAGGCGGCCGTATCTCATCCGGTAGCCGTACCGGAGGCGGTTTCGGCTCCAGCGGCGGCCATTCCTCGGGTGGCGGCGGAATTTTCGGAGGTAACCATTCCGTCCCACACCCTAATGACGCTATTACTAGGCCACCAGTCAGCTAGTAACCCGTTCGCCCGGAATCTAGGCAAATTTTTTGTTGATATCTCTGGAACGCCTGCCTTGGCCGTGATCCTAGCTGTAGACTTCTTAGTCCAATTACTATACTACTAAATATTTTTTGGTTCTTGTAAAAATCTCTGAGTTATCTTTTCCGTGCATGTTTGGCCAAATTTCGAGCGGCATTCGAGTCCGGCTTCATCCCCCGAGCCTAGTGTCGTTGGAGAACCTAGACGAAATTTGGCTTTTTTAAGTTTGCCATTTTGTGGATATTGTGAAAAACTTTAATATTGTTTTTAGGGCACAAGAGCTCTGGCGGTGGGTATAGCGGAGGTACCGGAGGGATGTCCGGGTCACATAATATGGGACGCAAACCGGCGGGTACCGGATTCAACACGAGGCCACAAGATAGCAGGTAAAAACTAGAATTAATGAATTTTAATATGCATCAGTATGAATTAGCTTCTTGTTGATTGTGGTGGTTGGTGATGTCTAAATGCAGTTTAAACGAGCTGTGCAGAGTTCACGATCCCTAAGCCAAAAAAAATTTTCTTTCCAATGTTAGCACTTTAAATTGAATTTACTGAATATAAATACGCTATCTTAGCATTTCGTGATTTGAACCCTAAAATATACAGCTATCCTCTTTTGATACCTTCAAATCTTTGAAAAGCCCTTTCGATTTCCGGATTTCGATACTATTTAACCAAATTTACATATTTCCATTTTCCTATCTAGTGCCCGTGTTTTTAGAGGTGGTGGTTGGTTTGGCAGGAACCGGAATTACGGCGGCGGCGGCGGGTTCCATACTTCGAGGTCCGGACGAGTGCACCGGCACCTTTTTTACCTTAACAAAAATATAAATATTTATAGATCACTAAAATGCACGCTTCTCTAATTGCTGTCTAGCTAGATTCCTAATGTCAAATTAGCATAGAATCTGTTTTGACTTTTTAAGGTACAACTCGGGCTCCGGGCGTGGCAGCTTCATGCGGTCGAATCAATTCAAGAATATGATTGTTGGAGCGGCGGCCGGATACTTGACATATCAAGCTGGAAAGCATATCATCAGGAGTATGACGTCGCCAATGATGTATGTTAATTATGCTAATTTCGTATCTTAATGAATTTTAAGGTGGGGCAATCGGCCTTATTACTGGGGCCAGCAGTACTACCAGCCGCGTCATGGGTATAATCAGATGTGTCGGATGCCAATTCAACCTGGAGATACACAGTTTGGAAATATTTATCAGCAGGTTTGTAGCTCAACTTATTAACTGTTTTGTTTATACTTTGTAAATCTCATCAAAAATACATTTTTAAGCAAAATTCCAAAAAAATTGCGGCGAATTTTAATAGAAAATAGCAATGCAAATGTTCAGAAATGCCAATTTTCCAAAAACAGCTTTTTGGGAAATCTGTCAATTTTTTAAATCAACATTTCAGGATGGCATCAGCCGCCCAAAAGAACTCGTCTGGGGTTGCGGACCCTATGAAGCCTGCTGCGGCATGGAATGCTGCTACGTCGGTGGCGGAAACGCGAATCAACCACTCTCCGTGGGGTACGGTATCGTCTTCCTCTTCCTTGCCCGCCACTATCTACTACGGTAGAACCGCCCGAACTCCCTTCAATGTATCTTTAACCCCTTAAAACCAACAAACTACGGTAGTTTCCCCCTAGTACAAACCACCAGCCATTAGTGCAATAATCAACTAATTGTATGCTATTCATTTCTCATAGGGTCCCCACAGCTTTATGCAAATTTCAGCTAGCTTTGTGACCCTAAAACTTGCTCAAAACTGTCTCTCCCATCTACTCTAAGCATTTCACTTATTCAAATTGTGCAAAATGACTAGTAGCTAGCTTCCAAGTTCCCTAAAAATGGCCCCCGGTGTACATGATTCTAATGGTAATTTCGGTGCCTTTATGCAATTCCCCTCCTCCTACCCCCTCTCCAGCATGCCATGCTAAAATTTGCTCAGTTTTTGTGCTGTTGTGCCATATCCGAAAGTTAATTTTGCGAGCATGCGCAAAGTTGATTCAAAAACGGAGTCGGACTCGATTGCAAGGAGCTCACTCACCTTTTTATATAATAAAAAAATTGATTTTTGGGATTCAAAATTACGTGAGGAGCTCTTTTCAGCGGGTTCGACTTTATCGGCCATCGTAACTGGTAGTACGGAATCAAAAGAACACACGGAGCCGCTAATTGTTTACAATATCCTCCCTATCGACCTCTCCTCGCTTCTTGCCCCCCAAGGAATGCATGGAAATAATTGTATTATTTTTGGGATTTGTGTAATCATTTTGTGGCACTGCGAAACTTGCTGGCCGACGCCATGCACACCCCTATTTGCTGTTGTTCGTGGTTTAATACATGGATTCGATGCTTGTTCTTGCACCAAAAAAATCGATAATTTGAGAAAATTGCAGTGCAACATTAAATGGAAGGAGAGGGGAGGAAGAAATTAGGCATGAAAAGGATTTTAAAGGGACTGTGAAGGCCGTATGCAAATTTTGCGAGAAAACCCTGGCGAAAATGTTTAAAATCCCGGTAATTGGTCATTGAAAGTTTTAAAAACGCGTATAGCCCTGCAAAAACCGTAATTTAATGGATGTTTGACTTAAAAATTCGGTGATTACGTTATTTTTAATTCTATATGCTAATTCGGCTTTTCGCCCGATTTTAACAGGTATATGAAATTCGTTATTTCAGAAAATGAGCTGTAGGCCATCGATAAGTCGATGCATCCTTCTTTTACTAATGCGCAGATAAAACTTTTATATTCCCCTTAAAATCAGGAAAGACAAACAGATATCCTTTTATTCAAATTTCCTTCAGATCCCTCCTTATCATGCTCTTCATCGTCCTCGTCGCCTTCATGGTCATCTTCCACGTGTGCAAAAAGCGCCGCGAGCAGCAGCAGCAACACATTGTCCAATAGACAATACCTATTCTCCTTATCACATACCAAATTTTAATCCATGACCAACATACCGTATCCCCATCCCCCAAATGTTCATATCAAAACATGGCTTCCCGATAATCTAAACCCCCCAAAATCATCCCCCCAACGGGTCCCGAATCTCTCGAGTCATTTTTGTCCTCACATTTCAATCCTTGTAGCTTATTTTTTGTAGTTTTTAGCTTTCCTTCAATAAATAATTTATTACAGTAATCTTGAGATATCACAGGTTGTGACAATGGGGGTAAGGCGCGTTGTGAAATGGTTGTGAGCCGTTCAAAGTCATGGAGGCTGGCAATACATGAAGAAAATACAGATGTAACAATATTATATTAAAACTCTTTGGAAAGGAAGGCACTTAATATAATACTACCATAAAAGTTTGCTATATATATATATATAGCTAGAAAATTGTATAAAAAGGCAAAAGTGGGGCGGGTACCCGAATAGTGGAAGGGCTCTTGAAAATGGAATCACAGAAGAATAGGGTACAACCGTGGGCTAGAAATTAGATATCTTTTCAGGCTACAAGCTATAAAGGAGGACAGAAAGAGGGAAAAGAAAAATTAAAACTTTAGATGAGGTAAGAGACAGAGAAGGTAGGAAAGAGGCGAACCGGGGTTTAGGTGCTTTCCGGAAATGAGCCGTTGCTGTTGGATTTGCTTGAGCTTTTCTTGAAAAGCCCGAAGAGCTTTTTCTTCTTTTCCTTTTCTTTCCGGAGAGTACCACCGGTTGTTGTCGTTCCGGCAAGGGAAGCGGAATCCGGTCTAAAACCAGAATTATCGTATCTATGGACATCTAAATTTTAAAATGAAATAACTTACAATGTGCTGTTGCTCGCGTACATTTCGGGATAATCGTCCTTGGACTTTGCATAGAAAGTCGGGACTCCACGTGCCGTTGAGTTTGCGTTACCTATAAATGTTAAATTAAACTTTAACAAATCGATTACTATAGTTTAAAGAAATTTGGTATGGAAAATTGATATTAAAATGAGTGATACAAGAAAGTAAGTAGAAACACACGCTTTTAAAAATTTGCTTTTGTGCTTTGTGCTTTTAAAATGAAATTTTTTAAATTAAGATATAGGTTGTAGGTGAGACAAGACCCCGAAAAGCACAAAAACTATTAAAAAATAATTTTTTGAGATTTATCTGATTTTAAATTCAAATTTCCTTCCTCCCCAACATGCCTGTTAAATTCGAGACAGACGGATGCTGGGGTATCGACTTGTTAGCGGCGGTCACCGACGCCGGAGAGGTGAGCGATTTCGAGCTCCCCGTTGAGCCTTCTGAATTAACGAAAATGGTTTTTGAAAGCTACAGTAACCCGGGTACACACTCCATCCACCATTCCACATGCATACAACAGGAACAAGGCAACGCGTCAACCCTTTACTTCCACAGCCACAGATCACAAGCAGGTAGGCACGGGCTTATTTGAAATATCGAAATTTTCATAGTGTCGAAATTCAGAATAACGGGATTTCAAAATATCGAAAACTGCTAATTTTGTCCTTTCGGCATCTCGAAATTTTTTTATACAGGATTTGGGTATTGTCATCTAAATTTTTAATTCCCTATTTCGAAATTTCGAAATTGTTCGACGATTTCGGCATTCTGCTATTTCAACATTAGTAATTTCGACATTTTTATAAAAATCGATAGACACAAGTTTAAAGGGGTGAGAAATGAAGGCTTTGGAGCAAGACTCGATTTTCATGGCGTGTATCGGACAGTTGCGTAGGTGGGCTTGGCATGCGTGGACTTGGTGACTAGACAAATGGTGGGGTGGTAAAGCTGAGAGAAGTATCATGCCTGAATTCTTCAAAGAGCACACAACATTCATCTTGAGCCGTCGGGAGGCAGAACAAAAATAATAGAAGGTGGAAAAGGTGAATGACGTGTTTTTCTAATTTTGAGAGTAAAATGGGATGAGCGGAAGTAGAAAATCGAGTTGTTTCTCTGAGCTCTTGCTCATCCCATTTTCGCGTGCAAAACGACACTACAGTATCCAGGGGTTACAACATGCTTTAGCCGCCCACAGAGAGACTGCTGCTAGACGCGGACGATGAGGGACGGAGGACGAAGCGAGGAGCCGGATCCGAACCGTGGGAGGAATCACCTGAACGGTAGAACTGGGCTGAAGCGGATGAGGCGAGGCTTCCGCGGACGGGGGCTTCTGAAAAATTGGAGCGTGCAAAAGGAACGGCAAATCGGAAAATTTAGAAAAATATTTTTAAATTTAGATTCAACGAAAAATATTCTAGTTTGCAGTTAACAAAAATAGTCTAACATCGGCCTGAACCTAAGCCAAAGCCTAAGCCTAAGCCTAAACATAAAAGACAGCATAATACCTCGCCTAAAGTCTTCTTCTGAAATTTACATATTTTTTTAGAGATTTGAAACGTCATTTACTGCCGAATTTTTGCATTTTTGTCGTTTCTTTCCTTTTAAATAAATTCTACAATCTTGTTAGTATATCCCACCCCCAAAACCCATGCACACCATTTCAAAAAACCGCATAAGCTCGTGAAAAGCAGGCAAAATCATCGGGACCAAAATATATTAAGGGATCATGCAAAATTGGGGGCACCGACTATACTAAATAGATTTGGAATATTTATCACCATATTTCGGGCGTGTCGGCTTTTCTGAAAATTTGTGGGTGAATTTTGTGAATGAAAAATAAATGATAAGACGAAAATTAAGCGATAATACTTACCATTAGTGTAGAGAACCGGGAATCCACATAGGGACTCGATTTGCAACCATCTGTCTTGCATCTCGCGGGTGCTTTGTTGGACTCGTTCCATTCTTTGTCTAATTAGCAAAATTTAAAAGAATATGGTAGGTACAAACTTGATAAAGTAGATTTGAGAATCGACTTTGTCCGTGCCGGTGTTGGCGCCTGTTGCGAGTTTCAACGAGTTGAACAAGGAGCCTTGACGCTTTGCCACGTTGTTGATCTCCTCCATAGCGATTTTCATCTCTTCGATGCATCTAGAAGTTTGAATAAGGATTTTATTATTACTTTCAAGCGCTTACGTTTGTTTCTCCGATTCAGATATGGTCTGTTCAATTTCCCAGGTTTTTCTGAGAAGCGGTTGAAGCGCCAGAGGAGTCGCAGAGCCACTCACTTCCATGTTTCCCAGTCTAAAATAAATTTAAGAACATCATCGATATTTCGATAACACTATTAATACCCAAAAATACTATGAAAATTGACTTACTGTATAAATTGTTCATACCTTTTGTGCGCCTCTTCCAATTGTTCTTTCAGCGACTCCATTTCCGCGTGGCTGACCCCGTCGGCTTGCGACGATCGCTTTATCCTGACGTCGTCAAGTCTAATTTTATAAGCAAGTAAAAAATTAAGGATAGCTATTACTTCTTTTGAGCATCTTCGAACTCGGTCTCCATGGTCTTCAATTGAAGGAGCTGCTCATTGAGAAGTTGCAGCTTTTCGGTCGCTTTTCTTTTCTGACGTAGGAAGACGACAAGGAGGGTGGTGAAGAGGATCAACTAGAGATGCAAATTTGATGAATTTAAAGTTCAATCCATACCATAAATGCTAACGCCAAGTCCTTATATCTATTCGAGGTATCTCGGACTCCAAAAAGCACAACGTCAAGGGCATTCAGTCGTAGCTTTTGGCGATGGACTGATGATTTTATATTGAGTGTATTTGTCATGAAGGAAGAGTTGTGGACGGCAAGTCTAAAAAAATTACATTAATTCAAAGTTTAAAAATATTTCTGTACCTTGGCAAATGTCGACCGTCGATTTTCAGATGCAGTAGAGTGTCGGCGTATTGGGGTAGGTTGACGACGTTCACCATCCAGTCGACAACCTGTAGATTTATTTTTGGGTAGGCTTCTTGACCCAATCAATTTAGCCGGCAACAGTGCTGACCGGACCGGAAACATCACACCCCCAAGCGTGTGGCTTTCGGTCGGTAGCCCGTTTATCAATTTTTGATAGCTCATAGGGTGAAAATTTTACTGCCTCAGGAATCGGGGAGGCTTCTGTTTGATTTTCAGGGTTTAAAAATTTGTATTTTCTCTTGAAATTTAATTTTTATGTTAAGTTAATACTATTTGACGGTTTTTCGCACCCCGGGGTCTCACAGGCAATTTTTTCGCTTTCTCAAAGCTTTTTGCGCATCAAAAAAGGATTATGAAAGTTTTGAACCAATGGGAACTTTTATTTTATTTGAAATCCCGAATTTTATAATTTTCACGTAATTTAATTCTATTTTCGATTGTTAGGCTATTTACTTGTTTCAAACAATCATCTTTCCGGTTTCCAAAGCTTTTCTCATCCACAAAAAGTAAACCGAAACAAATCTGAAGCACAAACATGCCGAAAAAACCGTTTCTCACTCCAATTTTCCGCTTTCAGGCTATTTTCCGCCCATGTTTGACATGCCATCATCAAACCCCCGAAGCAGATTTGTATTAGCTCACCTGCTGCGTGGTCCATGCTCTCTCCTCACTCTCAAACCACGCTTCCCACAGATCATCTATCGTGATGGCGTCATCTTCGCCGTGGAACCTTGTTTCTCTCCTCCTCGCATCTGATCCTCTCATGTTCATGTCTTCGGTCATGAACTAAATAAAGTACCCTGATGTTTGTTTGATTTTTTTAGACTCAATTTTGCAGCTTGAAAACCTAATGATAGTGACTCGCTCTCTCTCTCTCTCTCTCATCGCTTTCTTGCGTGTGGGAGTGGGAAGGGATTTACGCATTCTGATACAAAACTCAAACATTGTCGCGAAATAAGGCAGAGAGGGGCCAAAGACAAGGCAGAGCAAGTCATACTCCCGGATTCTCTAGCTCAAAGGCGAATGAATGCACTGACACAGAGGCGCTGGTTTCATGGTCGGTCGAGATCTTTATCAATTCTGGTTATCGTCTTCGTTGGCTAACCTTCCCATGTACCCCAAAGAACATGGAAATTCGCGGAAATTTCGTAGATTTTGTGTGTTCTATTGATTTTGAGGGGGTGGTGAAGGCGAGGGAGGGCGATGAAAGAATGATGGATGGTGATAAATGGGTTTTTGAGGGCTATTAATGTGTGGGCGGGAATGGGAGGTTTTTGGTTTATGGGAGGGTGAGATTGGGGATGTGGTTTGGAAAATCTGGAATAGGCTGTAAAGGTTGATCTTGTAAAAAATTGTCAAAAATGGGTAGAAATTGGGTGTTTAAATAGTGTTTAAGTATTATTTCATTACGTAATGGATTGGGACCCAGAAATACCGACAGAGCTACCGAGGTAAAAATTATGTTAAATATCTTTAAAATATATCTAGATGTAAATCTAAACGTTTTAGTCCATTTTCTTAAAGGTATTCGTAACATTAATGATACTTTTTTCGATAAAAATACCTTAAATCACTTACACCCGTACTTTCAGCCCGATCAATACTCCCCGATTGATCATCATCCATCTCACGATGTATATCCGATATTGCCGCGTATCCGGCAACATCTCGAAACTTCTCCTCCTCAGCCGTTATCACGACACCTACAAAACCCGGCAATCCGAATACACACTTTAATGGCCCGTTAATCGCCGCTAAAACACCCTCTCGCAAAATGAGATCAACTGGGTGTCACTTGAGGAATCATTTGAATGACACGGATTCCCTGAGTGCACCGGATTCCCCAAACCAAACAACAGTGAAATCAGCGACGCGATGACTTACTTCGGGTCGGCTTCTCCTTTTTCTGGGCGAGAGTTGAGGTGATTAAAAGGCAGCACCAGCATAATCTAAAGCTATTGATTCATTGGAGGAAAGGAGAAAAGCACGCACAAGTTCCGGCTCTTTACTAAAGACTCTTGAAATTCTTTTGGAAATTAGACTCTAGTCGTTCAAAAATATTTTGAGTGAGTAGTCCTAAATGCTAAAAAACAATTGGGTGTCTCGCCACGCATAGTGGCAGCTTATGTTAATGCCGAGGTCATGGCGGGACCGATTCGGGGGGTGTCACGGAAATAATTCCAAATTTTTATAGAGACATTCTAACAGTTGCAGCGTGTAAAAACTACATTTTAAGAAAAACGTTTTAAAATTACAACTTTTTATGCAAATTAAGGAAATTACAACCGGTTTTACATGACTACAGTAGACGGACAGCCATAATTCGGCCTGAAATATTGTATTTTTTTCTAGATTTGAAGTTTACTGGATTTTAAAGGAGCTTTGAATGCAAGAAATACGAACTAGTGGACAAAACAAAACAAATCTCTTGATTTTTCGAAAATTCATGGAAATAGATGCCAAATCGTGGCCTTAAAGGGTTTGTGAAATCAAATTTCGCTTAAAGACTCGGTTTTATTACCTGAATCTTATTAATCATTAGAAAAATCAATCTAGAGATTTTAAACTTCCAAAAAGTAGCTTATAGTTTGTAGTTAAAAGGTATATAGCGTGAAAAAGGTTCCTGAAATCGAATGTCACCTTCCGCACTCGATTTAAGAAAGTAAGTCGGCTTAACTAGCAATAAAAAATTTATTTCGAGACTTTAAGCGCTATGGAATAGTTTGTAGCTTGTATTTTGAATATAGAGCTCAAAATAACGCCAAAGTCGCAATTTCCTAGCTCAAAAAGACCCACCTGAGCAACAGCTGTGGCCCGGCCATGCGCATGGCATATGTTTCTGTATGCGTCGGGGGAGGGCACCGGGGGGCTGAATGCTAGAAAGCGATCAGTGTGCAGAGAAGGCGATCGGGACGAACCGAAGGCAGAGAATGGCCAGACAACAGACGTCAGACAGTCCCGCACCCCCCATACACACATCTAGAGGGTCAGACACACAGTGGAGGCTCGGCTCGCGGCTGGCTCGGCTCCTCTCGCTGCCCCAGCGCGCCCTCGGCGTGTGCAAAAACTCGCCGCATACAAATTCCGGTTTCCTTATGGCTTTTCGCGCACCACTGCCCGGGCGCTCCGGGCGCCCCGAGATATTTACACATTAGCTAGAGCCCGTCAAATGTCCATTGATGAGCGTTGCAAGGAGGCGTTCGCTGGGTGTTTTTATAAAGTATTTTACTTCTATACTTTAATTATTCTCTAGAAAATTTAAGTCGTACTTCTTCTTTAAATTCTGCTTATCCTAAAATGATCCTTAACCCTTTCAATCCCTTTTTTACCTTTAATCACTCTAAAATACACTAATTCGAAATTTTCAATTAGTATAAGATCCGTTTTTTCGTGCTGTATCCATTATTTTGCATATTTAGCCCAATAAGTTCGAATCCACTGATTAGCATCCATATGGTCCATATTTTCCCCAAAAAAACATCTGCACTGTCTGCAGTGTGCCCCAAAAATATTGATTGATCTGCGGGCGGATGGTAGCCGGAGGCGCCGAGGGGAAATGGCTTTACCGCTCACTCTTCCACATAATTTCCCCCAATTGATATATCTTGTTGTTTCTTATGTTAATTAGGGCTAAATTTTGATTTGGGAAAATGGAAACTTTGGTGGAATCTATCGAAAACTGGAAAAATTGCGAAAAATTCTGTAAAAATAGGTCAATTTCTTTGCTGTTCATCAGGCTATTAAGATTATTTTGTTTAGTGCTTTATCCAAATTACGGCTGAAACCAGCCTAATAAGAACCTGTCTTTAGATAAACAGAAAAGTCAAAAAATTGTAGATTTTGGGAAAAACTTTTTGTTGTTGCGCGAGTTACGCATATTTTTGGACGTTTTGTATGCAAATTAAGGCTGGGACTGCTGCGCTATAGCAACTTTTGAAAATTTTTAAAAGATTGAGTTATCAGTCAAAACTATTTAATTTTGGCGTTAATGAAGCTCTTATGGTTAAATTACAGTATTCTTTACATTAGGATTATTCTGATTTTATTAGGAGTTAAAAGCGCGATAGAATTTTGGTAAAACCAAAAAATACATATTAAACCCCCATGAAACCGTCGAATCCCTTGCGCCACTACGATTAATACCTCAGTACATACCCTAAAACCTCGTGTATAGTTCCTCCCCGTGTATAGATCCGGGTGAAAATACGAATGGTGTGTTGTAACTGTAAACTGGTGTGTTTCGTTTTTTCGGGTTTTTGCAAATATCTCGCTTGGCGACCGGAATTTTTGCGATTTCGTTTGAATTATTGATCGCATTTCGACTATTTCCAATAATTTAAGTGGTTTAATGAAAGAAATTGATGGTGGGGATCCTGAGAATCATCTCTTTAGCCTAATATAGCTTTTGCGGCGGATTGCCCCCTACGCACATTATTTGGTGTCAGTTGTATTAGTACGTAACCAAATTGTACCGGACTTATACACGAGGTTTTAGGGTAATAGGTTGATAAGATCTGGGCACTTTTCACCCCTGTTCTTCTTCTTCTTCTTCTTCTTCGCCTCCTCCCACCCGCCATCCCCCGCCAATGGCCGATCCACCGTCTCCTGTCAGCCCATTAGATCGATGAAGCAACTGGTTGGAGGCCATTTTCGGGGGGTATGGGGGAGCAAGAGAGTCTGATCTCCCCCCTTCAGCCTTGAAGGATTGCCCCGTAAGAGCATCATCTTGGCACATTTTGTACAAATGGCAAAATGGCAATAGATCTTGTGCTTTTCCAACCAAGGCTTTGCCCCCCCCCCTTCCTACGTCTATTCTCGCCCGGATTGGCCCTCCCTTAGAGCTCTATCCATTTGCGGGGCTATTGATTTTTGACCGGCTGGTGGTTTTGCGAGATTGCACGTTTTTTGTTTGGAGTATTTTCGAAAAGGACATTTGCATCTTGATATTGAAATTCATCTTAGAATTGGCTCTAAATTTTCAGAATTTTTTGATTTTTCGCGATTCTGCAATTTTTATCTTTAAAAAATTTCTTCTCAAAGATTTTCACTTTTAGCATCAGTTAATTTGCATAAATATTCAGCCCTAGAAATGCCATATCGATTCTGATGTTGATTTATGAATCCTTACATCGGTTCATGAATTTTTACTTTCGTTTTTAGGTTTTTTTAATCCCTAGCTCTTTACAATTTTTTGCGTTTTTCCCCATATTCCGTATTCTAATTTGACCATAAAAATAACCGCGAAAAGTTGTGCCGCTAAACAAAGGCGAATCCAAATTTGGCTCTCCAACTATCCCCCCTTATCTCCGAGATTGATATCACACGCCGTTTCCAACAAAATTCGAACCCCCGGCCCACCTTGTCACAGCTGATCGACATGCTCTTAAAAATCGCAAATTTTCACTTACCCTGCTGTCTAGCTGTCTGGGAATAATTTTCATTTTACGCAACTCCCCTGAAATTACCGGAAATTGCTTTTTCGGGCAAGTTCCTCTAATCCGCTCCGATTTGGTGTTGAGTTCAGTTTCGTACATTATTATAATTCCTATATTTCAAATTGGATTCAGAATAGCTTTTGAATTTTTAAATACTTTTCAGATCCCCACCAACCCGTTCTCGGTCCCGGAAATGATGGAGGTGGCCGATCGTCGGCCACCCCAGCCGGACCGGGAAATGCTAATTAGGCGCGAATTCCAGGGCAAGGCCCGCAACAAAATGAATGGTAAGGGGAAATGGCACCGGGGAGGAGCAACTTTTAATTAAGATGTCTTCGGGACCTTCCTGGAATTTCAAAACGGGGACACCCCAGCGGCCAAGCCATCGCCTCGGCATCAGTTTCGAGTGGATTCCAGGTCGAACTCGCCGACCACGGGGCTGATGATTGATGTAAGAGTTGTATAAATTTAATTTAAGTTTGTTTAATATAGAAAATGGTAGGACTTGTTGCTGTTGAGCCGTTGCCACCGCCTGATTTTGAAGAAAATATTCTTGAGGTAAGTTTTCTGTGCAAATTTGAGGGTTTACAGTGTTAGTAAGTGATATCTAGCCTTTCCCAGGTTGCTGAAGCTATATAAATTTATAAAAAACGCTAGAAACCCTTAAATATTAGCCCTTGACCCTACTATACCTTTCAGCAACCCACCACTTCCGGTTCCGGCAGCAGCTCCCAAAATAATGGCATAGAATCCAAGCCCGGCTCCAGCCATACGAACGACAACAATTTACAGGTAATACCGTATCGTTATACCTTTGAAAAATTCCTTAGCCACCCTCATCAAGACACCGACACTCAAGCGGCGGCCCCACAAACCGACCCTCAACCTCAAATCACGCCAAGCCGGTAAGTTACCAGAAAATTACTGTATTTTCTCTAGTTCCAAAAGGAATCCCAAAAAATCTCGTTGCAACGTACCGCCCTGGCGAATGCGGAGGCACAGGTTATACCCAAAACCCGAAAAACATTGAGTTTTTAGAACCATTCTAAACGTCCTGACCCCGGTGAGAGGTCGATTGCTGCTTCTCCTGCTGCGTCAACTTCCGGTTCACAGCTTGAGGTTTTAGAGCCACAGTTTTCAATATAAAAATCGATTTTAGTCTGGAAGAACACCAGGAGGTGGCCGCGAACGAAAAGCTCATAAAAGCAAAGAAACAACTGGGAGGGACTCGAATCCGGGTAGCGAAAGAGTACCGGAAGCTGTGGTAGATACCAATACGGCTTCTACATCTGCCGCTCAGAATGAAAAAGCGATAGCTGAGGCTAATGAGAAGGTATTGCCAATTTCTCCCCTCTTAAGCAAAGCGTTTTTTAGGCCGAAGCCATAGCGGCGGAGAAAAAGCGGGAAAAAGAGAGGATGAGGCTGGATACGGAAAGGATTCTGGAGATATTTGGCACGATGCCTGGGATGATATCCCCGCCATCCGTTTTTGACGACTTGGAGCTGAGTAGTTGTTCGGATTCTGATGAGGAGCCATCCACATCGGCGCCAGAGTTGAAGAAGGAGGAGCCGACACCGGAATTGGTAAGAAAAGTCTCACTTTTTAACGTGAAAATATACTTTTAGACAATTCAAAAGCCACAACCAGAGGATCTGAAGTCAGAAGTTAAAATTAAACCAGAAATTGTACGCCCATCTAAGCCAGAAAAAGAGATGAACGGGCCAGCAATACAGAAAAGGCCTCCCACTCCGGAAGAGGTAACAAAGCTCACCGTTCTTAACTAAATTACTTTGAACTTTTAGAAAATGGTCGACAATCGAGAGACGCGGAAACGGAAGCTTGATGATAACACATCAAAACTTGACATTCGAGCATTAGATGTTGCTCAATTAGAACAACTCATCAGCGCCATCATCGAAAAGAAGCAAAAAGAGGCGAACGAGGGTGAAGCATCAACTTCCGAGGCACCAATCCCATCCAGAGATGAGATTATGTCTGATGTAAGCTAAAGTTGAGCTCCTCAACCTGTGTTCAGGTCAAAGCACGGACTAATGGTCCATCAATGCCGGCACCTTCAAGCTCAAATTCCACACCGGTATGTAAATTAGATCTGTTCAAACCATGGTCGATTCAGATACCGGTTCGAGAGGAGCATAACCATGTGGAGGTTCGCTCAAGGAATCCGTCAAATGAAATCGATGTCCGAAACTTAAAAGCTACTTATCCAGATGTAAATTTGCAAAAGAAAAGTATACAAACTTTCTAATTTTTTAGGAAGTCACCGGAACAATCTCTGGAGGCGAATTCTACGATAAACTGGCGAGGAGTTATAAGCACCTTGGCGACGCGTACTCTAAAAAGGTAAATTACATACAAAAAAATTGTACTTGAGTTTTTAGGTGGAAGCCGATCGCCTTAAACGGGTTCTAAAATACACCCAAGGAATTGCATACTACATGATGGCCGCCTGTGAATGCAAACATGCGGAAAGAAAACTTTTGCTGCTGGAATCGACAATGGCATTCACCCAAAGGTAGGCTAATTTGTATAAATTAAATTTAAGCATTTTCAGTGTGATCGCCGAGCTCGAACCCCTAGCCGCCAATGATTCTGGCCGTCTAAGAAATATGCTTCGGCGAGGAATGGCCATTTTTAACTATCAGCATTATACGACTACTTCAAAAGTAAGAAAGGTTCCATTTTTGATTAACTTTTCTTCCAGAGAACTCAAGAAAACATGGAAATGCTGTTGAAGATGGAGAAATCAAACCCGCCACGACGATTCACGGTATATCCGCATCCCATTATCCTTATATTCGAAATAGAACAAGACGGGCGATGGATCTATCAGTTCTCCATCGACGGGCAATCCTAGCGAGGTGATTTTTGAGGGTTTAAAAGTATAGTCATGTTTAGTTGATCGTTTCCCGCGGGATTCACGAGCTTCAGAATCGGCAGTTGAGGTCGATGAACTATTTGATGACTGCTCATCATTTATGGGAGAAGGTGAAACTGGAGACCACTCCACAAGGGGAGATGCATTTAAAAAAGGTAAGTAAATTGCAAAACTTTAATTTTTACGCTGTCCTGCTAATTCCTAAGCGCTTAAGGCCAAACCTAAGCCCTAGCCTAAGCCAAGTCGACGCCCAAACCCAAGCCTTAGCCTAAGCATTAGCCTTACGTCTACTTACTTACGTCTACTCTATTCAGCTAAATTTTGATCCCACTTCGATCGTTACCTAAATCATAAAAATAGACCACCTCTCAGAGTGGTATTTTTGCCTTCACACCCCTTTGAACCTATGGACTACAAACAACAACCCAATTTCCAGCTCGAACTCGTCACCGGACACCGCATCGAGCTCGACATGTCCATCCCAAGCATGGTCATCTCAATCCTGACCACGGCCGCCTGGCTCCAGGGTGAGCATCAAATCGAGTAGCTCCACCACGTTACGTAATTGTTCTATCAACTCTTCGTTTTCCTTTTGTCATGGACGATTCACTTTCAAGAATCTCTCATCTGGTCCCATCCCCCTGGTAGCTCGTTAATTGTGTTTTTTTTTTGCAAATTTTGACAGCTTTTGTATCATATTAGAATTCTCTTGTAGAAATCCACCATCTCCTTTTTTGGCTCGGTTTCAGCTGTGTTCAAAAGGCCTCCCGCCCCCAACCTTCCCCCCCTTGCGTCGTACACCCTGTGATAATCAAAGTCCGTTGAGAACAAAGAAAAGGGTCCCACCAAATTTTACGTCTACCGTACGCTACCGTACTGTCTTGTACTGGAATGCAATGTACTGTTAAAACTTTTGTAATTTTTGATTTTGCTCTGATAAAGTTATCGTTGCAGATTCAATTTTTATTCTTAATTTACCCGTAATTCAATGAGTCGTCATGGGGATATAGACACAGCAATACAGGATACAAATTTTTGAGCAAGAACTGTACATCGTAGCGATACGGAACTCAGACAAGCATTTCTTGTTTGGTACTGGATAATCCTTTTAACGTCCAGATTAGCTCGATTTGACAAATGTTGGCGGTGAGTAGCTCTTGGATCTAAAATGGATTTGAGTTTAATGTATGCCAAGTGGAATATAGATAATAGCTAGGATTACAGTAATTTTTTGCTTACATTCAAAACCCTCTTTTCCTCCCTCTCCTTCCTTTCCTCAGCTGCAGTACCTTGAAGCCGATGGTCACTAGATCGAGATCCACTTCTGGCTCGGATATCTAAAAAACTCCCATATTTTAATGTATCAAAACATGCCTTCCGCTTCATCTAACCCTCGTTTACACCATCTCAAAGCCTCAGCATCGCACACTTCCGCATAAACTAGGCATAATTGCGAAAATCGCAAGATCGCGGACAGTCTCTCAACGCGAAGCCGCTTGGTTTTTAGACATTCTAGGATTTGACGATGTCTTTGCTAAATTTTTTTATATATTTGCGTGTTTTAAAGATGTCATACCTTTACGTCCTGAAAATATTTCTCTAATTTCCAGCAAAAATTGCCGAATCTAATTTTGGTATAGACCCAGCATACAAATCCTTGATACTCGGCGACAAATAGGGTTTTTCCGCCTAAAAAAATTAATTTGGTTCAAAGGTATAATTTGCATACATTGATTCGCAGGTTCCGGATCCAAAAATAGTGCTAGCTGATCGAGTTGGTCAAGGGCTTCCTGGATAGTTTGCCTCCTCTCCTCATCCGTACTCCGGTCATTATAAGCATTCTGACATTCTCTCCTCGCTTCCCCAACGTCTTCCGGCAATGGCCTATACTCCAGAAAATCATCAAAAATACAGTGACCCTCACCTCTGACCATTTTGCTTCAAGTCTTTCAGGATTCTTACATTATAATTTCGATCCCTTGTGGAATACCTTTTCCTAGAGGAATTCGAAGACGAATTCAAGCTTTCCATAGAGCAATTGATAGATACAGGTCGGTCTAAAAAGAATCGTAGCGATGGGGAGTTGCCGAAAACCTGGACGGCCCGCATTTCCGAGAAGACTGTCTAGCTGGAAAATCGTGTGCCGATGCCTCTCCCTTTTGTGTACGACACCGGCCTGCATGTTCTGGAAAGTTAAGACGATAATTGTGAATGGGGAAGGTGATTCAGATGAGGAAATTGACCACAATATGTAGTCCAAAATGGACGAGATGACGGGAGGCTGGAAACTAATAACAAAATTGAAATCTTGCGCCGTACCCTTGGGGGGGGGCTGGCCAAACCAATTTGAATGCGGGGAGATAAGAGCACCTGCTGTTGGCTGTAAGCACGCACAAGAGCAAATAATAGGGCTAAAATAAACATGGTAATTTGGATGCAAAATGGTGATAAAAATTTGATCAAGGAATTGAGATATCTGCAGAAAAATTGTATTTTTTTTGGTAGCAGAGCTGCAAACCTAAAATTACACGAAAATTAACAAATTTACAAATAAAAATGCTAAATTAATACTAAGAACGATTAAAATCATAATATTAATTTATATCCCACCCGCCTCATCGATAAATCCGAATTTTTTTCCAACCCAACCAACAATAAAACCCGAAAAGCGAAAGTGAGGGCGTGGTGATGGAGGGGTGTGAAGATGGCAAGGGGGGAAATGATAATTTTGTGACTTTCTTATTGTAAGGGGAGCACGAGGATGGGGGCGAGTTGACGAAAGGGAGAACCCGTTTGTCTGCCTTTCCCCGCCACACTTCTCAAACGCTTATTTAAAGGTACTGGGGAGGGCAGATTAAAAAAGGCAAAGACCAGGTGGGGGAGAGCGGAGGAGGAACATGGAAATCTTTAGGGGAGGGTGAATGGTTGCGACTCGTTTTGTAGACTGGAGATGTTCTTTTGGGGGGTAGTAAGGGGGAGAGTATAGTTCCAAAGGGAGCGATTGGGTGGAAAATTGTTCATTTCGTCGTGGGAGTGAGATCGGGAGAGTTTCAAGCAACCTCAAAAAACTTAAGCTGCTTCTAAAAGCTTCGGAATGCTAATTTCAAGCTAAAAATAGATATTAAAGTAGCACCAGCATTTATAGCTCCTCCAAAATGCCCAGGAATTTGGAATTATCAAGCGAAAACCCGGGTTTTAATCTGAATCTTACCCCCCCAAAAAAAACCCCAAGCCACGCGGGGTCTCTGATATCAGAATCCGGCCGACTAGTTGCCTTATCAAAAGAACGACAAGAAAATACAGACAGCGGGCGTGAATCACAAACCACCCACATCACACGTTGCCCGAATCACCCCCCAGCTTGCCAAATTTGGGCAGTAGGCGATAACATGTAATGATTGTGTTTTCCGACTTGAAAAGGTTAGCAAAAGCTCATAAATTGAGCTACTTTTCTAAGGGTATGACTAAGAATTGCTTAGGCTTAGGCTTAGGCTTCGGCTTTTTTTAGAGGGAAGCGTTTTAAAGTAAATGAGAATCTCTGAGAATTTATGTAAGTTTTGGCATTCTGGAATGTCGACATTATAAGTTTCGACATCATGGATTTCAACATCATAATTTTCGGCATTTTGAAATCAAACCCGCATAAGATAAAGCAAAAGCAATTCTGAAAGGTTCGAAAGGCGCCAAAAAACACTTTCATTCGCTAGAAAATTGATCCCAACCCCTTAAGGACTTTTGTTGTAAGATTTGATAAATTGGAAATGAAGCTACCCGACCCTCGAGAAACACTGCCATCAATTCGAATCCCCCCCTGCCAACGCCGATAAATAAAAACTGAAATGCATCGTGCGGTTCCGATCTCGTCCCCCCTTCCAGCCCCCTTAACTGATTCATTTCTTGGGTTGTGGCTAAAGAAAAGTGCTTTTGTTATGGTCAACGGCGTGAATCAGAGAGAAGGGGGAATCACGGAAATGCAAGTTTCGTATAGGAAAATAATAAGAAAAGAATTGGAAAGTAAGGACAAGTTGGTGGGGCTTATTTTTTGTGGAAAATCGGGGGTTTTGGTCTATTTGCTATTGTGCAGCAAAGAGGGTTTACAGTAGGGCGTGGTGGATAAACAGATGTTCGCACCGGGATTTGGGTTTAGTTTTTTGGGTTTGTTTGTTTGGGAAGGGGAAAGCAAAGTTCAGAAGGTTTTTTGATGGAAATTGCAGATTTGCATGAATAAATTGAATCTCGCTTACGACAGTCAAAGAAATTTTTGGGGAATGGGGATAAAAATGAGCTGAAAATTGGGTAGAATTCATTATAGAGCACGGTAGAGAGAGAGCGAGAGGGAGCGAGAGAGAGGGTAAGGGAGAGAGCCGGAAAAGAGAGAGAGAAAGAGAGAGAGCTATATTAAATAAAGTAAAAATTTCCTTAAACAGGTTATAAAACGTCATAAAAATTCAATAATGCTAGTACAATATTATTTAAGCCCAAAATAATGCCCAACGCCTTCCGCCGGTCACTCTAAACAGGTTTAAGGTGGCAAGTGGCCAGTGGTTTGGTTTAGATGATGGGATGGAAGGGTTGTCAGACTCTCGACGGCCATTCCCCCATCAAGAAGCCGGCCCTTTCAAGTAGGCAGCAGCAGAAGAAGCAGAAGCCTGGGTGGGTGGGTGAAGGGCAATGAGACAGACAGACAGATAGATAGACCGACAGACAGACAGAATGTGCCGTCCATCATGTCCACTTCTACAAGAACAACCACATCAATGCTTCTCCCCCAGGCCCGGAAAAACACCACCAACAATGCGCCCTTACATTGTTAGGACTCTATGACTATACTTTGACCTAAATATTAGTGTGTAATAAAGAAAGAATGTGGAGATAGATTCTGGAGGTCTAAAACATTGTACAGAACGGAATCGTCAGCTGGGAGAGCGTTCCAAAAACTCGTGGGGAGGATTTGTGCGGCGTTCAGCTGACCCGATGACACATAAAACGCGTCCAATTAGCATCCCAGATTTTTGGGGACGGCCGTAAAATGGAAAGGAGAGGCGGTAACCAGGTATAAAATGTTTTTCTTGCAAAGGAAAGGTAGCAACGATTCCGGCTGTCTGGAGATGTTACCGAATTAATTTTTGCTGCTGAATTCGGTGCTGGTCAGTTAGCGGGGGATGGCTGCATTTATTTTTATGGTGTTCTTAACAAACAAAAATCTGCAAAAAACTCAAAAAGTAAAAAAGCACTTAAAAACTAAAAATGTAGGATTTCCCATTATTAGAACCATTTTTGTAAATTTGAATAAACTTTTATAACAATTTTATGTCGAAAAAATCACGTCAGTTTCTTAAAATGTAGTTCACAAGCACACAATTTCGCACCCACCCCCCGCTAACGCATCAGCGCACCGAATTCCAGGCACGGATGGGGGGAGTTGCAAAAACTTCCGGGCCCGTACGAAACACACCTGACCACTTGGTGGACCACCGGTCTCCGCAGGTTGGGGTGGTCGCCACGCGGGTGCCATAAGCAGAAGGAGCAAGATTTGAGAGGGTTTGGTGAGTAAATCTCCCGCACACGCAAAGTGTTTACCCAACGAACCGGGGTGGGCCACCTACCCAACCAACCCCCTTCCCCCGTCACCCGACACTTCGAAATTTGAAGAAGCAAAAAAGCGGATCGGTGGTATCGCGATCTGCGAGGTATAATGGGAAAAGGGATGTAAAGCTGGCAATTGAAACGTTAAGGTACCAAAAAAAACGATAAATACCAAAGGGGGTACCACATCGACTTTTTTGGAAAATTCGCTTGAGCCAGTCGAGCTCGTCAGAAATTCGCCTTGGACTCATTCTTACCAGCTTCAAACGCTGCTTTCGATGTGCTACCTGGAATAGCTGCAAAATCGCGTTTGCGGTTTTTACAATTTTTCGAAGTCACACCCGGCAAGCCTCCACATCTGTCGTGCCTTCCAAGGCTGATTTCGCGAGAATGCAACCTTGCCAAATCGGTTTGATTTGTGCATCTAAAAGAGCATCAAAAATACTGCCGAAAAAATTTTGCCACGAAACTTGGGAGGCCCTGGTTTAAGTGTTAGGATTTTTCGTACTGTTTTTTGAGAAAAAGGGGGAGCACATGCATTTTCTGGGAATTTCGCCAAAAAAATTTCGGCGATGAACCTACCGTATCATTTCGTACTATTCATCGGCATTTACACGCTACTATCAAGGTTGTATTTTTATTTTTTTCATATCGCCCTTGTTTACCGTCATACCTCCGACTTCCTCTACATTGTGAGGGTGGAGCCCGGGGAGAAAGTGCATCTCCTCTTCTTCCTTTTGGCCCGGCCACGATGGCATCCCCGTAAACAAGCGGGTCGACGATTCTGGAAAGCACCCAGCTGACCATTTTCGCAAGCCAGTCCGGCTGAAAAGCCGCGGTTCTTTCCATTCTTGGCATTGATTTTCTTGGATAAATCAATAGCTGGTTCTTAAGCATCATTTTTGGGTTTGGTTTTATGGGGGTTTAATTTTATGAAGCTTTTCTTAAATTTTTCTAGATATTCCGGTCGCTTTCGAAATATATAGCCGGAGTTTCAGCTAAATTCTGTAAAAAGAAACTACAAAACGACAATGCCGCGCGATCGTAGCAACTCGGAGTCGCACAACTCGCGGATGATGTCCGGACAGCCCCGCCCTCGTCGTGGTAAGTTAAATTTTTGGTTTTTCTTTTGTTATTGCATAACTAAATAAATGTATATTTGCAAAGTACTTTCGGATTATGATCCACAATTTTATGTTTAATAAATTATTGTATTTATTCATTTTTCAAGATTCCGAGCCGAGCCCTCAACACGGTGACCACGGAATGAGACATCTTCTGAAGACCGTCGGCGATGGCATCAAATCGGCTGCCCGCAGCTATGATAACTACAACAAGAATGTGAGTCATATTTATATCTATATAAATACCTAAAATTTCATTTACCTGAAATGACAATAAATTACAAAAATCCCGTCCTTCAACCCTGACAATTTTTCGGATAATCCCCTTCTCTCCGAAGAGCTCTTGATCTCCTCTCAGTTTTTCTCCCTTTTTCCATCCCTCTTTTTATTAGAATACGTCAGTGGAAGACCGCCTCCACCTTGGTATGCCATAATCCTGTAAATTGGAAAGGTGGGGGAAACCAGAAAAGAACAACCCCAAATTTAGCTCCTCAAGGCCCAGCAGCAATGGTAGATCAGCAGCTGAAATCACCTCAAATCCCGCATCTCAAATTGTACATATGATCATGAAAATCCGGTCTTCAACCCATTGAAATTAAGCAATGCAAATTAACGATTTTTTGTATATTTTCGACCAATATTACAGCATCTGGTTTTTGTATTTTTTATCAAGGTTTGTATATCTCTGAATAAATAGTTTTAGAAAATTGAGAATGATGAAAATGCAAAACATATATTTACTGAGACATATAGGTTTTTAAATATTACGTTATCGGAAATGAGAATTTTTATGCAAATTTTGACATTTTTTGAATAAATAGCGTTTAAAATTAAAACGATAAATATATTTTATAGTTGATTATACAGAGGTCCAGAGCAACAATTGTCAAAAAATATTCCGAGAGCTTCCGACGCTCTTCCGGAATACACAGTCCATGCTACTCTCCTCTCGTGCTCGTGCTTGTACTCTATTATGTTATCTTTCTATTTCTAAAGCTGGTCTGAATTGTCCGGGCGCCACCTAAGAGCAGGAGGAAGAAGAAAATAGGAAGAACTCCTGAGCTCCGGTTTTTACAAAAATTTGAGCACGACCTAGGGTTTTCCATGACGCTTTACGTTGCATCCTATCACAAATTGCGAGTACACAAACGTGGAGCAGGACGGTGGAACAAAATTAATCAAGTGGAGTGCGACTCCTGACCTCTAGCTTTTATAAAACTTCGATAATGACCTAGAACTTTCCTGTTTTTTTTTCAAATTCTAATTCGGATTCTATCTTAAATTGCTGGCAGGCCAACGCGGAGAAGCTGGAAGAAAATAGTAATCAGGTAGAGTGGGACTCCTGAGCTCCAGCTTTTTTATAGACCTAAAATATCCACCCTGCCGTGCTCTCCCATCCAAAAAAGAGCGGTTGGGGGGGCGTTTGAGGCATTTCTATTCTATCGACTCGGGGCTCTCCACCCGCTTTTCGGACCTGGGCTGTGTGTGCGTGGGGGTCTTCAATTGCGCGGATTTGTCTTCCACCTCCTTTTTGCGGGCTCTTTTATCGGCGGGTTGTTGGGGTAGAGGAAAAGGAGGAGGAGGAGGAGGTGGAAAAAGACTAGCGCTTTTGCTCCCCCCTACCCCCCAGGGCTCTCCATCTAATAACTTGTGGCCAATTCTGGCCTCCCAGCAGAAGCACCCCCATAACGGGTCTTCTAGGGCCCTTTCACGTGAATTCCTGCCTTCTTGAGGGGCTGGATATTGTCATTGTTGTAGAGGTGAGGGGTTCTTCACGGCCTCTTCTTTGCTTTTTCTTCTGCTTGTGGACGCGGCTGCGCAATAACAGAATTTGAGCATCAGCTCCTGCCCAACCGGGCGGACGCGCTCGGCTTTTCAGGATTTACTCAAGCGTTATTGAAAAGGTGACGCTCCGGAAAAACGGGTGTCAAGAAATTCTTTAAATCTTCATGGGGTTTTTTTTGACGTATTATTTCACCCCAAAATAAATATTTTTTTAATTTTAAACAGATCCGCAAGAATTCATGCAAATTTAAAGGGGAGGCTGAATTTTGGATGGCGTCTAGGCAACCTAAGCCCTTTTTATACCTCTTATAATCTTATAAATGCTTAATAACTGATTTTCCGACTCCTAACGTCCCAAATTAAATTACGATTAAATTACGCATCCCCGGAATCAAATTGCGCCCTAATTTGTACCCATTTGTACCGTGCCTAATTTTCTGCAGCGAAGATCAGCGGCGTTGTAAAAATGATACCAAGTTCCCCATCTCTCTCTCTCCCTCTCTCATTCTCTCTGTCTCTCTCTCTCTTTCTCTCTCTGTCTCTCTCCCTCTCTCAATCACTGATGATGCCCTCCCTCCCAAAAATGGAAAAGGATAAAAAATGGATAGGTACGTGTTCCAGGCCGGGGACCGGGAAACTCGTCGTATGCCTGCTTCTTTTCTTTAAAGAAAGCTTCGATTTATATAGTTGTACTTCCAAATGATACACATCGAGTCACTGGGTTGGGCTCGTCTTTGGCAGTTAATTAGTTTCGGCGGCTTTTCCCCCCGTCGGGTCGTTGGTTCGGTCCAATATCCATCTCCTGTTTGCCAACAATGTGGCCCGGGACCAACAGTTGTCATTCAGGCCCCCATGGGGTCGGGGTGCTTTTCCGCTTTTTTTGTCCTTTCGCGGGTTCTTCCTGAAATTTTTTTGGGTGCTGTCTATTTGGTGGGATCTTTCTAGTTAATGCAAATTAGATATTGCGTTCTCTAGGAAGACAAAAACGTGTATTTTTTATCGCAAAATCTTGTATTCTGATAAATAATTGCGTCTGGTTTTTTTCTGAAATTTTTCGGTTTTGTATTACTGGATTTTTAAGATGCAAAAATGCTAGATTTGAATGAATTTCACGTCAATTTGCATGCGTAATTTAAGTTTATAATAATTTGTTAATATTGTAGAAAATATTTTTAACTTTTTGATAATTCGGAGCTAAACGAAAAACCTTTTAAAATTATCATTTCTTGAGAATACTGAGAATCCTTCGTTCCTTAAGTAAAAATACTAAACAAAACCCAGAACTGAGCATTTTTCCCTTTCAGAGACCCAATTTCCGTTCCGAACCATCAGCAAAATTACTCTCTGTGTTTTCTGGGGCTCTCAGTACCCGGGTTGAGTTGATAGCCAATCACACGGTTCCTTGAGTTGCTGCGCTCAGCTTTTTGCGTTCCGCGTTCCGTTTGGGGTTAAAATTGTTATTTACCGGTTTTCCTCAACTAAAATCGGGGTGATGCTGTACTTTTTAGTCGGCTTAGGCCACCTCCATCGAATGGGGGCCCCTACTGAAGTGAGTGAGTGGAAGGGGGCCCAGGTGGATTAAGGGAAGAGCCGCACCTCCCATTTGGCTTCAGAAGTTTTACTTTAAATCGAGCTGTTCGCCTTTTACTTCGGTTTTGAATTTTAATAAATTTTCGCCTTGCAAAAATTGAAAAACTTATTCAATTTAGTCAAAACTAATATGATTTAATCAGATCCAAACTTTTCGAAGATTTTGGAAGTGTTTCCTTGAGGCTTGAGTCACTAATCAGTGGGTTTTTGGGGGTCGGTGGCCGTTGCTAGGAGCGTTCGGAAAAAAGGTTCTGGGGAACGCATCTTTGGTATAGTCGCTAGAGTCGATTCTTTAGACTTTGTTTGAAATCTAAGGCATGCCTGAGCTTGAGCCTGAGCTTGAGCCTGAGCTTGAGCCAAGGCTGAATTTCAAAAGAACAGGGTCTCTTCTTTTTCCGTTTTTTCCATCTCTTTCGCCCCTCTCTTTCTCTTCCTCTTCTTCCTTTCTCTCTCTCTCTCTCTCTCTCTCTCTCTCTCTCTCTCTCTTTCTCTCTCCTCAAAACAACCCCATTACTGCCTCCGGTTCATTAGCACCCACAAAACGCGAAGCTCGTAAAATGTGTGCGGAGCCGGAGCCTGAGACCGACCTTTAGATCAGACCCGGAACATTTCCACGGCAGCCGTGTCAGGGGCCAGAGTGTGTGTGTGGATGTGTTTTTCAGGTGGCCAAAAGGGGGCCAGGAGAGGGCCAAAAAGAGGGCTTAGGGTGGCCCGTATGTCCCTAATGCGCTCCTTCAACCCGCCATTAATCAGTCACGGCTCTAGCAGGAGAGGAGGAGGTCGCGAAAAAAGAAAGATGCCCTCCTCGATCTCGTTCCCCAATCTTTGTGCCCTCTCCGGGGTGGTTGGATTGCCCAATTTTGCTACTGAGAGCCTGTCTGAAAACTTCTTGAAAGCCCTCTAATCATTTATTCCGAATTTTCCGGGGCTCACCTGGGTAATTTCAGGCAATTCTAGCAATTTTTCTATTTTTTTTCCAGAACATGTAATGTTCGCCCCGTTTGTGAAAGCCGTGGAATGCATCGTTGGAGAGAAGAAGCGATCGCAGGAGGTCAGATTTTTGGTGTCACTCCCCCTTTAAAGTCGGTTTTTAGAGCAACCGGAGGCCGTTATTCAAAAAAAGCTTATTTCCACAAATGCCACCATCTATCATTTTCTATACAAAAGGGACAAAAGGTAGCTTAAAGGCCAAGGTATCTTTATTGAACAAAATAATTTAGTGGAAGAACCTCCAGCTGAAATTAAACGACGCTTAAAATGGTCTAAAGATCGTCTACTACCACTTGTCGTACGCCAAACGTTAGCGACAAGTCATTTTAAGGTACTTAAAATCAAATACTTAATATTAAGTTTATATAAAATTTTAGCTAGTCGAAAAAGATGATGAATGGATCGGCTATTGGGGAGGGTACTTTAAATCTGCGCAATATCGAAAGTTTACCAATCATCAAAAGGTAAATTTCGCTAGAGTTACAGTAATCCTGAACCTATAGGTCAACCACTTTCCGGGGGGCTACCATATCGCAAGAAAGGACAATTTATGGAGGCATATTTTGGAGAAGCAAAAGCAGTAGGCTTGCCTTTAGCTTGTAAAGTTTATTAATCTAGATTCCCAAATTTTGAAATCATGCCTTACACCTTTATACTCCCCGACGGACGGGCCGACCTTGAACAATACCTCCTAGGCGATGAAGACCGATACGTCATCGTAAAACCGGTAAAAATCCCCCCAAAAACCCGCTTAATTTCGTGTGCTAATTGTTGCAGCCGGCTTCTGCTCGTGGGCTTGGCATTATGGTGACGCATGATATGGGCGAGATACGCAAGGGCGATTTTGTTGCCCAACAGTACTGTAGCGACCCCCGGAGGCTTACTGTATTTTTTAGATATATCGATAATCCATTGCTCATCGATGGTCGGAAATTCGATTTACGGGTCTATGTGTACGTTCCGAGCCTCGAGCCCCTGAGGCTTTATATGTATGAAGAGGGGCTGGTACGATTCGCGAGCGTACCGTAAGTTGGAGCATCACGTAAACCTATTTTTGCGTTTTTTAAGATATGCACATAGCGCTGATACTACAGAAAATCTGTTTATGCACCTCACAAATTATTCCATCAATAAAAATGCAAAATCGCAGGGGATGACGGATAAATCGGTCAGAAAGGTATGAGATTTGCATATTTTGGCTGAATACTAAATATATTCTTTAGTGGACGTTGACCCAGCTCTGGGAAAAGCTGGATAAATATTTTGAGGTTGACGAGATTAAGGCGTTGATTAAAGACCTGATCGTTAAGGTAAATTTTGGTATGCAAATTAGCTAAATTAAATCCAGACTTTCATCGCTTGTGAGAAGAAATTCAGGGATCACGCAACCAATTCGATCGATAATCTGTAAGTAATAATGGATATTAATACCAAAAAAATCCATTTATGCACATTTCAAATCCCATTATTTTTAGCGGGATCTGTCACGAACTGTTTGGCTTTGACGTATTATTAGATGAAGATGCAAGACCACATCTTCTGGAGGTTCATTATTTTCCGAAATTCTTTTGAATATGCAAATTAGGTAAACGTCACCCCGGCTATGCATTCGGACTTGCCAATTGACGTCTCCGTGAAAGGGCCATTAGTGGCAAGCGTGTTAAGTATGGCTTGTATACGACCGGTTACAAAGTATGCTAATTTGTATAAAAATCTAAAAATCAAAAATTAAGAAACCTTGACGGACATGAAAATATGTTAGATAAAGCAAGTTTGTGGGCGGCGGATGAAGAGACGATAGGTAAATTTATTAAATGATCTAACAATTCTAAAGATCTATCAAAAATGCTAATTTTTACAGCAAAAGAAGAATATTACTACGAGCGCTTCAAAATCTACGGCGAAACCTGCGGGACGATGTTGAATCGCCTAACAAGCACCGACGTTAGAATACTGTGCCAATTCGAAGACGAATTCGAGAGGAGAGGTATACAATTTTGGTTAAATCGATTTTACGGGTATTTGAAGGCCAAATGAAGCTAATCTACCCCACCGCCGACACGCACCCATATCTACGCTATTTTGATGAGGTCACTTATCCGAATTTACTCCTGCAGCAATGGCAAATCAGACAGGCACTTGTGCTAAATATATCTGTAATAAGTGTTCAGGGCCACAAACGAAAGTACGGGATTGAACATCTCCGAACGCTGATTCTGGAGGGTATTCTGGATTCTGGGACCCCTGTAGAAGACGCCTGGAATTAATTTTCCTTGTATTTTATTTTTGTTATATCAAATTACGGTCTTTCACCTGCAATTAATTCCATTACGGTAATTTTCCAATTTCCGAACAAATTCGCACTCCGAACAACCCTCTTTACATTGACCGGTGCTCATTAGGGATTTCCTTCAAATTCCTTGAATTTATTATCAAAAATATTGTGGTTTGTATTGTGTAAGGGCAATAAATCACTTAATGGTTTGGAATTGTGCAGCGGAAAGGACAGATGGTAATTAGGGAGAGAAGGAAAATTCTCAGAATAACCTTTTCTAACGGAGAAGTTTCCAGCCACAGCCTAAAGAAAGAAAGGCGTAATTAGGTTTCTCCTTAATTCCATCCCCACGACCTCGCTAAAAATAGTATCTACTCGAGTGCCCGAGTTCAAATCCCGTAGAAAAACTCAAGGACCCCCGGCGCGAGAAGCCGTTTGTTTTGTGGCGGTGAGTTCTTGATGTTGGTTTTTGGCATGGCGCGTGTAAGAAGCGTCTCTTTGGGTTGTTCCCCAGCCCTCCAGAATGGCTCAATTCAACCCTCGAAAGATCCGCTTCCGGTGGCTCTATTTTGTGCCCTAAGAACGGGGGGGTGGGATCAAGTCCATGGGGTGTGGCAATTGCGAGGCTTGTTCTACTTTTTGGGAGATTTTGACTGCGAAATAGTTCTAAGTTGCCAAAGATGCAAATTCCAATTTTCAATTCCTGATCTTTAACCCTTACAACTGTACCAAATATACCCTTTCCGCCACAATACAATATTGACGCAAATCTGAAACCCAATCCGGCAGGTGAACTCTCGGTTCCCAGCAGACCAATCTGTAGGGCTGGACGCGCCCGCTAGCTCTCTCAAACCACCTGTCAACATTACCGACCTGCATGATCATTCGAAATATTCACAGAATTTTAGCGCCTATACAAATCGTAACATTTTCCGCTAGGCTCCAATTTACAGATTTCCTAGCACCCAATTAAGATATGGCAATTAGAGCAAGTGGTTATTATTGTTAAACGAACGGGCGTCCTGGAGAGATGCTTAGCTGATTTGACATCTTCTTATGCATAGAGTTCCCCTTGTCTGTCTTCTCTTGCTCCTCACGACAGCTTCTTCTTCTTCTCCAGAAATAGCTGGGGAAGCAGGATGGCTTCTGGTGTTTTCCATGTTTCTTGCTGCATCAGAATTTTAAGATGAAGCTCTTTTGAAGGTAGCACGAGGTCGGGAATCTTAAATTTAGGTTCTTTATAGTCACTAGCAAAAGATGGAAGATCCGTTGTTAGCATTAAAGTATCTGAACTAGATTTCCTAACATTTCTTGTGCCTTGTTTTTGTTTAGGCTTAAGCTTCGGCTTAGTCTTAGGCTTATACATAGGCTGACCTCCTCGATCTATATCTAGCTCCCTCTCCACTTTTCCTTCCTTGTTGTCTGGCTGATGGCATTCTGCCGCTTCTCCCTTCACCCAGAAGCAGAATCCAGAATCCCCCTTTTTTTAGTAAAAGTATGTCTCCCTCCTTCTGGGGGCGACGATGTGACGTCGCGGGGTCTTCTGGTGATGACTGGGAGAGGTGAGGCGTGAAGCGATGTCCGCCCCAATTTCCTTCATCCATTCTCATTCTCCCCCACTCATTTTCATGCCTGGGCTTTTTGGCTAGCTCCCATTTTGGGAAACTTCGAGGCTGAGGCTCCGTTCATTTCCACTAATGGATGTGGCAGGGGATCATTTTTGAATTCTTTTTGGAAAAATGACGAAATCTTAAGGATACTGTATATCTAGGTGAGGCGGAGCAAAGCCTAAGTCTAAGCCTAACATGGCCAAACCCTAACAAGGGCACCTCAAGTTGGCACGGTGGAATTTCGTAAAATGGTCGCGGCTACCCCAAGGTTTTCGACTATTGCGATACCAACGGTCTGGTCAGCATTTCCTTAATGAGCCTCTGGACAGAGATACAGCACTTCCGGAAAATGATCATTTACATCCGAAAAATCCTTGTACCAGTCGGAAACCTAGAGATTGCCGCGAGCATTTTCCACCGTGCCAACTTGAGGTTCCCTTGTAAGCTCTTGCTCCGTGTTTTCTTAACAAGCCTGTATCAACGCCAACTTCTATTTCCATGTTTCCAAGATCACCTCCACCACATATTCTTTACCCTCATAACAAAATTCACACTAACAAATTGCTCGCATGTTATCGGGCCCCGCCGCTACCCCCGATAACATTCCGTTTTTCGCCAATTCCAACGACACGCACCTCCAAAAAGAGTTTTTCCTGGCGGTCTACTCGATGAAGCCCTAGAAAAGGATTTGGTAGTGTTTTTATGTGTTTTAAGGCTTCTTGTGAGGGATTTGGATTTGGAACATTAGGTTCCGGGGTTCCGTGATGGGTTGTCAAATGCAAACTGAGTTTTTTGGGGGCGGATTTGATGCAGCGTCTCTTGGGTCTTGAGTTCACGGGTCCAAAGTTGGAAAAAATTGTTTAAAAGGGTTAGAAATTTCATATTTCGCTACTACCGAAAACTTAAAATGATTTCTCATTGTTTTCATGCTTGTACGGTTCTTAAATTGATCAAAATGGACATTTTGGCTATTTTTCTGGAATTCAAACGTCTATCCTACCTAGAGCCCAAAAATAAAATCGGCTAAAGGTCATATTTTGTTACTACCGTAATCTTAACAAATTTTCTACGTGTTTTTCTGCCTTTAATCGTCCCTTAAAACCAGCTAGATCAATTTTTGAGCTGCTTTTCGACGATTTCAACAGCTACACCACCCAAAACCCAAAAAAGAATGCCAGTAAATGTGTTTTTCGCAAAAGAACGAACTGGTCGTCGACGTTGCGTGACAGTTGGTGCCCACATTTCCACTCTCCCCCCACCCTCCTCTCGGACGATTCGCGTGGAACCCGGCTGTAGAAGGCGGTGGTTAGGATGATGTCGTAGTCTCCCACTCCCCCTCTGGTGCTCCCTTAATAGCCGCTTGTCCTCCATCCCATTGAAGAGCCTTCCCCCCTTTTCTTGGCGCCCTTCATAGTGATCGATGTAATCCGATGCCGACTGCTTCTCCCCCCGGCTTGGCCTTGGCCCTCACCACGTATGAAGGGCCAATGGTTGCAAAATGGCCATCAGAAGGTTTTTCCGCTATTTGCTTAATCTCATTTTCCGGGGTGTTTGACGTAGTTTGGAGGGTTGGAATGTAGCCTGCCTGGGGCTATTTGGAGGATGGAGGGGTGGGTTACTTGTGGAAAGTCTGATTAGGTAGCACGCGCTCTGGGGGTGAGGGTTCGGCTTTCAAGGGGTACTTTTGGCATCATTTAAAGATGAGGAAACGTTCGGTGGGAGGTTTTTGAGGAGCATGAGAGGTGGCGGATGGTGAACTTTGTGCCTGGATTTGCAAGTGTTAGAGGGTTGTGCGTCGGAATTGGGTAGTGATAGCTTTAAAGGTTAATTTTTAAGGGATTTCTAGTCAATGGAGCATGAACATGAGCAAGACCCCTTTACTTCAATTCCAAATGTTGCGTTCCATCCTCCCTTATTAGCCTAACACAAAACCCCGGACACCACATAGAAAACGAAGAGCAATCAGAACCCCTCCCCATGCGCGACATTCGCGGCCGAGGAAGATGAGCCTCCTCCGCCTCCTGATTAATTAAGTCAACCCCATTTTTCGAGGGACTCAGCCTCCCCGGCAAGTTGTTAGAGTCATCCCCTAGCAGCTAAGATTGGCTCCTCGCAATTTTCTGGGTCTCGAAAAAAATTCTGGCGTTCTGTAACTGCTTGCAAAACCGGATTTCTAAGTTGTTGTCTTTATTTTTATAGTCATCTAGTTAAGACTGATGTGTGCTTAGGCTTAGGCTTAAGCTTAGGCTTAGGCTTAGGCTTAGGCTTAGGCTTAGGCTTAGGCTTAAGCTTAGGCTTAGGCTTAGGCTTAGGCTTAGGCTTAGGCTTAGGCTTAAGCTTAGGCTTAGGCTTAGGCTTAGGCATAGACTTAGGCTTAGGCTTAAGCTTAGGCTTAGGCTTAGGCTTAGGCTTAGGCTTAGGCTTAGGCTTAGGCTTAGGCTTATCTTGGGCTTAGGCTTAGGCTTAGGCTTAGGCTTACCTTAGGCTTAGGTTTAGGCTTAGGCTTACCTTAGGCTTAGGCTTAGGCTTAGGCTTAGGCTTACCTTAGGCTTAGGTTTAGGCCTATGCTTGGGGATAGCTTAGAAAACACCTATTTTAAAGCCCAAATTTCTATGTTACTTGGCCAGCCTTCTATTTTTAGCCCCAAAAACCATTCGACGGAACGAACGGGGCCGGGGCCCAGGTTATTTGTGAGCGGCCGGCTCTAGTTTGGGATTGTGCAGCGCCAATTCTCTTGGGGCCCACTGGAGCCCGCAAAGCAGCCACCAGTTCTACCTGGAATCTTGCATCTGGCAGCGCGCCCGAGATCTTCTAGCGGCCTCACCCCGCTTTTCCTCCCCTAGGGGCGCATCCGATGACGCACAACCGGGCGGGGGCCGTACGAGATATGGTGGCCAGATTGAGCGTGGGGGAATTAAGCGCGAGGTTGGGGGCTTGGTTTCAGAAGTTCGAGGGCATTTGGTTTTGGGTTTTTGAGGTTTTGCAAGCGGCAAAGGTTTTTTGGGGGGCTATCGTATTTTTATTTCTATTCTAGATTTCTTGTTTACTTCTTGTTAGGGCCATTTTTATTCTGAATTTTCAATCGATTTTAAGACGGCATCTAAATGTATTTTGATGCTTTTTTATTCTTAAAAGCATTCACATTTGAACCCATTGTTCCGGTTCAATTAATTTGACAGCACAATTTTCTCCAGCTAAATCAAAATTTACATAAAATCCAATATTTTGGCACTAAAAATCCCCGTCAGTAATCCCAATAATCCAAAAAATCCCTTGTTTCCAATCCCCACTTCACATGCTTCACCGACAGCTTGAACCACTCAACCCCTCCCTACCCCCAAAAAAAATCACAATGTCGGGAAGTCAGCCGATAATCCGGAGTAGCAATTAGGGGCTCACGCGGTTCCCCCGCCACTTCCACACAGTTGTCCATAATGGCCTTGTCGAGGTATTTCGGGAGCTCCAGCTCCCCCTTGTAGCCGTAGCCCAAAAATGAATCGAATTCCGGGGGTTGGCTGGTCTCTGGCGCGACACACCCCGGAACATCAAAAAGTGGACAAGTTCTTTGTCCGCCTCCAATCCCCCGGATTGCGCACATCTTCTTTTAGGGGGAGCACGAAGTTGGGGAAGAATGGAATGGAATCGAGACTCTGCTCCTCAATTCAACCCTTTCTTCGGGTTTCGCCAAGATTTAGGGTGGAGCTAGAAGTTCCAAATTTTTCAATTCTTCGAGCGTGAAGTCTTTCGATTATCAAAGAAAATCCGAAGCTTAACGCGTTTCTCGATCTCAAGAACCTGATGCTCAATGTGGCTTATTTTACCTGATACAAAGTTCCAAATCTTTCCCCGACCACTTATTCTAATTGCTGACAGCCTACGGATCAGAGACCTGGCCCCGACTTCTGCCATTTCAATTCCGAATTCATACTTTTTACGGGGGAACGGGCATTCAGCAGCTGCAGATGATTCCTAAAATGGGAACTTTTGCACGGGAAGCTCCCGGCTGCACCCTTTTAATTGGTGCCATCAGGCGTAAAATTGTTCCGGGGCGCGGGGAGATGCTGTTTTGAGGGAGGTAGACGGTCCGATTTGGCCCGTTTTCCGGATGTGAATAGCTGCAGAGTGCCTCGGAATAGAAGGCGTTTTATAGGGTTTCTTTTTTTAAAGAGGTACAAAGATATTTTGCGGGTTTTAGCGTTTTTTTTTGAAACCTCTGATAAAATGAAAACTTCATTACGTCGTTTCTTGGTTTTTAGGGATTTAACAACCTCTTTACTGTTTTAGAAAGGTATATTCCTATTCTGTTTTTTTACCGTATTAATGTGTTTTTAGATAACCTTTGAGATGCTAATGAGCTTAAAATTTGTTTGCTTTTCTCCTTAAGCAATTTTTTGATTTTGTAGGTGGAAATCAGATGTTTCCTGTTGGCGCCAGTACAGTAAGATGCCCTTTTTCTCCCAAGATACCCTTTTACGCAATACCCTGTAGCCGCTGGACCATGCTGACATTGCCATGCTGATTACCCCACCCCAAATTCATTTCAGTGTGGCAAAATTAGCTTTCCCAGAAATCCTGAAAACCGGAAGGGCGTTATTTGGAGTGGGTGGTCGTCCAGCTACCCCCCCCCGAATGCATAATTATCGCCCCGCAAAAAAATGGGTGGGTCTTCTTGTTGGCGGAAAGTTAGAGACGACGGGCCCACCCCTCGAATTACGCAAATCACGGAGTCGGACTTGTTGAGGGGGAAATTGTGAGAACACAACGGGGCCTCCTTCACTATAATCTTGGAGGGTTCATGAAGCCTTTCAAGGGAGGAGTGGAAGAAGAGGATGGGTTGAGGGATAATCTCTGCCCAAAATCCCTCTCATTTGGCCCAAATCTAGGTGGGCCCGGCCCTCCTGATCCAAATCCTAAAGCCGCTCGGCCATCGGGGTGTTTCGCAGTCTATTCGGCCATTGACTTTTGGACTTGGATTTTGGAAAATATTTAACGTTGGCCAGACTACGTTACGCCCCGATCGTACGGTATCTCGGTTGTCGTTTTCTTCGTGAATTCCACTGGTATACTGTATTCTTGGGTAATCCGAAGCCAATTTTGAGCCTGATCAGCCTCTTCGCATCGGAACCCGTTTTTCTTTCTGTGTTAGATTTCACAAAATTTTCCCTGCAGGTCTTTCCTCTACTACAGCACCTTATACCTGCTTGAATGTTGCATTTTCTAAGTGCTTTAAGAGATCAAAGTCAGATTTTTAGCCTCAAAACGTTGAGGAGAAGAAACAATTTTTTGTTCTGGATCATTTGTAAAATCCTGATAAAATTTCACAAATTACTTTTCCTGTGGTACCTTACCCCTTTTCGCGCATTGTAACCAAAATTTTCGTGTCCTTTTGTTTATCCCCCATCTGACATTTCCTTTGTCTGGATCGGCTACAAAATCCGGATGAGCCGGGCTACAGTAAGACACCGGATGAGGCAGATCTTCTTATTTTTTGGGTAAGAGTGATTTGTGTAGATTCTTTGGGTGACCGGATTTGTGAGTAAAGGGTTTTGTCTAGGTTTAGGTTTCATGTTGTATTTGGTTAGACATTGAACTAAATTCGCTAAATTCTCTCTGTTTGTCCTTCCAATGTGACATTTCCGGTTCAGGGAAAGCCTAGAGCGGTAATTAATCTCACAGGTTTTTTTTATAGTCGAATAGAGAGAGAGAGAGAGAGAGAGAGAGAGAGAGAGGGATTGTGGGGTGCCTGGAAGCGATCTCTTTAGTTGTGGGGGGTATGTGTCAGAAACAGCTGATGGTGTCTTGTGTGTGGTGGGTGGTTGGGAGGGTCCTGCTTGGTGTCGAGGGCCATGCGGGGTCTGGTGGGAGGGTCTATTTTCGATGATCACCTCTATCCGATCAGACGCCCTTTGTCTTTGCCGCCACGACTGGGTTGGTATTGGTTTGGCTCGTAGAGTGTTTAGAATCACGTGGTTTCTAGCGTAGGATCTACTTCCTATTCATTCTTACAATTGCTAGAGCTGGGTCTCGATGTGGCTAAGCTCATTTGATATAGCTTGGAACTTTTCAAAAGTCGTAATTTTGGAAAAATAATAAAAGTTAGCGGCCTGCAAGCAGATTTGCCTTGAAAAACCGATTTTAGAATTTCTGGCTCGTGCTTAACGAAGCTGAAGCCTTGTACGCTCTTAAAAACCATTTAAACTGATTTATAAGCTAATTTTAAAGGCCTGATCTGTTTAGAATTTTAACCTCTATCGATTGAGCTATTTTGATTATATTGAACAATCGAATTTTCAAGTCAAAACGAGTTTTTCTTGAATTTGGCCGCTATGAAATCGCTTTACGTCAGATCTATAGATTGATGCTATTTTGAACTTATTCGATGAAAAGAGCCATTATATTGTACGCATTATTAGCATTATATGCGTCCTGAAAATCTTCCTAACTCGCTAATTTAAAAAATGAAGCTCATGGAATTTAGCTGGAGTTTAAATTAAGCTCAGCGAGTTTTAAATCCTACGATTAGATTTTAGGATTAGACGTCTGGAATTTTAAGTTTGGAATTACAAATTTTAAGAAATTCGACGTGCCCAGCTCCCTCAACCCCGATTTCTCCACCCCAGACGACAACCCGTAAATTGACCTACACACCCTCATCCCTGCAAAATCCCAAAATCCTTTCACGTTCTCACTATTCAACCCCTCCCTCCCGTTCCGTCTGCTCCACACCCCATTCTAAAGGCAGATAAACCTCCCTTTTCAAAAAGCCGAGCAGGAAAAGCCGTTGATCGTTCCCTCTCCCCTTCCTGAGTGTTTTTCTCTTTTGAGCTCCAGCTCCACGGGCAGCCGTGCTCATTCGTTTTATAGCTGATCACCAAGCGTTGGGGGGCGCCGGTTTAAAGGTATCTCGTACGATCATGCCTTGGGGCCCCCACCAATTTGTCTCGGGCCTTTTTGTTAATCACCTCGTACTGACACCTACGCGTTGTTGGGTATTGATTCTGGCGGCTTGTTATTGGGGTGGGTTGGAAAACGTGGTAATAAACAGGATTTGTGGATTTGTGATTTTTGACGTAGTGGGTGGGGGTTGTTGATGGGGAATGACAGGGGTTTTTGAGAAATTAATCTAGAAGGTGTTATATTTTTCTTAAATACCATATTTTCTATTTTTTAGATTAGATCCGAAAAATCTAAAAGCCGCTATCAGAGATTCTTTAGGAATATTCGCACTAATAATTTGCTTCGACATCTTTCGCAATGTGTAGAAATTTCTAAAATTTCTAGTTTGCAAGGAGTAGGAAAATTTGGAGCCGAAATTTACCACTTTCTGTGTCTAGGAAAATCCAAGGCAAGCTAGCAGAAATTTTTTAGAAGTTTTTTCGAATATCATTTGCTTTTAATATCTTTTTTGATTGTCTGGAAACTTCTCAAGCTTTTATTTTTCAGCAATTTTGCAAATTTACAGTTTAGGCTACAACCTACCGTCTCTACAAAAATCTAAATGCTAACTGGCAGTATTCTTTATATTTTTTCGGAAGTTAAAAACAAATTTGAGCACCAGCTCCACAACGATTTCGAAATAAAATCCCCTTTTCGACCTCCCCACAACAGCTACCAACCACCACCTGGCTAATGCATCACCCAGCTCATCCTCACTCTATTGCCCCCCCCCCCTCTAAACCTCCGGCTCCCGTCAAATCCGTTTTCAAAACATCAACACCCCGCTTACCTCATCCTCCTGGCTTTTGCTATTTTAAGCTCATTTATTACCCTGTTTTTTTGATTTCTGGTTTCGTTAATTTTTTTCAAATTTTAGACTAAAAATGGGAAACAACAAGAGTACCGAGGCTGGGAAGGACGAACGGGACAAGGTCAGGGTTTTGTAGTTTTTCCGGATAATCTTTATTTTTCTAGAAACCCCGAATAGGCTCACTGCCGGAAGACAAAAATGATCGACGCAGCGGAGCAAAGCGTAGTGCGCAGAGCGCTAGGTAATTTTTTTTAAGATTTTCTTAAGATTTTCAAAGTATCAGGGCTTCAATGTCAAGCCAGGGCAACCGGAAGCCAGTTTTGAACGCGGCTCAGCGTACGATAATCAAGTATTGTCTGGATAATGCTAAGGAGGATATCGGAGGTAACAAAATCTCCTTTAAAGTTGTAAAAGGTAATTTAAAGACCGTATCCTGCGCCGTGCCGTAGAGCGCAAAGAAGAATTCCGTAGCTTTATGGACAATCTACCAAGGGTAAGCTTTTAGAAATTTTTGTTTAAACCTACACTCTCGTCTTCTTTACACCTAACGTCTAAAGTACTATAAAGTACGATATAGAGTTCATCTGTGCCTTGTCCTTAGTCGGTCTTGTTTGGGCCCCTAGGCCTCCTAGATCGCGAGTGAGCAGCAGTTGTCCAATGGCGGCTACCCGCACACAAATGTTGTGCCCCCAATCTGGTCCAATGACGTAGAGCCTCAGCCTGGGTCCGATTTTTGATAAATCCCCCTCGGAAACCCATCAATAAGCCTCGAAACTCGATGTTTTTCGATCAGCAGGCAGCTTAGTTCTAAGAACCAAATAATCACCGTTCGGTCCTCAGTTGCAAGTGAGAATTTATTGCCCAACCCTGGCATTACATCAGGTATAAATCTTGCCCGGGTCGGGGAGACAAGGCGGAACCGCAAAATGCCTTCCTCAAGGGTCAGAAAAATGCTTTTAATGGGCTACATGGAAATGTCCGAAGGGGAACAACTGTTGAAGCTTTTGAGTGGACACTGACCTTTGGCCCAGCCTTTATCGTCCCTGAAACCTGGGGAATCGAACCAACCCGACCTGGGATAAGTCCCTTCCGTCTGGGCCAAAAATAGGCGATAGACCGGAGAAGACGGGCCCTTTAGTTCTTTCCTGCCGACGTCTGTTGCGTCAATTTGAGTGATCGGGCTTTTGGCAGGGTGGCGGCTTTTTGTCTTTCCGCTCTGGGTCACTTTATAGAAAAGAAAGGGGAAGTAGGAGGTGGTAAGAAGTAGATAGAAAAAATATATTTCTGGGGTGTTAAAGGGGGTGAGACGTGAGAGTGAGAGAGAGAGAGAGAGGGAGAGAGAGGGGGGAAAGAAAGCTATAGTGCAAAATTGAGAGGAGTAGAGGCATAACCTAAGGCGAGAGACAGGCGAAGTGAGAGAGAGAGAGAGCGAAAGAAAGACATTTCTCTGAAAATAAACTAAACTTTTTTTCAGGAACAGCGCATCCAAGTCGCTGATGGCCTCAAACGATTCCTCCGTGACATCTGCGAGAATTTAATGGATTCAGAAAATATTGAGAAGGTAAGAAAATCAATCATGCAAATCATTTTATGCAATGTTTAGAAAGCCGGTGACTTCGGAGCCACCCATGTACAGTATCGCGTCGTCGGCTTCAAACCGGACTATTTTGTGTGCACAGGTAAAACCTTTCCACGAATTAGCATCCCAATTTAGCCGACGCTGTCACCACCGAATGTACATTTCTCGACGCAGCCACCCATGGAGCTAGCGAAACCGCAGCAGCCTGGTATTTATAGCTTGTATTTTCAATAAAAACGATTTTCTAGGTCCCAGCTGACCTCGTTCGTCTTCTCGGCCGTGCGAGATGGGTACTACCAGCGACTGCGCGAGCACAGAAAGGTGGGAAATTAGAGAAGAAGCTAATTAGCATACCCTTTAGGACGAGATGGTTGGTAGCTAGCTGAGATATAGTGTAATACAAACCCGCTAAATTCTAACCCCCGCCATAAATGCGTTCAGCGTTGCTCACCGGAACTATTATTATTCTAATCGTTTTGGTCATGCTAATCTTGGATACTAATTTTATTTTTATGATAATTGTGGTTTAGGCGTCAAGCGCTTTCCGCAATCGTCAGTCGTTCGATGTATCGACAGATGGGTCGACAAATAATGAGGATAGTCGGAGGTATGGAAAATTTAGAAACGTTAATATGCAAATTTTAGATCGGCGAGTCCTAATGACGGATCTGGAGGATCTTCTGGACCGTCAAATTCAGGTACATTCACATTTTGGTTGGATTTTAAACATTTATCCGTAATTATAATTTAAATATAAAATTAAATAGAGCTAAGTTCTGTTTTTCAGGTGCTGGAGGTTCACAACAAGATCTAGACGTTCAGTGCTCATCTCAAGAGATCCCATCCCATTTCCTTTGCCCTCCAAGTGCTTATTAAATATACGTAACTATGATTAAACCCAATTCACTATTTTTCCAAAAAAAAACGCCAATTGGCATCAATATTTTCATTTTGTGTATGTTTTTGCATTTTGTAGTTGCAGCTTCTCGAATGATCTTTTCGTGTTGTTGTCGTTATGTGCACCCCTTTAATGCCGAGCTAGTCATTTTCGGACTTTGCATGATTTTTCTGTGTTTAATTCTGTGTATATCTCTCCTTGCGTATCCCTTGAAGTGTTTAAATTCATGATTTGAATGCAAATTACCCCCCCCCAAATTTGAAAGAAATATCGCAGCTGGAACCGGGTACTCCCATTCGAGATTTGCGTCGTGTTCCCCTCACCACCCCATTAAAATCTGGCCCTTCCTCAGTTTTCTTTTTCCTATATTTCCAATCTATTGATATCCTTGAACTAACACGCGCTGAATATGTAAATTTGATAAATAAATTGGACTGGAAAAACTTGGTGTATTTTATTAAAAAATCGAAAATCAAATCAAGGCACAAATTGACAATTTTGGATCGCTTATGCCGATATGTAAAATCAAATAAAATCGGAATTCTTGTAGGTAGATTATATTGCGAAAAAGGCATACAGTAGAGTGGGGGAAATTTACAAATGCGTACAGGGGATAGTATCGGAGTGGAACACATTTTAAGGCTATTCAGGAATTTTGGAAGCGTAGGATTGCAAGCTCTAGGTTTGCTACTGATATTTGGTATGATTGTGACGTGTAAGAGTATGACTTTTAGTGCATTCCGCCCTGATTGCCCTGGACGAGGGCAATGAGTCCGTCCTTGTACGCTCCCGAGCAATCGCCCTTGATCATGTTCTCGAGGGAACCCTGGAAAGGTTGAATAGAGAGAGGTGGTTGAGTGGTCGCGAGTTAGGAGTCCGAGGTCATGCTCCCTCCATCATACACAAGACAATTTGCTTGTCATTTTGTAAAATCCAGTGCTAAACAAACCTTGTACATCCTCTGGAACTCATTTCGAATATCGCCCATATCAACTTCTGAGCGAGTAACGACCAATCGAATCAAGTCGTTATCGTGCGTACCAAGACCCTAGAAAAATTTTTAAAAATTAAATTTTTTAAAGTATTCTTATACCTTCATACTCTGGTGCAACAACCCGGCAAAATAGGCGGGCCTGTTCCGGATTACGCTACAAAGGGCAATCAACCCGGCCTCGATATCCCCGCTGAATTCCGAGCGAATCGACTGCTCGATGGACTTGTTGGAGACCTAAAAAAGGACAATTGGTACAGATTTTACTTTTGCATACCTTCTGATATTCATCAAAGACCAGGCGAAGCTGCTGGAAGTTTTGTGAAGCCAAAACCTCGTTGAAGCAAGCCTCATCAGTGCCAAGACGGCGCTCTCCAGCGGAATACAAACGACGAGCATCCTAATTTTATTGATTTTAAATTTTAGTGCTGTTTCCTACCTGGTTAGCCCTCAAGGGATCCGTGTAGTTGCTCTCATCACGCCCTCCGGCGCACAGAGACACCAAGAGCCGCTTGAACCAACCGGAAGTCTCGGAAATCAGATCCTAAATCGATAAATCCTAAACCGAACGGCTCCTATTTACCCTCTCCAAATCGCTGCGGTACATGGCCTGGTACACCCTGCGGAGCTCGGCGATCTGGGCGTTTGTTCTGGAGGTCATGATTTCGATGAGGACGCTTTCTTTCGTGCCGAGACCCTAAAAAAGGTTTAAAAATCATAAATTTCCTGGTACCGCCATGGCCTTGTGCAGCTGCTGGGCGTCGTACTGGGCGGGCGGGGTCATGAGGGCGAGAATCAGGTCTTCGAAGTCACCGTGAAGTTCGCTTTTCAGCTCGTGGATCAGGTCTTTTCCGTACATCACCTAAAAATCTTGGAATTAGCATAAAAATAAAGATACTTGCCTTAAAAGCTCGAGCGATCTCTTGACGCTGAGGGTTTGTGCGTGCGCAAAGGACACTGATGACCTAAAAAAATTTGTATTTTTGTATTTTGTAGTTTTTTAGTTTACCTTGGCATTATTACAGCCCAGGCCTTTCATAGCCTTGCGGAGAGTTTCGGCGTCGGTATTAGCATTGTTTTGAATAGGGCGCACGGACGGGTTTCCGTACATGTTGCCTCCTGAAATATAAATTGTTTCAAAATGATATAATGGTTTTAAATAGGCCAAAACGTATAAAAAAATGCGGCTTTGATCTATGAGACTCCAAAATATCCCATTTCTCCGACTCGACCCTCCAGTGAAAAGGCCACGCCCCACGCAAAACCTGGACTAGGCTGGATTAGCCAGCAAACAGTTCGTCAAGAAAAAATATCTTGATATTTTGGAAGGGCGCGATATAGGAATCCGGGGGTTTTAAGGAGGGGTGAAATGATAAGCAAGAGGGCGGAGGCGGAGGGGCTGGGGTTTCCGGTCTAACGCTTATGTCATAATACGGGGGAAGCCGCAAAAAGACGGGGATTGGGGAGGCGGTTTATGAATGAAAAATTATGAGAAATGGGCTAAAAAATTCGGGAAATTGTTATTGTCAATAATGCATTAAAAATTAAATTGTTGCCAAAAACATTTTAGAACAGAAAGAAAATCAGGATTTGGCTAGGAAATCCACCAAATTGTTTTTTTTTAGTAAACTATTGAAGATTCTAGAAATTCCGCTTATTCTGCTATCAAATCAAATCTTACAAAATGGTGTAAAAAAAGCCATAAGTTTTTATTGTTAATTTACAAATAGAAAACCCAAGAAAATTTCAGTTCGGAAAAAATCCAAACTGAAAATAAGCCCAGAATTGGGGTATAAAATTTGATTTGATTTTAGCGACAAAGATCAAACGACAAGCTAAATGCAATGACAATTTCGTTGAAAAATTTAACTATTTTTATCTTAAAGTGTTAGAAAATCGCTTTGAGTAAGAAAATTCCAGTACACTACCCCGAACAGGTGCACCAAATGAATGTCACTGTTTCGCCCTTCGTCATCTATTCAAAGCCTCGCGTTTCGGGGTAAACAAGCGGAGTGTCGGGTGGTCAATATGAGGATAAAGAGGGGAGTGAGTGTTAGAGGATGAAATAATCGAAATTGACGGGCCATGAGGGAGGGCTGTGGGGGAGACTAACTGCAGATGTATGCTGTTGGGGGGGGACTGACCTCGGCTGGAGGGCCTCTACCAATCCCCTATGACTCATCACACAAACAATATTCCCCGGCTACGCTCGGCTCCTCTTTCCGTTTTTCTCTAGCTGTTGTGAGTCACGAAACCCGTTCCCATTCTTTTTGAAAATGGGATTCGCATTTACGTCAAGGGGTTTTGTGAAGAAATAGAATTGGTAATGGGAATTCTGCTGATTCAGAGGCATGCAAATATGCGCAAGATTCTTGTGAAAGTTGGCGAAAATGCAAAATGTCCCCGGATTTTTGTAAGAACTGAATTAGGTTTATTTATTTTACGCCGTATGCAAATTCTAATTTGTAAATTTGACAAGGTATAAAATTCTAAGTTTTCTAACAATAGAATTTAAGCTAAAGTTAAGTTAAGGGCCGCTGTATGCATATTTTAGTTTTAAGCGCTCGTCTTTAGGCAGAAATATTGCTAAATATTATTTCCAATACCAAATGCTAGTTAAAACGGATGCAAATATGTCTAATTTTCTTGTTAGATTTGAGTATAAAATTAGTGAATAGCCTGCGCATTCTTTGCAAAACCCTAGAATTCAGTGATATGCAAATTCTAGAGCTTAAAACGGCTTAACTTTTAAAATAACTAAAAAAAACGATCTGTTTTCCAGGCGAATTTTCCCTTGTTAAATGCCATTTCGAGAACTACCCATCACCAAAAAAATTATTTATAGCATGCGTTTAGAAACGTACGCAAAACGTTAGGCCGGGCATGACAATCACAGCACTAGCTAGATAGATAGCAATTAATAACTACCTCCTCCCCCTCCTCCTCCGAAGTACTGCTGCTGGGGTTGTCCGTAACCAGGTTGTTGACCGTAGCCCGGTTGCTGATTTTGGGCTGGGTACGGGTTGTATCCACCTCCCATTTGTGGGTATGATGGTGGGGCTGAGGGCATCGAGTTTTGTGGAGGTGGTTGGGGTGGGTATCCAGCTCCACCTCCAATCCCTGCTCCACCGTAGTTGATTTCAGAAGGGCCGGAGTTGGGTGGGAAGCCGCCAAAGCCGATTGGGGGTCCTGAAGAACTAACTGAAGGAGGCGAGCAGGAGGAAATGGAAGGACAGGCGAAGCGTTGAGGGTGCGGAAGCTGCAGGGTTATTTTACCATTTTTAAAGGGGCTCTGACTGGGCCGATTTAATTTCTTGAGGGTTTTTGGCAAAGGGCCAGGAAAGGGCTAAGAACTATAGAAACTGGGTCTTATCTTCGGCGTTTTTAAAGGCGCTTGGAAGGAAAGAATCGCGGCGTTTTTATGGGTTTTGGCAAATGGCCAAGTTGGCTAACCTCTATGGAGCATCAGCATTCTTTTGCTCATTCCCCTTAAGTTAAATGGAGCGTAAAAACTATTTTATAATTACCACCAATGTCCGATTCTCTACGTTGAAAAAATAAATTTACAACTAATAGTTTAACCTTAAAATCCTGAAAGTCCTTTTTAACGCAAAGCTAGCTTTAAAGGCCTAGGAAAAGTTTCAAAATAAAGCAAAATCCCACCTCCTTGCCCGCCTCCAAAGTTGCCGCTCGGATACGGGCTGCCTCCTCCTCCCGGATATCCAGGTGGCTGGGGTGGGTACGAGTTATTTTGGCCGGGGTACGAGCTTCCACCGCCCGGGTAACCTCCTTGGTTCTGTCCAGGGTATCCGCCTGGGCCTCCTGGGCCTCCCGGATATCCTCCTTGTCCTCCAGGGTATCCGGGTTGAGGAGATCCATATCCAGGCTGCGGTGAGTTATATCCGCCCTGAGGTTGTCCGTAACCTCCTTGAGGTTGTCCGTAACCTCCTTGAGGTTGTCCGTAGCCACCTCCACCTTGTGGGTATCCACCTCCATATCCTAAACATACAAAATTAACATAAAAATCGATCGCCCACCTCCACTCATATTATTCTGTTGATTATAGCTGGACGACTGGTCGTATGGTTGCTGCTGCTGTCCCCCACCACCGCTCGATCCACTATTTTGGCGCTTATTCATCTGTTGTTCCTGAAAAAAATCGATTTCCAGGCTCCGCCCAGTTTTGAGTCATGTTTGATAAGCCTGGACGCCTCTTCGCGATTTTTTAAAGGGCCCAATAAAAACTTACAATCACTCCCTTCGCGCCCTTCATCAATAGATCTCCAAAATTCGGCATGTTTTCGAGTCTGAAATCCGAAAATAAACCAGAAAAAAGGAAAATTCGAGCCTGATCGATAGAACCCAAACAGACACAGGAGGGGGGGAGATTAGTCGCAGGGGGGATGTGCGGATGGTAAATAGAAAAGAGCGGATGAAGGTTTATGGGGGGCTACCGCTATACATAAAATTTGAGGGCAAATTCAGCTAAACTGGGGGGGGGGGGCCTACGGAAGATGACTAATGCTGATTGTGTCAGGCGAGCGGGGTGAGAAAGGAGGCAGTTTTCTTGCGAAATTGAATCAACAATGGGGGTGAGGTGGATGTAAATAAGGGACGAAATGAGAGTGATGAATTTGTATTTCCTAATTAAAAAATCCGGGCTGAAATCCAAGAACAAAGCCTATTTTCGAGATTGTATTGTCGTTTTCGCGCGGGGTGGTGTTGACCTTTAAAATGTTGTTGTTATGACGGAAAAGGTCACAAAATATCAGAAAATTTGAATTGAAGAAAAATAGTGACGAATTCTATATGCAAATCTATAAATATTAAAAAGGCTCAAACTAGTCTCTGAAACTTGGAAATTTTGGCAAAATCCAGATAAAAATTTAGGAAAACTCCGGTCATTTCCAAGCCAATTTAATTTAATTTTAACTTTGAAGTTTTTATATGCCACTTGTGATCTATCTAAAAGCCGTAAAAATAGTAAATTATAGTTAATGGCTGTTTATAGATTTTAAAGGCGACGAATAACCTTAAAAGGTAGTTCTGAAAATTTTACACATTTTTTCAATCAAAATTTCAGTGGAAAAATCCATGATAAACTCTAGTAAATCGCAGATAAACTGTCGAGCCCAACAAAACTCGCCGGCGAGCCTGAACAAATAAATGGGGCGCCCGGAAAAACATGTTCGGCTCGCTGCACATCGATCGTTGCGTTTTGGGCAGTAAGGAAAGAAGAGGAGGAGCAGGAGCAGGGGATCTACTAGAGGGGGAGATTGAAAAAGGTAGGGAGGAAGGTTGGAAAGGATCGGCGAAATGTTTGTGACGGCCCGGGTGGGGCCTACCAACACTCGGTTATATACCGAAAACGCGGGGCTGTGCTGTCCGTTTGTGGATGGGTGTGGAAATTGAAGGGGGAGTGCAGGTACTCTAGGGGGGAGATGAGTCATGGTCTCACGAAAGTTGGGGGCTACTGCTTGGGGTCGGAGATCAACAGCGGGTTTGCAAAAAGAGAACGGGGCTGTAAAAGACTCTGTGTTTAAAGGTACTTAGCGCGTAAACGCTATGCCAACGGGAAAAAATCCCGACCGAGAAGATACCGATAGTCAAAATCTCGACATGCAAAATAGCTTTTTTAAACGGACATGTTTTAGCTATCGGCATTTTGACTGTCGGGATTCTGGCTATCGGTATTTTGGTTGTCGGCATTATCGCTTCGGGATCTTGTCTGTCTGGATTCTCGCTATCGAGATTTTGTCTTTCGGGGTTTTGGCTGTCTGTATTTTGGGCTCGAATATCTATTTTTCCTGTAGTTTGTTGTTTAAGCCCTAATTAACCTATTATCCTAGTATCCGATTTACACAGCAATTTCCGGGCTTCTCTGTCCCTTTAGAGATTTTTCAACACGAATTTTCGGGGTTTTTCGTGTGTTACAGCATTCCATAGCGTTTTATTTTCGAAAACCATCAATTCCGCATAAATTCAAAAAACGTATTGTATGGAGACGAAGCAATGCCAAGAAGCGAACGTGAGAACATCGATTTTCAATACAGGCTCGTCATTGTGGACCCGACATCAAAAATGGGGGAGGCTGGCTTTGGAATTTTGGAGAGTGAGAGACAGAGAGAGAGAGAGAGAGAGAGAGAGATGGAGAGCGAGAGATGGAGAGCGAGAGCGACGAAGGAAAATAGAAAAATATAAAAAAGTAAAAAGCTTAGGCGATATTTTCCAGATATGAACATTAGCCAGGGAATCAGGCAAGTGGAAGGGTTGTAAAAATGCAAAATCGAAACTTATGCCGGATTGGTGGTGGTGTCGCTGGCTTTCTTGAAGCAAATGCAGCAGCAACAGCAGCAGAAGCAGAAGCACATCAGCGCCAGAATCGCGTAGGTGACGGTGATGAAGACAAAGCTGAAAAACCGTTCATTTAAGGTTTTTTTAGTTTTTGTACCTGAAAATCAGCATAAACGGATCGCAATAATCCTCTCCTTGATATGGGGTACGCGTGTAGTGTCCAAATGCGGAATAAACCCAAATGCTCCCGAGGATGAACCTAGAAAAATGTGATTATTTTTAAATTGTCTACATTAACTAAAGTAACTAAAATATATTTAAAAACCTACCAAACGGTGCTGAAAAGACTCAAAAGACCATCAATGGCTTTCACGGAAGTTGGTGGGTGCTCGATTTTCTAAAATTTGCATTGATTAATCTTGTTTTTATGCAAATTTACCTTCAATTTAAGGTAATAGTTTATCGCGCTCTTGACAAGATGCACAATTCCACTGACGATCAGCCATTTTGGGATTGTTGGGTCGATCGGGCAACTGAAATCCGGTTTTTTTTTAGAAAAAATTGTGTTTTTAGCTTACTTGTCCTTGTTCAGGGCGCCCAAAAGAATCATGGCTATCGGAAGAATGTTGAGAAAAGCGAGGGCAATCATGGCAGCGACTAGAATATATTTTTTTCGATTTTCTAGGGTATTTTTCCCTACCAGTTCCGGTGAGGGTGTGCCATGCTCCTCCGAGAAATGAAACCAATCCCTTCGGGTCTTCTACCTGTCGGAATTGGCCGTAGAGCGAATCGTAAGATGGTGGAGCTAAAGCTGAAAGTTGCATGAAAATAATGCATAATTAAAATATAAATAAAATGAACAAACCGTCGGCTGGGTCCATGGCATCGTAGCTTGGCGGCTGCTCTTGGTAAGCTGGCGCTGATGGTTGAGACATTTTTAAGCTGGTTTGAGGAGGTCCTGAATTTATTAAGTTATTTTTGTTAACGAACCTAAGCCGAAATTTGGTAGCGAGAAAAGCGGATTTATGTAAAAAAACGAGCATTAATTTTCTAAAAAGACACGCTTATATTCAAACCCTAAATTATATATGTCATGCTAAAAAACGCTTTATAACACTTTTGATACCAGATTAACCCCTAAACAAAATATAGCAGATTTCTCAGCCCTCCGAGTAAGGTTATTTGCATCTTATTACGTCATATTAATTTCGGGAAGTAGGAGAAGAGAATTAACATTTTACCCATCTTCATGCGCTCAAAGGAGCAGTAATTTCCTAGTCCCAAATCGATTTCGCAAGCGTTTCTGTTCCTGGTCCCCGGTGATAGGGTTTGGAGGCCGTACATTGATAAAAAGGGAGAGTAAGATGAGTAATATTATAGAAAGTGTATATACCTAGCGCCTGTCATTTGAATAAAATAGGAAATATAAGAGAAAAACAAGCAAACAAATCCAATTTCTGTTTAAAATAGGCAAGCGACCGGAATGGTATCAATACCGCGCGGTTCAAGGATACTCAAGCTCGAGTTCGGGCTCACGAGAGAAGAGAGAACGAGACGGCAACTTAATTCCTGCTAGGTAGTATCATTGTAGGGGCGCAACAAAGGAATTGCGGGTGTAGAAAAACAGAAAAAGCTTCTCGTGCGCCGGGTGGGACAGCCGAATGTGGGGGGCAAAAACATGTGAGAGTGGACCGTAAACAAGGATGAAAAGAAAAGTAGCGCGAAATGAGAGTGCAGCGCCCTTGTGGAGACGCAGGTGGCGCACATCGATTAGGGCCCGGGTATTGCCCAACACTATCGTTGCGTAAGCGAGACTAGAAAAGTGGAAATTAGCAATAATGGCTTTATAAAAGACTCCAGATTTGTCTGTAATACTCTGCCAATTTCATAAAATGTATTTTTGAAATATCAAAACATAACTTTCATTAGCGAAACCAGAAAAATAAAAATTCAACAATATCGTTATAAAGATCACTAAAGTTGTCTGTAATCTGTAATAAAAAATACGCTGCAAATTTCGTCAAATGTATTTTTTAAAACTATAACAGAGCTTTTATTATCGACTCGAATCTTCAAAATTGAAAAATTAGCAAAAGAGCTAGAATAAAATGCGAGAGAAGGCCAACGTGAAGATTTGGCCAACAGCAATTAACTGACAAAACTAAGGCAATGAAAAGGGGGGTAAGGCTTTGAGGTGGGAGGTTAGCCTAAGGCTCTAGTTTGGGCTTTTTCATGACGAGCCCATTGGCGGGAGGGTCTAAAGGTTCGGTTTTGGGTATTTTCATGGCTGGGTAATACATGGGAGGAGGGTAGATAGGTTCAGGGTTTTCGGTTCTAACAAGTTTGAGCATCGGGGTGCCGCGGGGCGAACTGCAGGGTACAGGCATGGAGAAATTCGCGGAAGGAGCAGCTACAGGCGCGTAAATAGGTTCAGGGCGTTCGGATCTAACAAGTTTGAACATCGGGGTAGTCCGGGGCGAATTGAAGAGTACAGGCTGGGAGAAGTCCAGGGGAGGTGCAGCCATAGTTGGGAAGATAGATTCGGGGCGTTCGGCTCTAACAAATTTGAACCTTGGCCTACCCCCGGACGCATTGGAGGGTACAGGCTGGGAGATTTTGAGGGGAGGCGCAGCCACAGGCGGATCGCAGTATTCTACTTTGGGCTCGAGCAGGGGAGCATCGTGCTCCGACACAGGCGGATCGACGACTTCTTCTTTGGGCTCGAGCAGGGGAGCATCGTGCTCCGACACAGGCGGATCGACGACTTCTTCTTTGGGCTCGAGCAGGGGAGCATCGTGCTCCGACACAGGCGGATCGACGACTTCTTCTTTGGGCTCGAGCAGGGGAGCATCGTGCTCCGACACAGGCGGATCGAAGACTTCTACTTTGGGCTCGAGCAGAGGTGCGTCATCCTCAGGGTGTTCAAACGAGATTATGTCCCAGTATTCTGGATTCGTCGGCATATTCGAAGTGGATGTGGAGGGCTGGTTGGGGTCATAGTGGGGATTGTCGTCGCAGGGGTCGACCGTTATAATGTCGATAAACTCCGCAGTCTCGGGAATGGGTGGGGATGTGAGCCTTGGAAACTCCATGGACTTCTGCTTGGCGCGGCAAAAGACCCTATTCGTATTCGATTTCTTCGGTGGCTCCAACATCTTCCAGGTATTCAACACCTTCAAAGTAGGATGTGTAATCGGCGTCACGATTGTTTTCCTGAAACAAAAAAATAAATGAAGCCAAGAAATCCACTATTATTTAAGGCGCTGCATTTTAACTATTTAGCTGTCTAGTTCATTGAGTTTTATTATCATTTCATTTTCAATAATTTGTCTTCCTCGTCGTTATGAAGATTAACACGCTCCTACTTACCTTTATTAACGCATTTGATTTGCGACTTACATTTGTATATACAACCCGATATTGCCGGGAGTCGTGCAGGGCCACGTTATGCTGAGATAATAGTTCGTCGTCGACGATTTGTGCATAATCCTGGTCAAACGGAACGTCTTCCGCCATCCCACCCATTGCTTGGCCCTCAGCCTCGATATAATACTAAAATTTTACTAGCATTGGTATCCTTGGCAGTTATTTCTGCGTGGCAGAACAATCGACCTACCTGCACTTTTGTTTCCTGGCGCACATAAGTATTTGCAGACCTGAAAATTTCTTTCTTTTAATTTACTGATGTTTTGGTATTTTTTCATTATTTGATCATAGCGCGCCGCGCTTTTTAGCACTTCTAGCATAAAAACAAAACCAGAGCGTGCAAACTTACGGTACGTACGAAGTCGAGGGTATATTCTGGTGCTGTTGTTGCAGGAAGTTGTTGCGCGGCTTGAAGCCGGACTGCATGGAGACACCACCAACTCGCGAGATTGCCGATGGTCGATTGTACGCATACGTCTGCTGACTAAACAAAAGCATTAATACCCAGACCTAAACCAACTGCAAAGCATTCTGCTCCCGAATCTTCTCCATTTTCTCATTCGCCCGAAGCTGCTCGACTTCTAAGAACGAGATATAAAATAGGCAAGGTAACGACTGACCATCAAGCAATTTTGTGACAAAATCGTGTGATTTCTTGGGGAGTACAGCCTTGGCAGCTTCCCGGGTTTCGACCGAGAACTGAAAAATGAATTGAAAATATAGGCGATAGCACTAACCGTAGTTTTAGATTCCAATCCAGCGGTCAGACCCATGCGCTTCAGCACCTCGATATCATCAAACATTTCGTATGGATGCTCAAAGTGCATGTCGCAGTAGCTGTCATCGTTGGCGAACTCGATTTCAACCTCATCCCTATTAAAAATTTAGATTTAAGTTAGAAATTTTACTCCTCGTCTATAGTCAAAAGAAGGAAGGGCACTAGGGAATCAGGTTCCGGGAGCGGCCGACGTATCCGACGATAGGGAATTGGATCGTCAGGGTTTGAGGGATCGTTTATCACGATGCCCTCAGCGTCTGCCTTCGCCCACACATCTTCTCCAGCAGCGTACGCTGCGGCCCTCACTGCGGCTGCAGCCAATTGTTCAGCCTCCCAAGCAGCATCCTCTGCTTCTTCAGCAGCTATTATCGCCGCTCTTTTCGCTGCCCTTTCCGCGGCTCCCTCCCTAAAAGGCAAAATAAGTTGGCTGAATTGCACTAACTCGTTTTTCTTGCCAAGATTCGTGTAAGCAACCAGTTGCATCATTAGAGCGTGACACTCCAGGTACTTCTTCCGAATCAGCTTCTCCTTTTTCTTCTAAAAACGAGCACGGGTTGATAAAAATATTGATGTTTTACCTTTTCAGCAATCATTGTTTTCACTTCTTGCCCAGGGCTGACCGGAAGGCCATTCCAGCGAATTTCCTGACAAATGAAATTAAACGAAACCCAACAAAAAAACTTACAATAACTTTGCTTTGGCGCACAATAATATTTACAGCCATCAATACATTGAGCGCATCGTAGACCCGCCGGCGGATATTCTTCATGTCGTAGGTTTGACACTAAAAATACGTTCAAGATAACCGAAAAGCTAGCAAACCTGTGTGTCCGGTGTTTCCGACAATGACTCAAAGTATTCAGTGACAAGTTCATCAGCTACCTAAACAGCCAATAAATATAAAACTTCAAAAACAGGATCACCTCGTTGTACGTTGTGCTGACTTTCTGCTTCACTTTCTCGCTGACTTTATTGGAAAAGTGGCGAAGACCTTTCAGCGTTCTGGAGTCGCCATAGTTATCGAATAGACGGCTTAGAGCCCTAAAAATAAGATTAAATAATGCGAGGCAAGCATACTCTGAAGGAGTATTATCTTCATCGACGCCCGCAAAACCGGGCATAGGCTTCAGGGCCGAGGATGAGGGGCTGGTCGGGCTTTGCGGTATCATCAGCCTTGTCGGCGCGAGCACGAAGTGTGGGCTATCTTCTAGAATTATGTTAGAAACAAATAACGCACATTTCTTTAAATTAAGATGTCTAGAAAAAACCAATAACTCACTAATTCTGCCTTGATTGATGGGGAGCACCTTCGGCCTCTGAAATAAACGTTTGAAAAGCGGAATTTACGCTCACCGGCTCGTAGATTTGCACCGGATACCGAGGCGGATACTGCTGCCGGTCGTACATTTCCATTTGTAAAGACGGTCCAGCTGAGGGGGCCGACCGTTCAAGCTCGAGCAATCGAAGCCGAAATTGCTGAAAAATCACTTATAAAACCACGACTCGAGGAATCGGAAAGAACAACGAGATTCCGAACAAAAATACAGTTTCAAAATTGATAACTGGTAGATAAAGACGTCGTAATAAATTCGCGAATTTGCGTGCCCGCCATTTTTTTTCAAAACGAGTCTGTTGCCGCGAGGTGGGTCCCCGTTTCAATGGCGCGTACGGTAGCATTGGCGCGTAGGCGAATCGCGGGGAGACCGAAGCCGAGATGGGAATGGGAGAACAATGGAATCATTCTAGGGTAAGGAAAGAAAGCTAATAAATAAAATAAAAATCGGGATAAAGGCGCGGGATACTGAAATGATCTGAAAAATTTCGAGCACGGCGTCTGGTAGTACTTCCCGCGCCTATCGACGTTCTAATCATGCTGATAAGGTGCAAGGTCAGAGACTACACACTAATGAGAGGACAAGCAGCTGACTTCAGATATTTCTAGTGATACTTTACCATAATTTCCCATCTGTCGACAGCTGTAACCCCAAAAATAATCGATAGTGTGTATTTTAGCGCGTATTTTCTTGCCCGGCTGTGTATTTCGTGTTTTTTTTATTTTTAAGTCCATAAAATAATATAGAATTTTATTAAACACTGGACAAAGACACCGGATCACAATAAAAGAAATCGGTAACCAAGTTTGTACAGAAATAGAGCGACGCTGGTTTTATGCGTAAATATTGAGTATTGAGAAATTTGCGACATTTTTATAGGGGCTGGCAAGGATAAAAACTTTATAAATCTTTTTATGGCAACGTGCAGAGACCAGAAGCTGATATTTGGTTGGCGGGACCCAAATTTTATACAGAATTTGATGAAAACCGGTGGGTATCACAGATGGCACAGGGTAGCTGGAGGAGTAGGCAATTATTTTGTACTATTACTGATGGTTTCTTGGCTTTATAGGTTTTATAGTTAGCTATGTAAGCTTCCAAAACCGGATGAGCTGCTACCGGAGCCGGTGCCGGGGGCAAGGAGTGGGACTAGGGCTACATGACCGGCATGTTGAGCAGCATCAAGGGAGGAGAGGCCTGAAAAGCATAGAATTTTAGTTTTTGGGTATAAATTAAGCGTTGTTAAACCTGAATATACCTACCTTGATGATCACGAAGTCTAGGATTTGCTCCATGTTTCAAAAGTAGCGTCACAAAGTTCTCATCACCCTTGTAAGAGGCGACAGCAAGAGGGGTGGCACCCTAAAATCAGTTTCCAGAATTTCCTTAATTTGCATACCTTAGAATCTGCCGGATCCGGATTAACACCGGCTTCCGCCAGCATGTATTCTGCCAACCCATACTGATCGGCCCAAACCGCACAATGTAACGGCGTATTCCCCTCAAAATCGGCCCGATCTATGGGTACGGCGAAGTGGTGAAGCATCTGGAGCCCGGACAAGCTCCTGAGCTCGACCATAAGATGAGCCAGGGTTTGGCCCTGTAGATTTGCGGCCTTAGGATCGGCGCCCAGCTCGAGCAGATATTCACATCCATCGATCTGAGCCTCACGTTTTAAGCCTCAATTTCAAGCCCATACCTTTCCTTCTGATAACGCCAACAGGGTCAACGATTTTCCGGCTCTGTTCACGTAATTTACTGAGGCTCCCCATTGAATCAATTTGTTTACAATCTGAAGGAACTATTTTAAAGCATGAATAAAAGCTCCTACCTCAGTATGACCAACATTGACAGCAATATAAAGCGGGACCTCGCCCTCCTTATTCTCGTGCTCAAGAGCTTCTTCAATATACACAGCCTCAACGACTGCCGGTTCAAGGCAACCGGCCGCGTAGTGAAAGGCGTACGAGTTGGAATCATCCTGAATTCTAATAAAAATTGGAAAAATTGTACTACCAGTTGCTCCAGTTTTGCTCCAAAAGATAGAAGCTTTTCTACAACTTTCCGGTTGCCTTTAGAAGCTGCATGCATTAATGGGCTTTTGCCATTAGCATCCGGAAGGTTGACGTCGGATCCCTAAGAAATAAAATGGTTATGATGCGCTAAAATTACCATATCAAGAAGCACATCAACTATAGAATTGTTTGAGTACTGAATTGCATGAATTAAAGCTGTAGTTCCATGAAGATCCTTAAAACGATAATTTTTGAGGTTTAAAATGGCTCGTACTCGTATGTTAACATCCGGAACCGCTGCAGCAAGCTCTTTAAAAGCCGGCGAATTGTTGTAAGCTGCTACATGGATGGCTTGAAGCCCGTCTTTACTGACGACAGAGAGATCGATGCCATCTAGACAGATAAGATTTTAGCGTATATTAATTGTATTTAGTAATACTTAGTAAGCTATTACTTACATTTTATTAACAACTGCACAACCGCCCTATGCTTTTGGCCTCTGAAATCCTTGTAGAGACAGCAGTGAAGTGCCGTTCTGCCATCTTGATCTTTTGCTCTTATGTTGCAGCCTCTTTTTAATAGGTATTCCACAACATTACAGCTATTCCGGCAAGCCGCGATGAGGAGTAGGGTTTTTTCTAGAAAAAAACGTTCTATAAGATTAGAATCCTTACTTGAATAATCCACTTGTTCGAGATCGCCATGGTTTTGGAGGAGGATGTCCATAACCTCAACGTTATCAGCCCTAGGAATTTGTGAATCTAGATTTGAATAAATTACCATATCGCCGTTTTCAGGGGGTGTCGATCGTTGCGTCCGATGTCTTTGACGGGTACTAAAAAAATAAATATATGCATCAATTTCTCTCTCTCTCTCTCTCTCTCTCTCTCTCTCTCGCTCACTCTCTCGCTCACTCTCCTAGATTCTGATTCCGAATCTTCCCAAATTCCTCTCACCCCACCCCCGAAAGTCCATCTCCATTAACGTGCTCCCCCTTGAAGAGTCAGAAATTAGGCAATCTGGCCAGTAGTGGCCGTGGTGTGGGCCCCAACGGTGGCCCCCGGGCTTATAATTGCGCCCTTTTGCCATATGGTTTATTGGCGTGCGGGCGGCCGTTAAACAACTCTCGTAATTATTCATGACGCTGATCCCGGGGGCGTTCAGCGGGAAGCGGATTGCTGCTCATACGAAAGTGCCTTACATACCGTAATTGAGCAGGAGTCGCACAACTTCGCACTGGTTGTTGAGGGCGGCGGCGCGGATGGCGTCGTAGGAGTTTCGTGGTGAGGAGTAGAAAGCGGTGGTGGGTTCGAGCTGCAATTTGCTTGGGCTTAGGCTTAGGCTTAGGCTTATGCTTAGATTTAGGCTTAGCTTAGGCTTAGGCTTAGGCTTAGGCTTAGGCTTAGGCTTAGGCTTAGGCTTATGCTTAGATTTAGGCAGGCAGGCTTAGGCTTAGGCATGTATGCTTAGATTTGGCGTAGCTTAGGCTTAGGTTTAGGCTTAGGCTTAGGCTTAGGCTTAGGCTTAGGCTTAGGCTTATGCTTAGATTTAGGCTTAGCTTAGGCTTAGGTTTAGGCTTAGGCTTAGGCTTATGCTCCTACTTCGACTTACCTCTAGGATAAGCTTGCAGACTTGGAAATGACCATGCGAGGCAGCAGCGATGAGACCTTCTCCGAGGGACTAAATTTGCATAAATTTGCATATCATCATTTTTTACATACTTTTTTATTGGCTAGATGGGAAGCAGCGGCAACAGCGTGGATGTCACCTTCCGTACAGCAGAGTACAAAGTCATCCTGAAAACGAGAGTTTTTAAGTGTCACGATACCTTTAAAAGTTAAATTTGAATCTGCTCTTAAATGGATACCCCTCAAATTCTCCCACCCCACCAAACCAGAATATCCGGGCGCTACGCAATGCTCCTCTCAACACCCCCAGGGGACCTGGTAATAGAGCTGTCTTAATCACCTGGTCCACCCCCGAATGCAATTTGTATACGGGAACCAGTCCACTACGCGACTTTCCGCGCAACCGCTCATTATACACCCCCGTCCCAGGCTGGCTGGCACAAAGTGAATTTGCATAGGAAATGATGAGCCTACTCCTTACGTCCGCCTGGGAAAACCGGGTCAGGGCTCTTTTTGAGTGGGGTGTGGATTAGTTAGGTGGAAGTAGTAAAGTTTTGGAAGGTCTTAGTGAGCATGAGCCCAAGCCTGAGCCTAAGCCTTTTCCTACCTGAAATTTCCAGGGACACCATTTAGCACCCGCGTCCAGAAGCAAACACGTAGTTTGCATGTCGTAAATTGACCAATGCAACACCAAATCGTGCACATTATTCATACGCAGTATTTCAAGGCAGTCACGCTCATCTGAACAAAATTTGCATACAAAAAATTGAGGACTTACAACTCCCATGCACCAAATGGTATGCTAGTTTTGCGACGTTAGAAAATTCGCCCAGACTACCGTAATAGGCGGCCCATCGATCGTGGCCGGACTAAAATGGGGTTTGGCCTTTTTCGAGGCGGTTTTTTACCTCAATCTCCTTTTGATTCAACGGATAATCAGCCCAGACGTTCGTCAAAATATTGGGATTCTGGCTTTTGCACATAAATAGTAGAAAATTGATGTCGTTCTAAAAATTGAAAACTCCATTTTTAAAGTTTAATTCCTATTACCGGGTTTGTCTCATTATACAACGCTAAATCGACTAGCTGCCGTTTTGTAGGAGGTTCTACAGCGGTTTGAAGTAATATGAAAAGATCAATGGCGGCTGGGGGTAGGACCTAAATGAAATTAGCATAAATTAGTGAAATTATACCTCAAAAATTGCATGGCATAGTTGTTCAGTTCCAATTGGTAGGTAACCATCAGTTATGTGTTGCCCCGCGTCATAAGACGCCGCTAGTATTGAAATATAGGACCAGGAGCCCTAAAATAACATTAAAAATCTTACTTAAATTTAGCATTTACCAGGCAGTTTTGGAAAACAGCTTCAATCGAATTGTGGCCAGGCGCGTTTTTTTTTATAAATTCCACGAGTTCTACTTGGGAGTGGAAGAGCTCGACGTGTTCAAAGTTCTGAAAAAATGCTAATAAGATCTATGTGAATTTTTGCATACGTTTAATTGGTATAAGGAATTTCCGGGTCTTGTCAAGACTACGAGGCGCAACCATGATGGCAGGATTTCAGCGATCTAAAATTCTTACTGTGATTTTGGATTTTTGTTGTTCCAAGTTTCCCAAGGCATCCCCAATTTTTCGGACTTTCCCATGACCCGAGGGGTTCTGGTTTGGCGGCTGTCTGTTTCTCTTTGCCTGTCTCCATGTGTGGATATGCAAATTGCGGGGTCGGCTGGCCACAAAGCCCCGGGGGTCGGCTGATCGAATGAGGGGCTAATGACGCGCATTCGGACAGCTTGACGAGACAGATATCTGTGGGAGTGGGTGGGTGTGTGACAAGGGTAAACTTTCGGGTGTATATAAAATATAGTAAGTAGTTGTTTTAAGGGGGAAAAGTTGATGGGAGCCTTAAGCCTAAACCATACCTGCATAACCATCTGATGCGCTTCTTTCGGTAGATCATCAATAACCATAAAGCTGATCTCTTCCGTATCTTTGAGAGCAGCGAGCGGTATTTGGAGAAAAAGTTTCATCGTTAACTCCGATTTCCCATACAAGGAATTATGAGACAGCGTTGGCGCGATGAGACCCGGAAGCCTAAAGCTAAAGATATAGAAAGTACTTTAAAGTGTACCTAGATTGTAATTGTTGTACAATGTCCTTCAAAATAACTGCCGGATCCTTCGTTTTTCTGTCTGCAGCTTCGCAAAAATACGCCGCAACGCATCCTGGCTCGTTTTGAAGCTGAAAAATTTGTTTTTGTGGGTGGATACCATAGTCCCAGTATTTTAAGCCAATTTTTATTTGTTTTCGGGATTTCTCGTTCACATTTACATTCCATAACCCCCTAATCCCCGATCCATCCAAAGGAACGGCGCCCTGCTTGATGCCATGAGTTCGGGTTCCAAATGGCTGCCAGCTGGGGCGAATGGCCATATTTACGCGCTACCCACCCCGCTCGCGGCAAGGAATCGCATTTCGGACCCCCCGCCGGCCCTTTTTCGATTCCGATTTTGGGGTCGAAATTGGCGGGGGTGCTGGGGCGGATTTGGGCAATTTTCGTCGTGGTTTTCTAATTTCGGAGGAGGGGGGGAGGCTAATGGAAAATGGAAAAGAGGGTGGTCGGGATTGGGTTTGGTGGTTTTTGGGGTTAATGGAAGGGGTCGTAAGGAGGAAAAGCTGGAATTAGAGAAAACCCGAATTTGCATGAAAATTTCGTTTTTAAGTGAATTTTTGATATTACTGCCTTAAAACAAAGCTATCAGGCTGAACATATCTTAAAAAAAAGCGTAAAAATCTAAAATAGCGTAAAATTTCCATATTTTGGTCCGACATACCGAAATAAAGGCCCTTTGATGCTAAATTGCATAGAAATTTGCATTTTCTGATTACAATTTTGGTCTGTGCTCAATTTACATTCACTTCTTTAAATTGCGTCCCACGGTATATCAATAGATTTTTTCCGGAGCTAATTTCCATAATTTTTGCAACGGTTTTCCCACAAAATTCCATTAATGACCCGTTTTCAAGGCGTGATATAACAGAATTTACATAAATCCCTAATTTCCATAAATTTGCATTTTCTCCCAGCTAAATTTCAACACCTAATCCCCCGCGAAACCCATTTGCCAAGCGCGCGAATTGAATAGCGATTTGGTTGCACTTCCTAATGGGCTGTTCTCGGAGGGGGTAGAGTAGCATCGGGTACTACGCGCAGATACAATTTCCGATGCATGGCCAACGAGAGGCTCCGGGTGGCTATAGTAAAATGTTGCATCCCCAGTCTTGCGTGTTCTCCTTTTCACAAACCTGTCTGGCGAAATGCGTTTTGCCGGTGTAGGGAGGGCTGGTGATGAGTAATGACTTGTTGTGTTTCTTTAGTTGCCTGGAATTGAACAAGGGAATTTGGGGAGGCAAAAAAAGGTTGGCCTACTTTCTAAAGTGTTGCAGGGCGGCCTCGCGAGGGATTGTTGCCCTCGGGCTCCAAATTTCAGGCGGCATCCGGGAGGGGATGGAGGCCTGGAAAATGGGAATTACAAAAAGAAAATCGGATAAAACCATAATATTACATAAATATAGTACTTTCAAGGACATATAGATCTCAAAAGCAAGAATTCAGAGCGGAAATGGACAGCTGAAAAGCGGAAAGCTTTGGGGCATGGGGGGGCTACTAGGTAACCAAGGAGGCAAACGGCAATTAGAATGGACTGGCGGAATTTGAATAGCTGAAGGGAGGGAATTTTGGCTTTTACACTATGGATTTTAAACATGTAATGTTATTTAAATAAAATTAGGATTTACAAAAAAATAGTAATTAAAGGGTTTGTCAAGTCAAAAATTTTACGCTTTAAGGAGAAGCGTTAGCACAGTTTTTCAACCTCCAAAAATCTTGGATAGCTGCTAAATATACGAGCTTGAATCTTTCAAAAGTCCATTAAAGATATTGTGAAGGCAAATAGCTGATAAAATTACTTAAAAACAAATTTTTAAGTAGCGTAAAGTGCTTTAGACCCTAAACAAACGCACTAAAATATCCATATGACCTCAAACGCCTGTCAGAGATCAGATAATAGAATGAGTAACGAGCGTAAGGTGTCCGGAATGCAAGACGAGACACCCTTCACCCCTTCACTGAGTGGCGTGAAGAGCCTTTTTCCGGACGCCCCCCCCCCGTGTGGTACGAGAGCACCATATGCAAATGCAGATGGCGCATCAAGATATAGGCCCCCTTGCGCGGGCCATCCGGATGCGTTCATGAACTCGATGTTACGTAAACGGGACATCATTTGTCCCTAGAGGGGGAGGCAGAATATTAGGATGATGCTTATGGGTCATTTGGAGGTTGATGGGGTGTGTTGGAAATGGAGGCGGAAGTCTGGATGGAGCTTAAAACCAGTTTAAAGGTATTGAGAAGCCAAGAAACAAGAAAATTAGCATACAAGAGAGGGTGGTAAACGATAAACAGAAGAGATTCTGAAGGGATTCAGAAGTCAGGAATAGAAAAATTAGCATAAATGGTATACTTTATGCAAATCAAAGTATCATATTAAATTATTGATGCATTAATGATAGGAAAACCTAAAATATCGTAAGAATCGTATGCAAATTACTTTTTTAAACTTCAAAAATCTGGATCGGTTAGCGCAAATAAAACTATTCAACACCTCCGCTATCGAATGTAAATCAACATAAAATAGTTTTAAAAAACGCGCATATAAATAACCTGATGCAAATTACTACGACCCACGATTTCAACAATATAACCTCCAAATTTCCACATAAATACAATAGCACATTCACAGCCCGAATAACGACCCTCTTAACCTTGATGTGAATGGGGCGGCAATTTTAGCAAACCCATTGGGGGAAAGGGTGGGTTGGCGTAACAATTGTGAGATGCTAATTTGAGAAGATGCCGGGGCGGGGCTCCCAGTACGCCCCAAATTGAGAGCCCGGGCGTGAAGATGGCCTTGAAATAGATAACGACCTCGGAATGGAAGGAGGAAAAGGCGGGCACAGGTATTCTTTAACGGGGGCAAGAGGAGGAGGAGGTGGAGGGGTAGATTGAGAATAAAGAAAGAAAGAGGACGAATGAGGAGGATAAAGAGAGTTGGAGATCGCGAGGGGAACGCAACAGGGCCTGGGAAAATTGGGCATGGGGCGAATGGGAATCTGAATCTGGTGTAATCTGGGAGTGAATGGAATAGTTAGGTTTAGATTTAGGCTTCGGCTTAGGCTTAGGCTTAGGCTTAGGCTTAGGCTTAGGCTTAGGCTTAGGCTTAGGCCTAGGCGTAGGCTTAGGCTTCTGCTTCAGCATCCAATCCTACAACAAGAAAAGGAGCAGGATAATGAAATTGAGCTTCATCTCGAAGATGGCCCTCAAAGGGCAGATGTCAGCAATAAAACAACCCCCTCCTAATCCGGCAAATAGCCCAATGTCGGCGGCCCGGAATCGTGCCCAAAAGCGGGCCGGCGCGCGCAGCCCCGGGGGCGCGGTGGAGCTGTCAAATTAGGCTAATTTGAGGAAGTAGACAAGGCAAAGCAGTGGTTGTGTAGTGGAAAGGGTTTGGAGGGTGGAGGGGAGAATTGGGGGCACGTTTTGTCGGCCTTTGAGGGTGGGCACCAACATGGAGTAGAGGTTAATTGGGTATTGGTCAATTAGCGGGGGGGGGGGGGGGTGGGTGGTGGTCGGGCGTTTGCATATGGTAATGGAATGGGGGATGAGTCGAGGAGGGAAAGGTGAAAAGTCCAGTTTTTCGACACTTAACTTTTTAAGGGAATTTGGAAGACGACGTGCAACAATAGAAATTATTTCGGAAAACTGGACAATCGTATAAAACGAGAGCAATTTTCCGGTTAGATATAAGAAATAAAATCTGCGTAAAAATTAGAGTTTATGCTAATTTAAGGGGCTTTTGAAGCCAAGTACATTATTAGAAAGTTTTCGCTTCGCCGGGTGAAATAGCACAAAAATACAAAATTAGCATACAAATACATAATTGGCACACAAATAAATAAGGTAAAACGTTAAAAATCTATAGCGCTGATATACACTCTCACTAGGTCAAGGCATACCCACCTAAATAAGACCCCAGGCCACACCCACACCCACTTACATAACAAAGAACTCTGGGGCCCCAGCCACCCAAATTAGAGCCCCCACCTCCCTAACCCCTCAATTTAACGAAAACCACTATAAAAATGGAATCCCCAGAGTGAGGGAGTGATAAAGAGCAGCACGATATGAAAATGAGGCTGATAAGGAGCGCGCGGGAGGGCTGGGGGAGCGCGGATAGGGACTTGGTGACTGAGTGAGTGGTGCATGCGCTTCGGGCTCTGAAGGAGTCGGAGGCAAACACGTTCTCGCGCGGCTCTCGACGGCCTCGAATTTGCATCGGCCATTGATCGGGTGATGAGCGGTGGGGGGGACCATATTTTGGGGCATACAAGGGTGGGTACTTGAAGCTGAAGTGAGGGGTGATGGGAGCCGGTCATAGCATTGGCCATGAGTTGGAGGAGATCTTGGAAAGATCATGGAAAAGCATTACGAGGAATCCCGAAGTCTGGAATTTCGGCTTAGGCTTAGGCTTAAGCGTAGACCCAAGCTTTTCAGTGCAATTCCGGAAGCTCTCAAAGCTGTTGAAAGTCCTGAAAAGCTCAAGATTCCAAACTTGGAGATTTCAATCAATCTTTTAAAGGTACTGGCAAGTGTACGAGGGAAACCAAGACGAAACCAATCTGTGGGAAGCGCCAACCCTCCAAAATTTGTCCGGCGTACACGGGGGAACACATGACGAATGCCCTAGCTAGGCAAGGGATGCGGCGGATGTGTCGTAGATGGGGGGAGACGAGGATGCGGTATTTGTTTAGATCTCTGGAGGGTGGGGTGGACGGCAGCGGAAGGGGGTGACTGTCAGAAGTGGAAGGGGGAGGGTTGAGAATCGAAGCTGCAAAAATTTTGAGCTTAAGCGGCTTGGGAAGCGGTTTGATGCCTCGGAAAACCCGAAAATTCGGAATTATAATCCAAGCTTGCTTCAAAGCTTTTTTAGAGCTAGTGAAGCAGCTTGACGCGTTGAAAAGATAAATTTGTAGCCTAAAAACTTTCAAGTAGCTTAAAGCTTTCGAAAATTCAGAATAACCAAATTTAAAAAGTCAAATTGGTTAGGTAAGTAATTTCCTTAAAAATCATAAATATCAGAAAATTCAATTTAGCACAAAATGTGGCAGAACAAAAATCAACAAGCCTTGCAAAATCCAGCTCCTCCCCCAGGTGCCAACCCGAAATTGGATACTGAAACCTGCATGGGGCCCTAGCCCTCCCCCCAGGGCCCAGCTCCCCCATCCCATTGTTTTGAGGATGCTTCTGCTGAGAAGAAGCTCAGCTAGGGGGCTAGTGGGTGTAAATACACGAGCAAACAACACCCCGACCCCCAAAAAACCCCCGCAAAAAATAGTCCCCCCACCCAGCGAACCCGAACGCTTGAACTGGGCCGTATTGAAATGGGGGGATTGAAACCCCGGGCGGAGAATGGAGAGAAGGGATTGAATACTCGCGGAAAAAAATGGAAAAAAGAGTGATGGGCGCGTGTCTGTTTGGCACATAAATCAGGGGAACGGATGGGGAGATACCCATGGCAATCTGGGCAGATTTGAAGGCGGGGAAATTGACAAGGGAAGAGAAATGGTTGGGAAAGTTGGGATGCCGACCGTGTTTATCATTTTGCCTTGTCTGACTCGTCTAGGCGGGGGAGATTTCGGCCGAGTTACAAGATTGGTGTTATCAGTATTTCCGGATGTTCATGGGGAGGGTGTAAAAAATGAAATGACCTATTTTGGGAGGGTGGAGCGGAGCTGTTAGACTGTGTTAGAGAATGACCACCTGCGAGTATTTTTTCGGGCAAAAAGTATCTAGTTTTTAAGAGGATTTTTTGAGAAAAAGACCTATTGTTTCTCGAGCGAGCTCACGCACCTGCAGAACAGATGGAGCGCGAGTTTTCTCGGATTTTTTGGTCGTGAAACCCGCTTCAGGCTAAAAAAAGACTAAGCTTAAGCATGAGCATGAGCTGAACCTAAGCCAAAGCCTAGCGATCAGAAGGAAAACATTGAGAAAATCAGAACCCAAGACTACGGTATTTAAGCCAGAGTAAAATGTTATGCCCTCAAAACACCAACCCCAGAAAACTCCCCCAAATAGAAAGCAGTAGGTTTGCGAGGGTCTGAAGGGTGCGAATCAGCTGGGGTAGGGGGCACCCCTTCAAGGCGCCGTGAATGTGGCGGTGAGTGGAACAAAAAGGACAAAAAGGCGGCTTCCGCCCCCCGCGCTCGCCCTGGGGGATGGGCCAAGGAGGAGGAGGAGGAGCAGGAGATAGAGGCTCCCGGAGGCCATCCAAAAATGAGGGCTGGGTATGGCGGGGATGGGGAGTAACAACAGAAAATTCGTGCTTGAAAAAATAGGTGTCAGTTATCCCCACGCAAACAGCCAGCGATCCGGATTAGCGAAACTGGTTCAGGTGTTGGGACTGAAAAAAATGGAGCGGGTTTTGTTGATGTAGAGCATGAGAATGTGGTTTTTTACTTAGCCTGAGCCTGAGCCTAAGCCTAAGCCTAACCTTAAGCCCAAGAATATGGTGCCTTGCGGGAATATAGTAGCTCTAGGGGGGCTGGTTGGTAGTGTTGGACAGCACCCCGAAGAGAGCACCCCGGGGTGCTTTTTTTCCCACCCCGGGGTGCTTTTATTTTCACCCCGGGGTGCTCTAAAAAAGCACCCCGGGGTGCTTTCAAAACCACCCCGGGGTGCCCCAAAAAGCACCCCGGGGTGGAAATAGCACCCCGGCCGAGAGGGGGTGCTCTGGAAAGCACCCCGTCCCAGTGGGGTGCTCAAAAAGCACCCCAGCCTCCCTTGGGGTGCTCCAAAAAGCACCCCGGGGTGCTGAAGCACCCCAGGGGTGCCTTTTGGGGTGCTCTGTGGGGTGCTGTCTGGGGTGCTTTTTTGCCAATGACCGCAATATATCAACCAGGCTATTTTGTTCGAATCAGGAGATGAACATCATTTTCGAGCAGTTCACGCAACTCGGCGCCAATTCGATTGCAACTCATTTGGGGGTCGTTTGGGAGCATTTCTTCGAGGTTGTTGAACACGGCGGACGATTTCGAGACGTTTTTTTCTAACCGCGCTAGCGGCCTAAAGAAGCTTGATAGAATTGCTTTAAGCGGTTGAGAAGGTTGCATTTTGAGCGCTCTTTCCAACGGTATACTTGCCGTTCTCCACAATCGTCGGGGGACAGAGAGGGGAGCGTTTTAGTGCCGAAAGGTGTACCTGTCGAAGTTGTTGCCGCACTAAAACCATCATATCTCAATTTGCCCTGCGAATCCTGGATCGCGAAGGGCACCATTCGAAAGAGCGCGAAAAGTTCTATCTGCCCAACGAGTTTCAGCTCTTTACCAGCTTTGCCCAGCCTGCTAGCGCGGTTAGAAAAAAACGTCTCGAAATCGTCCGCCGTGTTCAACAACCTCGAAGAAATGCTCCCAAACGACCCCCAAATGAGTTGCAATCGAATTGGCGCCGAGTTGCGTGAACTGCTCGAAAATGATGTTCATCTCCTGATTCGATCAAAATAGCCTGGTTGATATATTGCGGTCATTGGCAAAAAGCACCCCAGACAGCACCCCACAGAGCACCCCAAAAGGCACCCCTGGGGTGCCTCCGAAAGCACCCCGGGGTGCTTTTTGGAGCACCCCAAGGAGGCTGGGGTGCTTTTTTGGAGCACCCCACTGGGGGACGGGGTGCTTCCAGAGCACCCCTCTCTCGGCCGGGGTGCTTTATTTCCACCCCGGGGTGCTTTTTGGGGCACCCCGGGGTGTGTTTTAAGCACCCCGGGGTGCTTTTTTAGAGCACCTCGGGGTGAAAATAAAAGCACCCCGGGGTGGGAAAAAAAGCACCCCGGGGTGCTCTCTTCGGGGTGCTGTCCAACACTACTGGTTGGGCACCAAGGCGTGCCTAATTCAAGGCGTGGCCACACCATCCTCCCACCCTCCCACCACCCCCAAAGAGTTCAAGTGGCAACTCGCCCTAGGCGGCCATCTGTGCCCGACCATCCTAGTATCATTCATACCCCCAACAAGCGAAAAAATGGGGTAGCTTTGGAGCTACAGTTGTGTTGGCCAAATTTGCATAAATTGGTGAAAAAAACTCTAAGAAGTCTTACATACTAACAACCACATAACACAACTCAAGCTCCACCCTGCCCTCCCCTTACCCCAAAAACCTAGTGAAGTCGACGGCTCAAGTGGACCTCGGGGAGTTGCCTAGAAAAGGATTGGCAGGCCCACTTTTCCGGTTTTCCGGCCCACCCCGCCGGTCTCTAGGGACCGGCCACTAAACTCCACGCTACGCAACATGAGCCGAAATAGATTGGATCTAAGAGGGGGTTGGGTATCTTTTTGGAGCCTGCGATTGAGTACGATCGGATACCTCTTTACGTAAGACAAGATTGGACGAGAAAACGTGAAGCTAAGTCGAAGCTTTACGATCTGAAGCTCTTAGACTTGTCGAAGCAGTGGTTAAGCCGGAAACTAAGTCTAAGCTAAGCCAAGTGTAAGCCTAAGCCTAAACATAAGCCCAAGCCTAAGCCTAAAACCTAAGCCTAAGCCAACACCAAGCCTGAGCCTAAGCCTAAAGCCTAACCCAGAAGCTTTCTACCCTTTTCTTTACCCTCCAAAAGCCCATTCCCCTGCTGAAGACTAATGTTCCGCTAAGGGAGCCCCGGATTAGAGCCCGCCCGAACGGAGAGAGCTGAAGCCCGGATTGGCGGCCCGATTCGGCGCTCTCCTTTATCCCTGAGCCCCCTCTTGCTAGGAGATAAATGGGGGAACGGCAGGAAAAAGTTGGTGCTCCCGGCCCGTCCGGTGAGGAATGGTGCGGCCGGAGGGAGGGCCTCCAGGAATGTCTGCCAGAATTTATGTGGACTAGCAGATGCTGTGCCTCCGGTCTGCACATGCTAGTTGTGAGTTTTTTTGGTTGGGTGGGGATGGTTGGGATTTGAATTAGACGTCGTAATGTTTAATTGAAAGGCAGAGACGGAAAGACAAAAAATTCTTATCTTTTTTGACGGCGCTTTTTAGGCCTTTCAGGACTATGCAGCTTAAAGCATAAGCCCTAGTTTTTGATGACAAATGGAAAGGGGTTTTTGTTCTGCTTAAAAAACAGAAAGTTTTGGGTCTTGGAGATTCGAAAAAGTGTATTTTTGAAGCGACTTTTCAGAATATCGTAAAATTGCATCTGAAAAATCTACACCTCGGTTTTCAGACTAGAATTTTTATCATCTCGAGTTTGAAAATATAGAATTCTTAAAAACTTATCTTTCTACATATTTTAATTTAGATTTTATTTAATTTTAGACTTATTAATTAATTCCTTTTATCTAATTTTAGACTAGATGTAAAATTTTTTAAAGTTAGTTAGTTCAGCATAGCAATTTACATATTCTGAAAATTAGAGGGTTTGATATCCAGATTTCCGAGATTCCGATAGGTTTTTGGTCCTTTTTAGATGCTTAGCCTTTGGAAATACTGCCTTCTGTATTTTTTTTATATAACTTATCTCGTGCGTGCCTACCGCTGAAGCTTTTACAGGTTTCAAACTTCTCAAAATTCCGAGCCCCCAACAGCCCCCGGGCCACATGTTGCATATCGTAAAGCTAGATGCTAATTGGGCAGCCCGACGGCATGCTCGAGCATACAAGGTGTCCCCCCCCCCGCGTCAAAAGACCTCCAAAATTTGAAAGGCCTCCTCGTAAACGGGGCCGCGCGCCCCGTCCGGCGTGCAAATGGGCAGGGATGCGGGAAAACCAACAAACTTCGCTAGCACCCCACGAGGTGCCCTGAAGGATGGGATGGGACGAACAAAAAAAAAACGAGTTCTTCCTTCGCTTCCGCCGGCAGCCGGGCGGGGGACCAGCAGCCGTACTACAAATGACCTTTTGTGTCGACGGTGCGAGGCCAATAAAATGGCGCCTTTAAATGATACTCTCTGGAGATGGGGCAGCCTTCTCTCGAACAAATTCCGAAACCCCAATTTTTTTATGGAAATGAATCCCGGCTCATCAGGGGACAAGGTTGAGGAGGGGCTGTAGGCTGTGTCAACAACACGGATCTCTCCTATTATAGGACCTCCCAAATGGACATCCACCCCTGTGGGACGACGACAAATAATGCATTCTAATACAGGTACCACTGCCTCAAGGTGACTCGCCCATTTAGTGGGGCTGGGGATTATTGGTTTACCTTGCCAAATAGGGGTGGGGGGGGGCAGGGATAGGTAGAGATTTGCATAGTAAGTAATTCTAATTAGATGGCTCTCAATGGTTCCTCTAGATACTTCTAATTTTAATTAATTCCTCTAACTGCTCTCTAAATCTTAGAAAACATGTAGAAGTGCCTAAATAGCGTTAAAAAGTTGCCAAAATCATAAATATATCTGCACCTCTCAGCTTAACTAATTTTTCTAATGGCTTTCTAAATCCTAAAAACACGGTAAAATATTCTAAACAGCGTTAAAAGGCTCTGAAAACCAGAGCTCAATTTTAAAAACAGCTAAACTTTAGAATTTCCAAAAATTGGATGCGCTACAAGCTATCGCTAACTTTTAAACTGGCTTTACGACTTCTTAGTACTAAATTCGTTTAAATCCTCTATAAATCCTAATTCCTATCAAAGAAGTGCAATATCGCTAGACACTCAGAAATAACTTTAAAAAACAGAAAACCCAGGATCACCGAAAAATTCCGATGCGCTACATGCCGTTTGTAACATTCAACGAATCAGCTTGTGCTTGTGCCCACACACACAAGTTGAAGCCCCAAAACTGATCGGTGTGGCCAACAATATTTGCCCAAATATTGACTCAACGCTGTGAGACGGCATTTCGACAAACAGCCCCAGCCACGCTCGTCGGGCTTATAATTAGGGGCATTACTCGCGGCTAGTTATAGCTATCATATCTTGTAAACACAGCCATTTTTAAAAACGGTTTATTCAAACTAGTCGGGTGTGTGGAGGGGAAAACTCTGAAGGACCAAGTGTTATGATGGTGATAAGGCACATCGAGGGGGAGAGACCGGGAATTCGTGAGCTTTGGCGCGCAAAACAACAAAACAATAACAACAACCAACTGCTAGTCAAACGAGCAAGAAAATAAAGAACAGGAGCACAAAAAAAAACAAAAATCTGGGTACAAAAACTATTTGTGAGCTACGGTAACAACTAGCTAAAACCTACAACTAAATTGGAATTGATTGGGTAGAGGCGGCTCTTCTAACTGAAGAAGTAGACAGAATCTCGCACCTAAAAATCACTAGAATTTTCAAAATTGCTAATATCTTACCTTTTCAATGTCCAAATCCCCTGGCGGCACTTTCGGCTTGAACAGATTGGCGTATTGGTCCTTTTCAAGGGGGTGCATGTGCTGGGTGAGGTCTTCCGGAAGGTACGTCTTCTGGAAATGGTCGCTGAGCTGATCGACAAGGGGCTCGGTGTGCAGCCGAATGAACGTCTCGCGGCACAGCTTGTTCATCTCCTCGACGCTGGCCGCATGGGTCCAGTAGCAATCGTGAACCGCGGCAAAGGTGAGACCCCTGGAACCAAAAGATAAAAACCAAGTTATCGAGATTACTTTCTAGCACATTCCAATGTCGTCAACATCATGTGCGTCGAATCCAGGGAGTGCACGTAATTTGGTGGGAAGGCAGAAACCTAAACACATCATTATCAAAGAATTTTCAAAAAATCCTGACCTGCTTGGACTCGAGGGGGATGAGAATTCGTTGGCCATGGTATATTTGCGGTCTCAAATATGGCTGCGGGACCGGCAGGCCGAGAGGGGTGACCCATTCGGTGGTGCGGTGAAGCTGGGAGATGCCCTTCGCGCATTCGCGAAACCATTCCTTCATGTCCCTAGAAAATACAAACTATGAAAATTGCTCAAGACCTACATAGAGCTCTTGAAGGCATCGTGAAGCGAGAGGAACGTCTTCTTCGCCAGGTACGCAGCAAACTTCTCGGCCTAGAAAATATATTCAGATTGAAATGGACACCGAAAACTCACATCTCCCGTCAGCTCCATGGCCTTCAATTGCTTTTTGATCTGGAGGACAGCACCGTACATGGTAACACCGTATACCTAAATTTTTGAAATTTTTGAGTTTTAAAACGCGATTACCGTCGTCATCACAGTTTGCTTGATCACTTTTCGGGGGACTTCCTGCGGCATTGCCTCGCGGAGAGCGCGGGCGATTTGGTGGTTCGGGGATTCAATGTTGTGCTCATCTTCATGGCGTTTCAACTCGACCCTAAAAAATGTTTGAAGAATATTTGTAAAGCGCACCTTTTAGCGACGGACGTGTAAACATCGCCAGGAACCTCGGCAGGGAGCAGGTTGACTTCTCCAGCTCCTTCTTCATCACGACCCAGGGCCGCATAATGTTGCAGCCCATTGCAGCTACCGTCTTGATGGATTGGTAGGTGGCTGAAAATTTTTTTCATGGTTTGAAGTGGCAATAGTGTACCTCACAAACTCTTCCGGATTCTTAGCTTCCAACGCATTCTTGATTTCAATGCAAGCCGCCAGGGTCTGGAAGGGATCTTCGGACTCCATCCACCAGTCACCACCCTCTAGAGGACGTTTCGCCGAGTCGATGATTAGGGGCAGCAGCGAATCAGCGATCCTGGAAAAGTTTTGGTAAAATAAAAGACCAAATTTCGTACCTATCCCTCTCCTCGACACTTTTCTTCTTGTACAAACCCGTCAGATTGATCACATGCCGTTTCAACCAATGCAACCCGTTCTTGCCAAGCGGCCGTCCTAAATCCAAAAATTTTACAGAATATAAAATAGCCCTCACCTCGTGCAAATTGCAGAATACACCTGTTGACGTCATCGCCCATGTGCGATAGATGAGGCGATATTGGGTAGACACGGCCTCGGAAATCCTAAATAAATACTTAGTGAAACTACAATTAAGGTTACCATATTATGAGGAAAGTAGAGGGTGTTGTTGCGAAAATGGTTTGCTTGCGTCAGGCGATATAGCAGGAAGCTTCGAAGACTGTGGGCTTCGTTTCTAAAACAGTTTTGTCGATGCTCCGTAAAAAAGCACCTTTCTTTCGTAGCCAGCCACCTTCGGAACCCGTACTGCTTCCGCATCTTGTCCGTCATTTCGGCGCTCGAGACCGTCCTTCCAAATACCTGATTTATTAAATAGAAAGACGTAAAAGTAATAATTCACCTCCTCCATGGATGGTATCGGCGGGAGGGATTTTGGGCACATCGGCAGCCCGACGCGTTTGATCAGCGCATGATTGTCCCGACTCTTACTCATAGCATAAAGCTAGAGAAAATATAAATACATAAACGCAGGCCGTTTTATATACCTGAAGCAGTAGATCGAGCATGGGCTGATTAATCTTCCACGGCGTCGAGCCAAGCAAGTTCAGCGCATCCCACACCGGACGACCTTGCTCCCTAAAAGATAAGTTGAGCGCTAGGCATACGAGCTTACGGATTCAACAACCGCTTCCGGCACTCATGATTCGAATTGAAATCCATAAAATCCGGGTGATTCCGGACGACCTTTCCGGGCCACATGTACTCAGGGCCGCCGGACCCGTAGTCATTCCAGGGACGAGGAGGAACCTTAAAAATGATCATTCGACGAGCGTCATCACTGACCACCATCGGCAGCTCTTTACTTGCAAAATTCAGCTTAGAAAACGACCGGAACGTGACACGATTCATCAGCGGAGAGTCGATACAAATCTGAAGAAACCGGATATTTTTAATTTTTGTAAGGGCTTACAGCTGGGACGAGCGTGCCCTTTGTAACGTCATCCCCTTCTCCTTGCAACGCTTCGATTGAAATATTCTTCAGCGAAAATACAGGGAGAGGTTCTGAATTGGCAATTCGAAGTTAACAAAAATAAAAACACATACTCGAGTCTGCTTTTCCATTTTTCTTCGTGTAAGTGATGGTGTCGAGAAGGATCGTCTCCAATTGGTTAGTGATTTGTTCGTAGTTGTGGAAGCCGAGCGGAGCATAGGGGACCTAATCAAAATCAAAAATAAAACTTTTAAAATTTACCTGTGTAAAGCTTGAGGCGCCTTTCAATTCCGTGATGTATTTCCACCAGGCACGATGGCTATATTGGCGGCTGATATTCGGATCGAGGAAGTAGCGAGAATATTCTTCGAAAAATCCCAGCCACACCTGAATACGTTCCAGAGTTGAAAATCTTATAACCTCTTTATCCTGAGCAAAAGTCGATTCCCGATACTTCTTGTGAAAGTCCATAATCAACGCGTTGACCATCGTCCGCTAAAACATTTTTGAGAGCTTCAAAAACGACACCTACGTGAAATACGCCACGTGGAATGAACAGAGTGTTCTTTGCGAACAAATTGATGATGGTATCATTAAGCGTCCCAGCAACCGATTCAGCGCCCATCAATTTGATCAAGGACATTACTAAAATAAAAAATTATACCCCGAACAAGGTACTTACGAAATGAATTCCGCCCCTTCTTCAAACTGTGAGCTTCCAATTTCACCTTCAGCTTCTCCTTCCAACCGAATTCACGCAAGTATTCTTCGGCAGGAGCAGCGCCTGAAAGAAAATCAGATCATCAAACTTCAATTAAAATTACCTCTGTCGTGACACGGATTTCGCATAGTAATCCAAGTCTTCTGTTCGGCCGAAAGTTGCTCCAGAAACAGGCCTTCCAATTTTTCCTGGCTCATTTCCTGGACTTGAAATGGGTTTCCCTCGTAGTCCTCGGAGTGCACGGGATCTCGCATCGTATCGACGAGTCTCAAATTCTACAACAAAATGAGTGCCGGACGAGATAGGTACCGTATCGTAATCGTTCCCAGCCGGTCGCAGCCTCAAATCTTCAAATTTTCCAGTTAGTTGAATCAACCGGGTCCGCATTTCTCCACGATCTTCAATGGTGAATGGCGCGTTGACTTTGGCCATGTTCAGAAACCCAATCTAAAAATATATCAATAGCTTCAATCGATATACCAACCCTCGCGCCGAATCGATGCTCAGTATCGGCTATCTCTCGGCTGATCGTTCTTGTATGATCATCAACTGGACGTGCAGCTGCCCATTTTTCCAACTAAACACAGAAATTAATGATAAAATCTGCCTTCCAAACCTTCATCAACAAATATAGAAGGCCAGCAGCCAGATCATGCTTCTTCACTTCTTTCGCAAAGTTCAACAAGTTGATTGTCGCGATGAAGAGTGGCATCATATTCACAGGTTCTGAAAGGTATAAGCATTGTCTATAAACAACGAAACTTACCCCCGGTATGCCCAATATTCTTTTCAAAAATTTTGCCAAGTGCCATATATGCTTCTGTCACAACAAGACGCTCGCTTGTAGAATTCGTCTTTTGCAAATCCTTCATCAGGATTTGAACGATCTTCGTACCATCGCCTCGCATTGCCAAGCTAAAAAGATTTAGGCCATAAGCCAAACCTCACATCTTTACGTCATAGTTCAAGCTTCGAGTCCTGGCGACGTATTCCATATCTTTCTGGTGTTTCTTCATTTCTCCTGCCAGCTGGAGTACTTGGTATCTAATAGAGAATGCTGGTATAGATAAAGATCACAAACTTTTCCCATTCCTTTTTAAAGCTCCTTGTGTTAGCGGCGCTCGTTGAAGCCGGATCTAAGGGAAGGTAATTTAGCGAGTGTAAATTAAACCTGAAGAAAGACATGGCTCATCATTGGCAGCCGAACTAGTTGATGGCTCAAAAGTTGCGTGCGCATACCGTCTGCTAGTAATCAACTAAAAAGGAAATGAAAGATATGCTGGTCAATTCTTACCTTGACTAGGCGCCAATGAGGCAACTGTAAACTTCGGCGTGCGGATGTCCCACGCATCCATATACTAAAAGAGTTGAGTACATTTTTTAAAAGAATCTATTTGAAAAGTTAGAAAGTTTTTATGAAAAAACGGAAATAAAGCAAACGGTTACGCAATGGAGTCTGTGGCAACGGAGCACTCCTATCGACCCCTGGTTCTTGCTTAATTTGCGACAGGGGCCCAACTTTGTAGCAGAACAGTAAAATTTAGCTAAAAGTTTGTTAAAAAAGGGATAAAAAGATAAAATAGAGCTTTTCACAAGATTATAGCTATTTGAAATTTATAGATACTCAAAAAGATTCGCCGGTACGGCTTTGAAAATCAAGCTTATGGGCTGTAAAGAACGATTCTTGTAATGTGTAATCTTGTAATCTGTGTGTTTTCTTATCATAAATCCAAATTATTTATGCAATTGGAAGAGACGAAAAGGTAGGAGGTGGGGGCGGAGATTAAAGTAGGAAGTGAATGGTATACATTTACTGGCGGGTAACGACAAAAGCAAGAACAGGGAAGTAATAGAGTCAAACTTTAGGTAGTCTTGAGCACGAAGGGATCTATTTACAACCCATGATTGGTATGGAAAACACAGAGGCGAAACCGGTTTTGAAATACGCGCATGGGAAGAGGGCGTTATTATACGGAAACTGGGTAGGGGATTTTTATTATTGATACATCAAGTTAGATGCAATAATGTACATGTATCGGTTTTTGATGTTAATATCTGATTTCTTCAGGGTCGACTGGGGCAACAACTTGGGGTTGTGGTTGGGTAACCTCATCCTCGGCAGGTTCACCGGTGAGTAGAGGTTCTTCATCGGGTTTGGTTCCCTAAAAAGCGAAAGTTGACATAATTTATCCTTTTTAAGGTTTATAATTGATTTCCCTTTATTTTTAAACTTAGTTTCTAGCTTTTTAAAGTTTTTAGCTAAGTTTTCAACGTATTGAACCTTACCAAACAGCAGTTAACCACGATGTAATACCCAACGAAGGCCAACCAGCACATCACACCTCCGAAGATGAGGGATAGGCCTTAATTTCGATTTAGAAAATTATTTTATTAACTTACCAACTCCAAACACCCAATGTTTAGCCCTCCACAACTCTCCCTTCAATTCGGCCTTCGTTCCTTCATCAAAATATGCTGTCTCGTTGATCCACAAGATTGGGTAGATCATGTCGGTGGTATTAGCGAGGGCGCTAAAACAGAGATTTCTTATTTTAAGATTCATTTTTACTTACGCTAATTTCCCCTTTCGCATTCCCAGGTTAATTTGAGCTCGTCGAATAGCATTGATCTAAAGGTTTAAATTTTAGGCGTTATTTTTAGGTTAATATTTTCGTATGTTATTTACATACCACTGCTCCACTGGTCGGCTCGATATCAACTATCGTTTCGTCGAGTTTTGCATCTGGTTCCGGGATTCCGATCACAGCATCGTGGACCTGGAGGGCCTGTTTTGAGCATGAGGTATTCTTACTTCTTTTGGTGCTCCCAAGAAGTGAGCATTTCCGATGTAGACTCTGGGGTTCCCGGGTTGGCAGCGGCTGATGTCAAGGAGTCCGGGTGGGAGACAGCCCTCTGAAATGGAGTTAGGTTAGGCTTACAATAAGTTAGGCTAGGCTAGGCTCAGGCTTAAGCATAGGCATAGGCTTAGGTTAGGCGTAGGCTTAGTCTTAGGCTTTGCTTAGGCTTAGGCATAGGCTAGCTTAGCCTTGGCTTCATAACCTACTTGGCTGAATCCTAGTGTCATTGAAGAAGGTGGGAGTAGCATTATTGCAAAATCCAATATTTTCCGGAAGCGTAGGATCGTACATCGAATCAGGAACCCCGAATCTAGACAAATTGCTAGTTTAGAAAAGCATATAATAAGCTTACCTATAAGCCGGTACTCCCTCTACAGAAGCCATTTCTCTATATGCGAGTTGTACAGTTCGGCAGGCTGGTCCGGCAAAAAGCGTCCGGTCTTGATACATTTCAATGAGAGGTGGGAAGAGCTGACCATCAGTGCCGTTAATCATTCTGAATTTTCGGGTACTCAAACGCTTAATTTGCATACCTGGCTTGTTTGTTGGACCACCAAGTCTCCGGTAGGATCGTCATGTTGTTCCAGGAGAGAATCTAAGACACTTTTAAACTTAAACTTCAGCTACCTACCTTTCCAAGCTTCGATCGATCTTCTAGCCCAGTTTTAATATGGTATAACCCGTCATCAGTATTGTTTTGCTAAAAAGCTTTGAAAGTTGAAGTTTTCACTTACCCCGTAGAAGAATCCGATTCTTTCTGGGATTTGGGCACCTTTGCAGAGAGGCCGAATCACTGGATTCGAGCAAATTTTTCCAATTAGAGGATCGACGTAGCCTAAATTCATTTAATAACGCGTTTTTCTTTTATGATTGTATTTTATCGATTTGATTTAGAAGTTAGTAGCTGGTTCCTACCTTCAAAAAGAGCCTCTCCAGCCGTCACTGTAATATACGGTGTCTCTCGGCCGACGCTAGCAATTATGGAAGCAATGATCGCGCTGAAGCTGCTGTCAGCAAGATCGATAATTTTCTAAAATTTTTGGTCGTTTTTAATGGTTTTTGAGTGGTACCTGAAAAACGATATTCGGGATTGTGACCTTCTTCGTTAGCAGACACTCCGGACACGACTTTGTTCGATCAAAGTAATAGGTTCTTGTATTACGGTAGAATACTTCGGTCTCGTTATTCGCGAATTGCAAGAATTTCTTGTCCATTACCTCTCTAAATTGCAGTGATTCATTACGAAATACAGCAGGATTAGGTTACCTAAAGGTGAATGGTCCAATTTGGGAGACACTTGGTTTGGCTCCTTTCAGGACAGCAGCTTCATTTTCGAGGTTGTACATGTAGATCTAAACGGATTTTGACTTTTATATTCCTATTTAGAAACCCCGGGGACCCCACCCCCCCCCACCCCCCTCCCCCCCCACCGAATTTTCGCTATTCCGAATTTTCACTATACCGAATTTTCGCTGTACCGAATTTCGCTATGCCGAATTTTTGCTACTCTACTACCAATATTCTCTACTAATATTAATAACTAAGATCGGCTGGGACTTTGCGGTGCAACAGAATATCTGCTGCGCCTACGGGACCTACGATCTGCCTGCGTTTTTGGAAACTTCTAGGCTAACTCTAACTTTCTAGCCCATCTATTTGGAAAAAACAGAAAAAAATGGGAACATACCGCTTATCAAAATTGGTATGGCGAAGATTCGGCATGGTGAAAATTCGGTATCGTGAAAATCGGCATGGTGAAAATTCGGTATACCAAAAATTCGGTATAGTGAAAATTCGGTATAGCGAAAATTCGGTATAGTGAAAATGCGGTATAGCGAATGGAACTCGTAGATGCCATACCTCCATGCCTCAGGGGGGTAGGGGGCACGGTCAGGGCCAGGGGGTCCCCTGGGCCCCCCCCACCAACCCCCCTCTGTCCCCCCTAGGGGGGGCCCACCCAGGGTGGGCGGAGAAGTATACTATTTACGAATTAGAATTAACTTAAAAAACCAACTTACCTGTAAATACATCGAAAAGGGTGGCTTGATCCATTTTTCTGTGACCTCGTTCAGGGCGCGGCTGCCGTTTTTTAGCTCTTCATAGCCAATGTAGCTCCTCTAGAAATTGATTTTTGGGGTGTTAATACTGATATATTAAATGAAAAAGGTAGTTCCTTACCTCAACCACATTTTGATCGATATAATGAGCAATGGCGGTAAGGGAAACTACTCCCAAGATCACTAAAACCGCTCCACCAAGCGCCAAGACCCAGGTGGCCACGCGAGCGCTACAGCACCCCATGGCTACTGTTTAATACTCCTGTAATAAAGAGTGTATATAGTTTTATTTAGGTATTCAGTAATAGAGGAAAAACAGGTGCAAAATATTCACATCTGCCAGGTAATGCAAGTTGACCTTGAGAATTTTGACACTAATAGGTTTAACTGTAAAGTGAGGAGAAGGCTTATAGGTATAAATTTTGAATCTAAGGTATACAATCGACAATATAGCGTTATTTTGAAACAAACGGAACGCCCCGAAATAGTAATGCTTTTCGTGGGCATCGATTGGGGGACAAACAGTGCCCATGACACTCCCGCTCAAAAAAACAAGCCACTGGCACAACAACGGGCGTGATTCATGCCTACATGGTCTGGTCAGTGTTCTGCGGTACTAATTTTAAAGGAGGATTGGAGGCTAATATCCGTGGATTTAAAATAATTAAGATAATTCGAAATAAATACAGAGCAGTTATTACCCCAAAAACATATCAATCGTATTTTCATACAATTTATTGATCCAATAATTCGAGAAATCCAATAAAAATACACAAAAAATAATAATAATGAAAAAAACAAAAACCATTCTATACTAAAAATACGAAAAACTAGAAAAGATCAGCTACCACATTGCCCTCTGCACGCCACTCAATTGGGAATGGTCGGCATATTTACGGAAGAGGTGACGATTCAGCCGGTAGGGTTTGATCTTGCCGCGTTGTCGACCGGTAAACATGCACATGTTCAGTGTTAGTTTTGGGTGCGAGGCTCTGAAATTAATTATATAAAAAATTATAACATATAAATATTTTTCAATACAAATTTATTTACATATTCATTGTAATCTTACTTTGGCATTTTCAACAAATAATCAGCCGCCTCGTCTCGGATGGCTTGCGGCAAAATAGTGTTTGCTTTTATAGCCTTCATCCGCATACGATCAGCGCCGGTTTCCTGAATGAAATTAAGTATTATCTTATAAAGTATATAAATATTATTATTATATTTCAAAGGTATATAAATTACCTGAATTGATAAACGCCGCTTCCAATCTCGCAACTGACGCCACGTCGCCCAGAAGCACGTACGTTTCCCGGTTTTCCACCATTCACGCTCGACATAATAGGGGTATTCGTCGAGTTTTAGCTTCTATAATTAAAAATGTGGTTTAATTTAGTAATTATATCTTTGATAATACGGTAATTTTTGATGCTAAAAAAACGCTTGACCTGGAAATTAACAAGACTATATGCGGATTTTGTAACTGGCGTCCGTCGTGTCTCTTCTGCCTCGATCTCCTCGACTCCAGGAGCATCAACCTCAGCCTCAACTGGAGCTTTAGCTTCCGCTAATTTATGTATTATGATATTTACAATGGCCAGTTACCACTAGATGCCCCAGCGACAGGTGGTGTGGTTACTGTAGCTAAACACCGGCGAAAGGCCGTCCTCCCCAAGGAGAGCACGCTTAGCATACTAAATTCATTAAATATTTTGAAAACTCGATCTTAAGAAACAGCTGAAGGTATTTTTCATTGAAAAACGAAGTATCGATAGTCCGAGAACGTCCAAGCATATATTTATTCAATCTGTTATCAAGAATCACACCAATTTATAGCACATTCCTCTAAAATATTGGTATCACACGTCATGGCGGCCTCCCGGAAAATCGGTTAGACGATATTGTCGGTTGATTGCACTTCTTCGGACTCTTCATCGGAGGTCTCATAAATTCTGAAAACTCTTAAATCTTAAATTTCAGTAAAAAATTACTTTAATTCCTTGAGCCCAAGCGGCGAGCCATTAGCATCATCCTTAAACAGCTCCTCCTCACATTTTGACATCTCGGCAATGATCTCGGTTTTTGCCTAGATTCAATAATTATGTAGCGTCAAAAAATTAAGCTACATTAGGCTCGTCCTCCACTTGTTGCTTGAGCAAGGGGTTCCTTGAATTGCAAATGAAAGAAAAATCGAATTGTTCTGTGGCTCGGCGGACACCGACTGACATCGGGTCGAGCTCCCGATCCAGCACTTCTGAGGGGACCAGCTCCCTAAATTTGCATAAATGAAAGTTTTCTACGCTTTTTTTTACCTCAAGATCGACTCCGAGATCTCGACCTGGGGCCCAGCATGCTCTTTCTCAGCTCCGTTGGAGAGTTCACGATTGAGCATTCTAAAAATGAATAAAAAATTTGAGGTTTTTCTCACTTTCTCCTCAAATATCTTGTATCCCTCCAATAGTTGGTGTTTCGGGCAAACTGCAACTGGCTAGTGTCAAAATTCACTGTCAACCAGCATTGTGGGTCTTCGCGGTCGTCGTTTTTCAGGCTAAAAAATTTATTTAAACTTTTGAAAACTTGAAATTACCCCGGAACAAGCCTCTTCGTGGTCGGGTGAGGATCTCGGCCCTCGTCATCTAGAACAGGGTTGGCGATGCGCTGAAGGGCCGCCCATTCCGTGTCGGAGCAGACTTTTCGGAGGGCTAAAAATTTAACATGATTTTGAGCATCAGCTTTTAGCTGCAAGGCTGATTCGTGCTGATCCCCACCTAAAACCGGATTCTCCACATCATCAGGCAGTGCGGCTATTTGAGAGGCTGTCAACGAGCCGTACTTGTAGAGCGGGTCGGTTGAGTCATCATCCTGCAAAAAACGCTTTGTTTTAGCTTTTGTTCATAGGACTTACATCATAATTACTGGGTAATGCCGGCTCTGCGACGGAGATTTCCGGCTCTGGCTCGACGTTTTGGGGCTGGACACATAAAATTTATAGTTTTGAAATCGTACTTACCACTAGATGAGGAGCCTCATCTGATCCTTCTCCCAAGCTCTAAAAATATTTGGATTTAGCTAATTTTTGAGATTCATACCTCCAGCTCAAAATCCTCCTCATCAAACCCATCCAAGAAATCGGCGTCATATTCGAGGAGTCCGATCATACTCTCGGAGCCTTGGGGGTAGATGGGGGTTACGGTACCGGAGTGGATGACCTGGGGAGAGGGCTACGGTAGGATTGTATCTACATAATCTTACCTGTACAGTCGTGGCATTTCTTGAGGTTTGTCTGGAGGAAGATGGGGCAGCATATTCATTTGTAGTTCCGGTGCCTAAAATCGCCTCTGATGTGAACGTACATAGTCAACTTACGTAGTAATCCTCTAGCGATAGCACTTCCGGAAGATCCCTAAAAATTGAATTTGCATCAAAAGGTAAGAAAATAACTTACAGCCAATACCCTAGCTTGGAAAAGGGCTGAATCATTGCTGGGGGCAAAGAGATTTCTATAAGCAACGTAAAATTACGGTACGCTTTCAAAAATATACCTATTCATCGAAGTCCGGAACATATCATCAACATCAACAAGTTCACTCGACCAAGGCACGGCCGCAGCTGCTGCAGCAGCCGCCGCTGTACTAAATCCGCCCATGTTCACCGGCGGAGCTCCAATATTTTGGCCGTTTATCGTCGTATCGCCCATCATATCCGCTCCATACATGCGTTGAAGACTTCGTTGAGCGGTTTGTCGACGCTCTAAAACCCGAATTCGTTGCATTAATAGTATTCAATTTTCCGATTTTTCCTGATCGTAAAGAAAAAAACTTCTTACGATTCGTGTGGCTCCCGGCCGGGTTCCTTGGTGTCCTCCTGGCCAGCACTGGTCTTCTACTGTTCCTGGTGGTAGGTTCGCGGGGGACAATGCCGGGGTGGCCGCTTTAAAGGGGTTGGTAAGGGAAAGGAATTATTGCATTATACCCATGCATACTCGTCCAGTGAGCATAGAGATTTTCCACTTCGCGATTTGCATCAAAGTCTGGACATGCGATGCAAAGAGGGCAGTTCTGGAATGATAAATATAAAAGGGTTATTTTTAAAATGTCGAAGTTCAGAGTGTTGAAATTTAAAATGCCTAACTTGCATAATGTCATAATGCCATCCTACCAAATTTCCCGCGAGGTATTTTGATGCTAACTTTGATATATACGCAATTTTCTACATAATTTTTTTAATTCTGAGGCTACCGCAAAAATTAGCATAATTCAACTCACCACAGTAAAATTCGGAACCGGCTCCGAGTGCTCTCTTTGAATGTGCTCGTAGAACGTCCCCGTCTTAAACCCACTCGCCCCACAGTACGGGCATGTAAATATGGCAACTTTGCAAGTATCGTAGTTCTTCGTCATATCCCCTTCATATATGGCTTCTAAAAAATAATACCATTAATTTAACCACGGCAAAAATTCCCCTACCAAAGTCGCGCTGCGACAAAATACAGAGCACCGGGTGGGACTCGAGGTGGGGCTGGATGTTGCCCTCTCGATCCTGGGTCACCTGAGGGTTATATCTGAAAGATTGGGTCCTGAAAATCCTATATAGGTTTTTTACCGCTTCGCTGTGTAGCAATTCTGGCATAGGTCAAAGTCGTAGCAGCGCAGGCACTTGTAGCGGTTCCCCGAGAAATTAGGATTCATACAGCCATCACAGGAGACGCCTGAAAGAGGTTGATCTGAGCATAAGCCTAGGCTTGACCTAAGGCTAACCGAAGCCTAAGCCCAAGCCCAAGTCTAAGCTATGCCTAAGTTAAGCCGAACCTCGGCCTAAGCCGAAGCCTAGACTAAACTTAAGTCTAGGCAATCTTAAACCTAAGCCTAAGCTCAAGCCCGAGCCTAAGCCTAACTAAGCACCGTTTCCCCTTTTCCTTAATTCTTCAACTTACCATCATGAAACATTGAAGAAGCATGCAGCGACATCGAGGTCCCTGCTGCCCCAGGGCCGCCTGTAAGTACATCAGATATGCACGGGTGAAGCCCCCCCGGAAAAAAAGAACGGTATCGAAAGAGAGAGCCGTGAGAAAACAGTGCGCGCCGTCCTGGACATGGCGCTGAATACTAAATGAAAGGAGGGGCACCCTCCTGAGCGAGATCGATTTTATGGATTGTCGATGACATGGCCAAGGTGGCCCGGCGGTAGGCGCCGCCTTCGCATTTTCTTCGATCGGCTTCACCCCCAGTTGACCCTTACCATTCGCTGAGATTTTGCGACAATGTCGACGCCGGCTGGAACTCAGGTATAGCGCATTAATGGGAGGGTGGGGTAGAAGGTATTCGACATCTGGCAATGCGCCAGAGCCCATAGATACATCCAAATTATGCTTTTCTTATCCCTTGAATTTATACCTTCGAAAATGTCTTATTTGCTACTAAACTCTATTGGATCGGTCTAGGATCTAATGGTTTATAAAGACAATAATAGTCTAACGGCATTGTCGTAGCCAAGCAACGCTACAAATTCTAGTATGCTAATTTCTAGCTATTTTTCGAGACGATTGTAAGCTTGCCAAAGGTTAACGAAATTCCCCAAGTGATTAAAAATAAGTTTTGATGGCTTTATTATTAATTAAATTCTAAAATACAAAATTAAACCCTCAAAATTATAATTTCTAGGCAACCGCCGACAGTGTCGTGCTCCCCTCAAAGCGGAGCATGAAACGCGCCGCAGCGCGGGAGCGCCAAAGACGATTGTATGGACCGCGCGAAACTTCAAAGGAGTAAGTTTGCATTTTAGACAAAGATAAACAAACATAGAATCCTTTAAGTGTAAATTAAAATGGATAAATACGGAAATCCGGCTGAACACTTAAATCGAATATATTTTCGTAATGCGGGATCGCATTTTTTTGATAATTGTTAAGATGATGATATAAACTGGTCATTGAGCCCTTAAGACAACCAATTGGGGGGCTGTTGTTTAGCAGGAAAGCTGTCCCGGGGTCCCTTCGTCGGTCATTAGGTGCAACGTGCGAATACACGCAACGTTCATTGGCTGTCTACTTCCTTTCACCCGCTCTTTGCATCACCTCCCCAAAATTTGGCTTGAGTTGGATGATAATGGGTGATATCTGGCTTGTTTTTGCTAATTTCCGGGTGTTACAGCTTTTATGGAGCTTCTGGGCTTTGCATATATCCTCTTAGCACTAAAATATTGACTTAAAACGCCATTAAATCGATTTTAAACCTAATAAATATATATTGAAGAGCTAGAGCTCAAAATTTAGGTATATATCGACCTATCTTATCTGTTTTTTTATAGTTTTACCTTTTAAAGGTTTAATCACCCTTCCAGAGCGGCCTTCATGGCTCCGACATACTTCCAAAAACCCGAGGCCGCCCTCAAGCGTGCCCAGGAGTTGATCCATGTCGGCAAAGAACAAGATGCTCTCGATGCTCTGCACGAAACGATTAAGGTAACCTCAAGCTCTAGCTAAAACCACAACAAATTTACCATAAAATCTTAATTTCCCTTGACAATCCTCAAATAAAACTTATTACTTCAGGCCCGTCGTCACAAACAATGGAGTCAGACTCACGAGGAGATCATGATGCTCCACGTGACGTTGTGCGTCACCTTGCGAAAACCGCATATGGCCAAGGATGCCTTGTTTCAGTATAAGACCCTCACCCAGCAGGTTTGCAAAAAGAAAAACTGGATAACTAGAGATTTTTAGGTTGCCGTGACCTCACTGGAGAAGGTGATCAGCCACTTGCTGACCCAGGCGCAGCAAAAGGCCGAAGACGCCCAGAAGACGTCGATTGAGAAAGTGGAAGAGATTGATGACTTGGACCAGGGTGATGCTCCTGAGCAGTAAGTTTTTAGAAATAGGCATTTACGAGGAGTTCCAGCCTCCTGCTCTCTGTCGTCTCCGGAGCTGCTGCTCAGGATCGTATGGACCGCACGGTGCTTGCGCCCTGGCTTCGCTTCCTTTGGGACAGCTTCCGGAACTGCTTGGAGTTGCTGCGCAACAATGCGCAGGTAAATAAAAACCGAATAAAAATGAAAAATCAACATTTTAAGGTGGAACACCTCTACCACAAGGTCACGCGCCAGTCTCTGGCCTTCTGCGCCAAGTACCAACGACGCACTGAGTTCAGGAAGCTCTCCGATCTGCTCCGTCTCCACTTGAACCAGATCCAGAAACAGCAACACTTGCCTCATGGAGTGAAGCTCAGCTCCCCGGAATCGCTTGTGCTCATGCAGGACACTAGGTTGTGCCAGCTTGACACGGCTATTCAGATGGAGCTCTGGCAGGAGGCTTACAGGTTTGTAAACTTACACCTAGAATAAATTAAATTGCTCCATTTTTTAGATCAGCTGAAGATGTGCATGGCATGATGCAACTGTCCAAGGACAAAGATCGTCGCATGGTCAAGGTGTCCAGCTATGTCAACTACTACGATAAGGTAAGCCAGATAACTAGTACCTCCAACTTCTATGACCAATTTCAGCTCTCCCTCGTCTTCTGGAAAGCCGGCAACAGCCTCTTCCACGCCGCCGCCCTCCTCCAGAAGTTTGTCATCTACAAGGACATGAAGAAGACCTTTTCCGACGAGGAAGCACAGGACCAAGCCACTCGTGTCCTTTTGGCCACCCTCGCCATCCCAGATGGAGCTGAGCAACCATCCGACCTCTGCAAGCACCTCGATATGGATGATCATCACATGGCCAACATGCGATTGTTGTCCAACCTCCTCAAGCTCCCGATTGCCCCAACTCGGAGCAGCATCCTGCGTGAGGCTGTGAGACTCGGAATTCCGGAGATGGCCAACCAGCCCTCGATCCAGTTGCACAAACTCTTGGAGAGTGATGTCTCGCCCAACAAGCTGTCTAGCCAGGCTGAGATCGAGCTCAGCAAAGTGGCGTCAGTACCGGAGTACGGGCAGTACATCGAGGCGCTCAGGAGTGTCATTGCCACGAAGGCGATCAAGCAGATTGCTGCTATCTATGATACGATCTCGTGGGCGAGGCTTCGTCGCGTTGTTCCGTTCTACGATGACTTGACTCTCGAGAGCTTTGTAGTTGACATCAGCAAGCATCGTGTGGTGCGAGCTACTGTCGACCACAGGGAGGGATGCGTTCGATTTGGAAGCGGGCTGGATATGCCGAGCAATTTGGATTTGGAGGAGAATGAAGGATTCGCTTCTGATGACAACCATGTAAGTCTTGAAAGGGTTTATTGTTTACCAAAATCTTAGGTTGGCATCGGCAACATCCGGTCTCATTTGGAGAAGACGTGGCAGCGACTGAGAGAGATCAACGAGTGGCTGGAGGGCCACAAGCAGAAGGAACGAGCTCTGGATACCGTTAAGCGCCTTGTTGGTGTGTATCAACATCATAAGGTTGCGGATTACGAGCGTATCCAACAAAGACGGTATGTTGCCAAAGTTCTTATGAATAATCACAATTTTTAGCCGCAAGATCGAGAGCTACAAGGAGACCAGCGAGAGGGTCAAGGAGCAAAAGACCGCCCAAGCCATCGCTGAACGTACCCAAATGGAGGAGCGCAAGCGTGCTGAGGAAAAGATCAGGCTCGAGATTGCCAATAAGGAGCAGGAGCAGAAGCGTCGTCTCGTAAGCCCCATCCTTCCTAACCCTTTTTTAAATTTTTAGAATGAGCAAGAAGAGGTGCAACGCAAAATCCGTGCCGACAAGATGAAGAAGCTCCAGAGCAGCTCCTTGTACACGCACGTGCTCAAAAATTATACCGAGGAGGAGCTGGCCAACATGGACCCCGAGGAGGTGCTGCGTGAACAGGTAGCTGACGTTCTTCTCAAATTTTTAACCCGTGTTTTAGCGCCTTCGTCTCGATGCCGATCGCCAGGAGCAGCAGCAAAAGCTGCAGCAACAGGAGAAGAAATTCGATCACCAGATCCGCGCCTTCCACCTCGAAGAGCTCAAGGAACGTCGTGCCGTTGAGGACCACCGTCGCACCAAGGCCCCCAAGCTCTTCAAGGAGTATGAGGATCGACGAGTGGCTGCTGCTATGTAAGTCAATCTGTCTAATGTTGAACCTTCTTTAGTGCCAAGCACGAGAACGCCACCAAGATGTGGGCTCAGCTAGAAGCTGTTCACGAGATAGCTCTCGACTGGTTCGAAAAGGTCAAGGAGAACAGAGCCGATGAGTTTGCTGCTAAGGTAGGCGGCATCAACATAAACAAATTATAAAAACGACTAACTTTAGCGCGATGAATTCTACCAAAAGGTGGATGCTGTTCGCCAAGATCGTCTGGCCGACCGTGCCGAAGCCAGGGCTGAAGAACGCCGTCGTGAATGGCGCAAGGTAGGCTAATCCTTCCAGGTGTATCTAAACTTTCGCCTTTCAGAAGAAGGCCGAGGAAGAGCGCCGTCGACGTGAGGACGAGGAGCGTCAAAAGATGCAGCTCCTTGAAGACCAACGTCGTGCTGCCCGTGGCGACCGCCCGGAACGTCGCGGCGACCGTATGGACGATGCCTCAAAAGCCATGGCAGACGACAACTGGCGCGGTGGAGGCGGACGTCCCGCATTCGCGCCTAGAAGCGACTTTGATCGGTCTGGTGATCGTGATCGTGATCGTGCTCCGATGCGCGGTATGGATCGTGGACCGCCACCAGAGCGCGATTATCCCTCGTCCGCTGCGGATACCGATCGCACCTGGCGCTCAGGCATGGGAGTTCCTGCTCGAGCACCTCCTGCTCGTGAACCTATGCGGGATGGTCCATCGAGAGATTCGGAACGTGTGCCGTTTAGGGCGGGAATGGGACAGGTGCCTGAACGTCGTGAACCTATTGCTAGGCAGCCGCCTTCAGTTGCTGACCAGGGGGCTTGGACTCGTGGAAATGTTGTTGCGGTAAGTCGATATGATATTTAATCAGACTTTCATACACAATTTCAAAAACTCATAATTCCAAAAATACTTTTTAGCGCCCCGAACGCCCCGAACCCACCCCTTCACCTGCTGCTGAGCCGGCACGCCAAGCTCCAGCTCCTCAAGCCAGGCCTGGTGCTTATGTCCCGCCGAGCATGAGGAAGAACATGGGCCAGACCCCGGGAGCTCCAGCTGGCCAGGGCCCGGAGCAATCCGATGATGGCTTCACCTCGGTCCGCCGTGGCATGCCAACTCGTCCTCCTCCCCAACAGCAGCCCCCGATCAAGGTATCTTATACTACGTAACACTACAAACTACAACCTAATTTCAGCGCGAAGGCCCTCCACCCCGACAGCCTCCTGCTCCCCGATCCGGAAATGCCGAGAGTGACAACAACTGGCGTCGCAATTAATCCAGACATTTCATCAAGATTCCAAATCAAGCTTAAAAATCAGATTAAGAAAAAGATCCAAGATTCTACCCATATTCTGTTGATGAAAAATATTGTTTTCATTTGTTAGCCTAAGTTATACGTCGTCTTCTCCGCTGTCATTAGTTAATATGCCTTTCTATACTTTTATATGCCTTCACACCTATATTCTTATGCCAACGCTGTTTTTTGGGACATTACGGTGAGCCGGCCCTACGGTTGTATTTGTTGAAAGTATGGTTTCGTTTGACACAGATTGAGTGGTCGTTGATTTTTTCTGGAAACTAGCGTTTCTACGATATCTGTGAATTCCGTTGCTGTTGAAATAAAAAGTTTGTTGACTGTACGAGACTGCACATACCAGAAATACCGACAACCCAAAATACCGACATCCGTAGTCCCGACAAGCCAAATTAGGCCAGAAAAATTCCCACAATTGAAGACAACGACTACCGAAATGCCGACAGCAAAATGCCGAAACTTAGGAATATAAAGCGCACAGAACCTCTCAATTCGACCTACTCGAACGTCGCTTTTTTGTCGGCATTTTTCTGTCGGCATTTCGACTCGGTGTTGTAGCTTCTTTTCGATTTGTGGGTCGGCATTTTAGCTTGTCGGCATTCACCTGTCGGCATTAATTCTAGCGGGATATCGGCATTTCGGCATTGCTATCGACATTTCGACTTAGGTTCTTAGAATTTGGAATTTTGGCTTTTCGGCATTTTCAGTTCCGGAATTCAAATGTAGCGATTTTCGATTTTCGAAATTTAGGTTTTGGCATTATAACTGTCGGCATTCTGGCTATTATCAAATAATAAGAGTTGAGGTAAGTATCACTTTCCCACCATATGACCCCCCCCCCCGCGCCCCCAGCAGTGGCAGCTACAAATTGTCGCCCACCACTTTTTCCACACTTTTACAGATGACCTGGGAACTGGCGACACGAGTCAAGACCCGATGATCGATGGCTGGCCCTCCTCCGGGGACTCCTCAGAATGTTTTCGGAGGAGGAGCACGAGCTCAGAGTGCTGATTAATTCGTTCAATATGTGGTGAGATGGCCCGAGAACTGGCGCGGGCCATCTGCGAACGAGCATTACGGCCCATTGGCCCGGGGCGGAGGGGGTCCGAACGATCGGCAGTCACCCTCCTTTCTTCGCCCTCAAAGCCGACCACTGGCTACTGTATCACCTCATTCTCCTCTTCAATTTGTTGAGCTTGAGCCTGATGACTTCCAATTTTTCGATAGAATATTTGCTAGGTATCGGCACAGCACAACATCAGGATGGTACGATCTTCCCTACTACCGTATAACCTCGTGCTCAACTTTCAGACCAAAATGACCGTATCGATTTGCAGCTTGAAGGTGGTGATTTATGGGAACAATTTCATAATCTTGGCACAGAGATGATTGTTACAAAAATGGGGAGGTACCATTTTAGCGACTAAACCTTTTAATGAAAATTTAGAAGAATGTTCCCCACCATCCAGATTACGGCCTATGGATTGGAGGCTGATGCTCAATATTCGTTTCTAGTCGACCTGGAGAGTATTGATTCTAAAAGATATCGGTATTCTTTTCATCAGAGTCGCTGGATCGCCACGGGCCCAGGTTTGTACTTAGTGCTAAAAATTACGAAATACCGTAAGTACCGTAAGAATGCTACAAATAGTTTTTACATAGACCTAATGGTTAAAATTTTCAAACATTTTAAATTGTTGAATTTGCGGTTTTGAAATTTAAACTAGCCGAAGAAGATACTTAATAGAAAACTGTGGTATTATTTTGAATCGTATGAATTTCAGTTCAATGCTTTTACCCCTGAATCTTAAATGTCATAAATCCAATAACGAAAATTTAATTTGCATTTAAAACCGGATAAACGGGCTCTTTCGATCTTCAAAAAATTCAAACGACATTTGACCTTTGCTGAGAACGCCAGTTGAATCAATAAATCTTCAAACTAAGTTTCCATTCTCTGACGCTCATTGATAGGTGAGCCGGAGCTACCGTCCCGTGTCTTTGTCCACCCGGACTCTCCCGCCCCCGGCTGTCATTGGATGGGCGGTCCCATCTCTTTTGACAAGATCAAGCTCACCAACAACCAGATGGACAAGCGCGGACATGTAATCGATACGAAAAACTAAAAAACAATTACTTCCAGATTATCGTAAACTCAATGCACAAATACCGGCCACGGATACAGGTTATAAAGGTAAGGTCTGCAAGCCTAGCTTTTCCATTACGCTGCTAATTCCAGCATGGCGCTGAGGAAAAGCGGGCCCTGTTTTCGTTTGAAGAAACAACTTTTGTGGCTGTCACGGCATATCAGAATCATAGGGTAAGTGATTGTTGATGATTAGAAGAAGGTTTTCCCAGATCACCTCCCTGAAAATCGAGCGGAACCCCTTTGCCAAGGGCTTTCGAGACGGGGACGTGGATGAATTGAAGCAAATCAATATTTTTACACCACTTCTTACGTTGATAAAGAACTTTGAGCCTTAGAAATTACGTTTTCCTGTTTTTTTGAATTTTTGTGTTGTTTTCACGAGAGTTGCACGTTATCGACGAGCAGAAAACGCAAGAATACTTTAAAAAAGGTGAAAATGGTCAAAGCAAAAAAGGCTGGCTCACATATTGGTAGATCTTGGTCACTGTAAGCTTTTTTTTCTAATGCTATTGGAATTGAATCTTAGAACTTTTTGTCCGGGGCGCTCAGTTTTTGTTTAGCTATGATACAATTACTTCCTTCTCCTTACTAATCTTCCGATGTCCGATTGAGCGCCAGCTACAAGTTCTGAATAAAAATGAATCGAATAAAAATGTTTTAATCCCCAGGAAGTCCTCAATCAAAAAATTACTCCAATTTCCATCCTTGCGAAAGCTTTGTGACCAGGCTCCACCTAATGTCCAAGTTTTCTGAGCCTAGAGTATCGCTAGGGTTGGAAAACGTGCAAAAGTTGTTTTTTTGTCAGTCCGTATGAGGTGTCTGGCATATTCCAGGGCCAGATGTGGAAACATGGACATAAATAAACATGGGTTTGATCTCTAAGCCAAAGAAAAAATGTTTTGGGTGTAAAATTCTGGTTTTGCAGCAGTCACGCTTTAAGGTTCCTTTAAAGTTACAGTAGAAGGTCTTTGGCAATTTTGGGTGATCGGAAAAAATACAAGGTCTCTCTCACTCTCACTGCCTCCGTCTCCCTCTCCCTCTCTCTTTCGTTTCTCCGGTCTCTCTCTTTTTTCTCTTTATCTCGCTCTCTCTCTCTCTCGCTCTCTCTCGATTCTCGCCATCTCTCTCTCTCTCTCTCTCTCTCTCTCTCTCGCTAGCGAATAGACTCCATTAGGCTTTTGGTGAGGAAATACGGTATTTTGGAGCATTTTCAGCATAACACCCACTCTCAACTAGACATTCGTAGGCTATCCATGTTCTTCTATTCCATTTCCATCCATTCCCCTCGTCCATGGCAATGCTGAGTGAAAGAAGCGCATAATTCATTGGGAGGGTGCCGGGGCGAATCGGGGCGATACGCAGGTTCTCGCAATTAGCAAAATGGGGGATTTTAGGCGGGTGTATTTCCCTGGGGGATGCATATGTTATCGAGTGGCTGGGATGGATGGATGGGTGGATATGGGGGGTAAATTAGTTATTATAGTACTAAAATTGTGGTTGCTCCACGGGGAGAGCTGTAATTTTGGAGGTGAAAATGGGCGTTTTCCGAGTTTGGATTGATTTTTTTCGGTAAGTAGGAGCTTCACTTAAACAAGGTTTGATAGGCCTGATTGTACTAAATTAATTGGATCATTTCTTTTGAATAAAACACAATTTGCATACATCAGAATTAAGCACAGCTTGAAGAAAATCAGACTGGGGGCTTTTGAAATTTTTGCCATTTGGATTCCGGAAGCTTCAAGCAAAGTGAAAGCTTGATTCAACCCTGGTTTCCAGCTAAAACACAGATTATTTTGACAGAAAACTCAATCTTCCGGGCAATTTTACACCTCATGACGTTACTTTCCTTACCAAAAACGCTTGTTTCGATTTTCCAGAGCCAATTTAGATTTTTTAGTAGCTCTAAGCTACGCAAAGCCCGAATCTAGGTCCCAACTACACTTTTTACCTCCACATCAAACCCGTACAGTCCGCCAACCCCCTGCTCCAGTTTCACGCCCTAAAATTGCCAGGTTCAGGGCCCAAATTAGCATCCAAACCATCTCCCCCTCCCGTCTAGCTGTAATAAATCTTTTTTTCACGTCCATACCCCCGGTTGCAGCCGGCGTCGAAATCGACTAGACGCGGTGCAGGCCCGCAGCCATTTCTCCCGCGATTCAGTGTGGGAATCGGCCGCCGGGCCCCGTTGGCAGTTGTGGTTCGTTCGTTCGTTCGTAGGAGGAGGAGAAGGAGACGGAGGAGGACTCGACGCGGGGGTCCACAGCAGCAGGACCCGCCCCTCCTCCTCCTCCTTCTACTCCTCCGCCTCCCCATTTATAGACCCTCCACCCCCCCTTCAACGCCTCACTTCGCTTCACATTTCTACCCCCCGCCGGGCCGCTCCGGGCTGGCTGGAGGGCTGCCCCCCGGATTTTGGGACATTTAAGCTATGGGATGAAAGCCCTAAGGCGGCTCTACGTTTTGAGGTTGGTTGGAGTGTTGTGGTGTGATGGTACGGTAGCTTGAGGGAGATTTAAAGGGTTTGTGAAGTCAAATTTTTATCGGAATTTTGCTAAAAAGGTGATTTTGTTTTGTTTCCATGCTTAATACTCTTGGAAACCGATTTAAAAGGGCTATAAAGGGCTTTAGAAGACGTTTGGCTGTAAAATCAAAATACGTGGGCCCCAATGCGGTAGTTAGGTGACTCGATTAACGCATGAACACGAAAAACGCAATAGAGACATGAGGGAGCTACAAAGTGAGAAATAGCAAGCGAGAAAGAGAGAGAGAAACAGCGAGAGAGAAAGAAAGAGAGAGAGCGAGAGAGAGAGAGAGACAGAGAGCCACTAAAGAGAGAGGGAGAGAGCGAGTGAGAGGGAGAGAGACGAGAGAGCGAACGAAAACTTAAGAGAGGGAGAGCTAACGATTGAGCGAGAGCTTCGAGATTTTCTCTATCCGGGAGGTGCTGTGAGCTAGGACTTCAATAGGCCTCTAAAACCAATTTTTACCAAAATTCACTTGTTTTTCATGGCATCAACCCGCGATTTATAGCTTAATTTCAGTATAGATATTAAACATGCAAATTATCTGCATTTACCCTTAACTATGACATTTTCTTCTTACTACCTAGTCCTACATCAACTTCCCGGTTGTCCCCGAAAATTCGGGCCAGACGAGTGAAGGGGGTTGCTTTGTGTTTGAAGGCGACCTCGGTGGCTGCAGAGCGAGCGAGCGAGGTCTGGGCCTGATGGGGCTAATTAGGGGAGCGCCCAGAGTCCGAGATGTCCGGCGAGGTGCCCCCTTGTTTATTCCTGACACGACCGGGACCGGAGGTTGAGATGGAAGGAGGAAGGAGGAGGACAGGATCAAGCCCGACTCTGCCTTTGGCCCTCCAATAGTCAACCCTAGGGGCCAAATGGGTGCCTTCGAGACCCACACCCCCTGCTCGAAAATGGCAATATTTGGATGGCAGACTGGGGGCTTGATGGCCGATACCCTCATTCACCGGGCCAATCCAATTGAGTAGGATTGGGGCTCGGGCGTGGCCAGACCCAGGCGCCTGGGCCCTAGCATGGGCCCCTGATGGTGGGGTGAGATTGCGGTTGATGTGGGGGTAGCAATGGCGCGGGGTGTTTGGGTTTTAAAGGGGTTGGAAAGGGAGTGGGGAGGTGGAAATTTTTGGGTGCACGAGTTTTGCATTTTTTGAGATTATTTAGGTTTAAAACCGTTATCGTACTACCTGTAGTTGCGAAAATGTTAAATCCGAATTTTTTATAAAGGGGAATTTAACTTATTGCGGAAATCCCTAATTTTTTCTGATCCTTAAATGTCTTATTTGAAAAATCCTTGGATTTGGGACTTATATATTTTGTTTTAAAGGGGTTGTGAGGGGAACGTCCAATTTCCCTAGGCCACAAAATTACAAATTATTTTTGGTATTTTAAAACTCAAAATTAATACCGTACTCTTCAAAAACAAAATTAGAAAATGGTTTTCATAAAGTATTTATCAATTTTTCCAATATTTCCGCCGAGAGCCCTTTTAATTCTATATTTAGTATCCCATCCCCTAGCAGCTCCAATTCCCAATCTTTGCAATCCTCAAATTGCACCCCAATAGCCAATTGCCAGGGAGGGGGGCACTGTTTAGATTCCATAAACATCAACCCTAGCTTAGTCTCTATGTTTATGTTGAGGATTGTGAAGGGGCTCTCTGCTCGCCTCATTCCGGGTCTCGCAGCGAACGGCACCCCCCCCCCGTGAATCGTCCTTGAATCCGAATGAGGGGACGGCTGGCAGGCACACGATCGATCCCCTTATGGAGACAACTAGGAGGCCCAATTCTAGGGAGAAGGGAGGAGGAGGAGGACAATGGGACATTCAGGGCCACTGGACAGTCCCTAGCCCCCCCCTAGGGTCCACACTATACCTCGATCCCATAACCATTGTAGTCCCCGCACCCCCAATTTTACGAGCTATACTATACACGGCACGCGCCGGCCATTGCTTTTTGATGTTCCGCCATGAAAGGAATTCAATAATGGGGGTTTGATACAGTGCCTTAAAAGGCATGCCAATTTTGGTGATTGAAAGCAGCGATTTCCGGCCCCTCTTGAATAATTTTGCATGAAAATAATCAAATAATACACCTCGCTACAGTACCCCAGAAACGACATGCCAATTTTAAGATCGAAAATAGCCCATATTTTTAAGCCCCCTCCCCCCTGCATCATTCGTAGAGAAGCCCCCATCCACCCCGCCCCGTTCGTATTTTGACGCGAAATGCCGGGCTTCCGCCAATATATCTGCCGAACGGAGCGTTCGTTTTTGTCGGAAAATTTAATCTGAAACCAGCCCCGCTAATCCGGTTAGACAGGCCTAGCGGATTTTGGCGGGAGTACGGTATCTTGGGCACCAAAATTCGAAAATTATTTTGATTCTAATCTCTGAAAAATGGTTTTGTATGCTTGACACATTGAATTCAACTTCCGCAGCCAAGGAAAGATTTTTAAGCAAATTTTGGCATGTCATTAGGAGCGTAATGGTCTTAATGCATCAGATCCTTTGAAAATTGGTGATTTTTCAGCGTATTTCCGGGTTTTTTAAACTTTCCAAGCCCTACATTCTAAGTTTCAACTCCAATAGAGCAGTTCTTGCTCAATGCACAGAGCACTAATTGGCCGAGTGCGGTTCCTCAGATCTGAACGTCAGATAAGCGGCCCTAGCCCCCTCGATTTTGTCGAATAGTGTTCGCCAAGTTCGAACCCAGCCCCCTCTAGCCCTCCCCCGATTATTTGTGGGTGGAGATCGGGAACCTCCGCCCCAAAAGGAAGAGGAGCATGAGGGGATGAGGA